ATTAATTTGGCAACAACAACAACAAAAAAAATCAAATTTATTCAATTACCCGATTTAGATGAACAACGGAAATCAACAAGGAATCAACAAGATTGATACCCGAAAATCACATTATCGATCATCGAAATAAACACAAAAATGATAGGTAAGTCATTAAGGGAAAATAAACTTTTCTCTCTCTCTCTCTCTCTCTTGAACTTTTGTTTTCAATATTTTTTTTATACATTCTTATTGTTTTTCAACATTGTCTGTTGTTGTTTTTGTTTTTGTGAAAAAAAAGAATTTTGAGTAGAATTAATGATTCTCTCTCTCTCCCATGAATGAAATGTCTATTTTTGTCATATTTTTTTCCATCTTTTTACTTTCGTCATGATGATGATGATGATTTGTGGTAACAAAAGTCGACGTCATCGAATTCATGAAATTCAATCGAATCAATTTAATTTCGATTGGATTGGATTAAAAAGATTATACTGGTGAGATTATGATGGGAAAAAATAGAAAAATTTCCCCTTTTTTTCATATTTTTATTTTCTGTTTATTTGATCAATCAATTTTTCTTTTCATCTTTTTCATTCTTAAATGTCCTTGTTCAAGTCCATCACAGAGTGTGAGCCAATGAGTAATTAGCCATCATCATCACCATTTGAAATCATCATCATCATCAACATAAATTGAATATTTGTTTATGTTTTGTTGAATGAATGATGACAACCTTTTTGTTCAATGTTTGTGTGTGTGTGTGTGTGTTTTTTTTATTTCTCGTTTTTCAATAATAAAAAAACCAATTCTGTTTTTTCTTTCATCTCCTCACCTTTTTTTCCACTATTTTTATTTTCCCTAAATTCAATTAGTTGAGAACAAAGAAAAAAAATCAAGAATTTAACTTACGTTTTTTAAAATCGTTCCAATGATCAATTGTAATAATATGAAAATCATAACTGGATGAAAATGAAATCAAAAAAAAAATGGACAAGATGAGAAATAAATTATTCGTATGATGTTGTCTTTCAAATAAATCACTCAATTGATTGCTAAATTTTTCGTTTCTTCAACAATCAACAAGTGTGTGTGTGTATGCGTTATCAAGATGAATTTTTTTTCACATGAATTCATTTCAAATGAATTTCAATAGACACTAGATTCATTGGAAAAATTTTTTCTTGTTGTTCACCATAATCAATTCTTCGAAATTCATCGTGAAAAAAAAACAGAACATAACAGAACAGAAAAATTGTTGACGCAATAAATTAGATGAATTTTTTTTTATTTTGGTTGAAAAAACGAAATCGATTCAATCAATCGATCGATCGATCAATCAAATATGATGATGTTAATTTCTGAAAATGATTTTTATCCATTACACAATAATTAATCGATGAATTATTATCGATTTTTTTTCTGTTGATGATAATAAAAAAAAACCAAGTGATAAAATCCATTTTATTCATAAATTGTTGAACATTTCAATGTATTGATGAATGAAACAAACAAAAACAAAAATATATAACACCAATCAATCTAGTTATTATAGTTTGAAACTAACCACCGCCACCGCCACCGACACACGCACTATAGCCCAAAATGATGATTGGTAGAACTGAAAAAAAAATTGCAGAAAAAAAAGGAGAGACAGAGAAAGAAAGCCATCACCATAACCAATAATAATTTGAAGAAAACGAGAAAATAAAATAAAGAGAGTATATATAAATATATGATCATCATTGAATGATATCAAAAAAAAAAAAAACAAAACAAAAAACAAAAAAAATCGTCATCATCATTGTCGTCGTTTGTTGCAATTTGAATTGATAATAAAAAAAAAATTTACCTAAAAAAAAGCCCAATAGAGAGCATCCGAATATCACAATTTACATGAACCAAACACACACACACACAGAACAAACTGCTATAATGGTGTATGGAACGAACAGCAACTAAGAAGAAGAAGAAGAAATGAAATGAAATGAAAGATAACTTTTTTTTTGTTCGTTTGGTAAGTGAAAGTTAAAGAAGAAGAAGAAAAAAAATTTTTTTTTTCGTCTTTCATTTTCATTTGTTTTGCTGTTGAAAAAAACAACAACAACAAACGCGAATGATGAGAAAATTCACGCGCACAGGTAATTTTTTTTTTTTTTTCTCTCTCTCTCTCTCTCTCTCTCTCTGTCTGTGTGTGTGTGTGAGAGAGAGAGAGAGAGAGAGAGAGGTACCGATTAAATGAAATGGATTGGAATTGGTAAAAAAAAAACATCGATGAAAAATTTATACAGAATCTGGAATTACACTAAAAAAAACGAGAAAATTTTCATGTTCCAGAAATCAAGATTTAAATTGTTTTCTAATTCAATGTCACAATTTTTTTTTTTGTTTTTATAAGAATACATCCGGGTTATAACAATGATGATGATGATGGTGATAACGGTCATCCATCCGGTCATCGGATCGGTCAAAAAAAAAAATCAACAACAACAACAACAAGCCACCATTTTGGATTGATGTAGTGAAACTGAAATTTTTTTTTTGTTCAATTTTTCACCACACATACACACTGATATCAATAATTCCATATATTTCATTTCATTTGAATTTTTACTGTTTTTGTTTTCGTTGTTGTTGCTGCTGTAGTTTCGCTAACATTTTGCGTTTTTTGTTTTTAACTAAAATTACAATCAAAACTAACATTTTTTTTTGTTTGTTTCAGCCACTCTGTGTATTGTTTCATCATCATACATCACTTTTTACCATCATCATCATCGAAATCGACATCATTTTTTTTCTGAAAAAAAAATGAAAATAAAGAAGAAGAATCATCGATTATATATGTCCACTATGTGTTTGTGTATGTGTGACAAACCATTGCTAGTGCTGCTGCTGCTGCTGCTGCCGCTGCTGGTTTTTTGGCCATTTTTTTCATATTTATCATCTTGTGAATATATTACAAGGAGAGAGAGAGAGGGAGCGAATCATATGAAATCCAAAATGAAAAAAAAAAAAAAATTTACATACAGCACACACACACACACACACACGTTAGACATGGCCAAAATATCATTAGTCGTTGGATGCTATTTGTTCATTTTAGACTTTTTTACCTGAATTTTTTTTTTCATTACTTTTTATGCTAGGTGAACAACAACAACAACAAACGCTGATGATGATGATGATGATCATCGGTAACATATATTTTGTTGTCGTTGGTTAATTAACTAATTTTTTCATCAACTTTTCCATATTTTATTTCTCCTCCCAACACACACACACACACACACACACATACACAATTTTGGCATCTTTTTTTTTCTCTTTTCATTTTGTATTGGTAAGATTTTTTTTTCTTTCAAATTTGGATCAAATGATAATCGATGAAATTCCAGTAGCAAACGAACATAGACAAGAATTTAAACCCTTTTTAATGACAACAATAGAAAAGAATTTTTTTTTTTTGTTTCAATTAAAATTTGCACCCAATACGATCCATACAAAAAAAAACAACTGATCATCACCACCACCAACAACAATTACAACAACGACAACAAAATGAAGAAAAAATATTTGACATTCAAAATGGAAGAAAGAAGAAAAAATTTGCCGATAAATAATAAATTTTCACCAAAAAAAAAAAAAAAACAAATTATGTATGTACAAAACTCACACACACACACACACACAAATAGATAGAGATAAGAAATTTTCTGATCACCAACACCAACAAGAAGAAAAAAAAACTTGTCAAAACTGTCCCGCCATGACGATGATGATGATGATGATAATAAATTAACCACCATCATCATCATCATCACCCCGAAACGAAACGAAACGAAGAAAAAATGGCCGCCAATTTTCTTTTTTTTTTCTATCTATATTCATCATCATCATCATCTTTTTTTTGCGGTGATAATGATGAGAATGAGAGAATCCTTGGTCGATTGGTTTTTTTTTCTTGTAATTTTTGGGCCCATTGCTGTCATCGTTATTTGCATTTGTTCGAAAAAATTTTTTTTTTTGAAAATCATCATCAACAACAACAAACAAACAAAAAAAAAATTCGAAACAAATCGCAACTAACCAATGAATATATATTGAATTATTATTGAACTATACGCGCACGGTTAACGGTGAACGAAAACTAAATCAATCGTCGTTTGTTTTTTTTTGAGAAAACAAAACAAAAAAAAATTTCACACAAATCCTATAGTGACCATCTCTGGCTGAAAATCATCAGTGTAAGCCAAATTGAGAGGAATGAAGAGAAAAATCCGTTAATGAACTGTGGAAAAAAAAATGATGATGATGATGATGATGATGGATAATAATCATTATCATTATTGAAGGTAAATCAATATTGATTTAGAAAAAGAAAAAAAAACTAACTGACCAACACTATCGCATATGTCCAGCCGAAAAATATATAAATGTTGGATGTATTGGTCAACACCAACACCGTTGTTTAAATCACAATATCATCATCATCATCATCATCATCATTGTGGGTCTGGAAAAAAAATGAAAAGAAGAAAAAAAAATCAATAAAAAAAAATTATGAATTTTTTTTTACAGAAAAAAAAGACAAGAAAAAAAACAAACTCATTCAAACATGTGGAATATTTGGATAACTGTTGGTCAAACAAACAAACAAAAAAAAAAACAAATCAAAAAAAAAAAAATCATGATGAAACCAAAAACCAAAACCAAAAAAAAATATCTCACTTTTTCTTCTTCTTCTTATTTCACATCATCAACATTTATTGGATCGATTCATATTTTTTAAAAATGATGATGATGATGATGATCAGTGAGAAAATTTTACATTACACATTTTTTTCTTCTTGTTTTTTTTTTTCACTTTTTTTTCTTCTTGTTTTTTGGCAATAAGTTTAGTTATTGTCGAGACGATTTTTGATTTAAAAATGGAATTTCTATTTATTTTTTTTTCTACAAAATTCTCAATCAATAATTGTACAAATAAACAGACAAATAAAGAATTTTTGAATGATAATTTCTAAAGAAAATTTTTTTTTTTTTTTTGTTTTTTTTTTTTACATCAATTATAAGTCTGAATTATTCAGAATTTTGAGCTTATTATTCAATTCCCAGAAACGTTCTTCAGTCACTCGTTTAATATCGTCACAAAGATCATCAAGATATGTATAACGGCAACGATCGAATGAAAAATAATCACGTACAACGGCATGTGTAGAATCTTTTACGGATTCACATTTAAATTTTAGATTATCATCTGTACCGAGAAATCCCCATGCTAATATTGGTGATAAATGATCCAATATACGATAAAAATGTTCAAAAAATCCATCTTTAACAATCAATTTGGAACGTTTTCTACGCATCACAGTCGATACGGTTGTTTGTAATGCAATCTCACGAAATGATGCCGATAACCAATTATTACTAATTATACTTTTTACAGCTGATGGTGGATTTTCAATATCATCAAATGATTCAAGCAACATATAATCCAATACAATATCATAGAATGATACCATGGCAATTTTTCTTGGTTCAAGTTCCATTTCAGTTGTAGCAACATAATCATCATTTTGTGCATAATCTAAAAACGTATAATATGCTTTGATACATTCGTTTGAATCCTGAAACACAACAAAGAAGAAAAAAAATCAACATTAGTCAATTGGTAATGAATCAAAAACAAAACATAAAAAAAGCAATAAAAACTAAAATCTAATGTTATGATATTAGCGGGAATGCATACGCAAATTGTTACCCTCAATGAATGATCCAACAAAATACGTAGAATTTCTTCACCAATTTTTGCATAACGTTGTCGCAATTCAATATTAGTGAATAATGCAGCAAATGCTTGTCGTAAACAATGAACTTTGGCAAGAAAATCATCATAATTTTCACTACAAGTTGTTATTGTACGATCTGTTTTTGGTGGTTTGATTCGATCAACCATTTGCAATGAATCTTGATATAATTGAAAAAAATGTAAATTTGGCTCTGGATCCCAATAACCAAGTGATGTTGTTGTCGCCGATGATATATATGATGATTGATCATCAAAATCATCATCATTATTATCATCAATTTGATTAATAGTTGATGGTCCATATGTTATGGGCATATTTTCATTTCGTAATGATTCAAATTCTGAAATCATTGATTCAAGTTTTTCATATAGATCATCGATTCTTGTATCAATATTTGATGTATCATGTTTATATTTTTAAGAATATTCTGTTTCATTTTCATTTCATCCAATGTACGTGTTACATTATTTAATTTATCTAGGCTAACTTTGATTAATTGTGTTGTTGATAGATTCTTCAATGATGTTTCAAATATATCTGAATCTTTAAATGATAATTTTTGATTACTACGACAATATGAACATTTATTTGAAAGTAATGCCGAACGTATTTGATTATGATTGATGATGAATGATGATGATGATCACCGGTTGTTGATATTACACAACCATCAGCATTATCCGATGATGAATGATTTATTGAAATAGAATTATTAGTAACAGTAGTAGTATTTGTACCCGGTGTTGTTACTTGTGAATGATCAAAAGTATCATAGACATTTCCACTATCAATATTTAATCGTTTTTTTCGTCCAAATTTCAGGTACAGATAAATCTGTTTACAAAGATAAAGGCTGCCAAGAATTAATGGTGGACCAAATATAATCAATCGCCGGGCAGTGGTATTTTGTGGTAATGAAATTTGTTGCCATCGAAATGACCGTAATAACGATGTTGATGACATTTTCGAATTATTTAATTCGGTGATTCTTCTATACAAAAACAATAATGACTATAAATGATTTTCATCAAGTGGAATATTTGTAAAATTGATAGATGACAGCTGAATGATGTGTATTATCATCATTGTATGAAAAAATTGATTGGAAAATTCCGTTTGAAACATGAATTTCTCGACCAAATATCATGCCATGGCCAATTTGTCCGGTCAATCACAAATGAGAGAGAAAACGAAATTGAAATCAGCTGCAATAAGCCGGTACCGGTTAAAATAGTCGTACGTGTTGAAATGTATACGCTCGATTTAACAAAAATGAATCAAAAATTTCGGTCGAATTATCTAACGATAATTTAAGCGTTGATGAAGCCACGAAATTTGTATCATCACCAAATTGTGGTGCAATATCCATATTCATAGGTACAACACGAATCAATGAAAATGATTCGAGGTAAGTGAATAAAATTTTTCATTCGCAAAAAAAACAAACAAACTTAATTTTAATTCATTTATATATTCAACACAGCAAAGACAATTGTCATGTTGTCAAATCACTTTATTATGAAGCTTATGATCAAATGGCATTGGCTATGATGCGAGAAATAGTTTCAGATATTATATCCAAACAAAATGATGATGATCAATCCTATACAAAAGTATATGTACACCATAAACTTGGTCATGTAGCGTTAGGTGAAACATCGATTATTATAGCGGTATCATCACCACATCGAACGACCAGTCATCGAATGGTGATGGAAATATTGAATAAAATTAAACAAAATGTACCAATATGGAAAAAAATCCAATTTCAAGACACGAATACTGACGATGGCCAATGGAGTGATAAAAGTGAAGCATTCTGGCTACAATCATAGATCATTGTTTATAAAATCGTTCATCTAAGTTTATATATAGCCAGTCTGTGGCAATTAATTAATTTAATTACATTACATTTACAGTTGATAATTGAATCCATCTTGATTTGATGATAGATCAGCCATATAAAATCCATTAGCTCGATCTACTAATGTAATCACTTTCGATATCGTTTCCATATCATTAATATTCAATGGTACAAATGAAACGATGGCATAATTTTCAATAATCGATGCAATAGCTTCAGTTAATTTTTTATAACGAACCAATCGTTGATCATCAGAAATTCTTTCAACCAATCGATTAAGATCAGTTAATTCACAATAGAAATCTAATCGAAAATCCGTTTCACCATAACGTTCAATTAGATCTATTTTGGAAAGAACATTAATAAATGGTGTTTCAATATGCAACATAGAAATAAGACAATTCAATACCACTGTAATGAATTTGGATGGATCGTTTGCATAATGTGAATCAACAACATTTATGGCTACTAATCTCATATTTAGTGGAAATTTTTCACGTCTTTTTTCACTTTGTTCTGGATCCAAATTTGTATCCAATAAATGATGTATAAGATTTTTAAACACAGGATAATTGGTATATAATTCAATCTGTCCTGGACAATCAAATAGAATGTATGGCCGTCGTTGCCGCCGCCGCCGTTGACTATCAATTTTTTCACTATTGTTTATCATTGTTGATTGTATACGTTGTTTACATTTACTGAATTCTTCATTGATTCGTTGATAAAGCCAATCGATATTTTTATAAAGAAAATCCATACAATAAAGAAATGAACCATTTGGACCAAGATTTTCATTCTGCATTACTTCTGTCATACGAATCATTTCATGAATATTCAGATGACATTGATATGGAAATGTTTCATTATCTGGATCCAAATTAACAATGATTACCTCACGATTAAGGTGATTGAGCAAATGTTGCGAAATAACATGACAATAGGTAGTTTTACCACTACCAGCCGGTCCAATAATCAATTGACCAAATAATGATTCATTTTCAGTCATGATTTGATTTGATTTTTGATTTGAAAATCAAAAAAACATTCAAAAAATGTGCATGCACAGAAAATATAAACAACATTCACTAAAATTCTATTTCCACCGTATGTAGACCATTTGTGTGGAATTAGAATTTCAAAAAAAAAATTTCAATGAAAATTTTTTTAATTCAAATATTTTTTTTTTCATAATCAATTAATTAATTAATTAAACCTATTAATTTCATAATATGATATCATTGATAATGAACGCATTGATCCAATGCCGGCTATAACGATAATAATATGAAATATTGTATGTGAATTGAATAAATCACAATGACCGGTAAACAAACGTTCCGGATATTTTAATGAATAAATTAATCCAGCCAATAGATATGAAATATCTGTCATCAGGACATTATGGACAATTTTCCATGGATAATTGTCGACAATTGTAAATTGTGGTGGCAATGATAATGTAGCGACCAATATAAAAATCATTGTACGTTTTGAACTATTCATATTTGTGTTTGCAATCGATGTGAACATTGAATGATAATTCATCCATAAACATATTGATCCAACACAAATGAACATTGTGACATAGCCAAATTGAATAAACGATTGATGATAGTAGACAAAATAGACTAATGTTAACATACAGCCAATCAGATGGAAAATTATGCCAAAATAATCTAAACGTGAAAGAAAACAAGATTGTTCGTATGATGAACCAATATTGAATATATGATATAGAATGGAACAATAATACGACATTGTTATACCAGTGTATGTAATGGACATGAACAAAATATCTGTGCGGAAAAAAAAACATGAAAAACATGAAAAATTCATCAAAAAACAAAAAAAAAAACACTGACCAATTGAATCAATTAAATGCAATGGAAATGCAAACAAAACACAATAATGGCTAATGCATAAACCAATTAAATGTGTCCAAATATTCATCGTTTGATTATGAATGGTAAAAATGGATAGTATACAATCAAAATGATTCAAATTGATTGGACGAAACCATTTGGTTATGTATGGATTATCAACAATCCATACTGGTGATTCTGTTGCCGTGTTAAGTTGATTTAGCATATTTTTTTCTCTGTCGTCATGAATGGTTTTTAACATAAAAAAAAAATGATATACAAACCTGGGTGTTTAATTTGACTCATTCACATGTGTAATGCTTATAGCATATACATTGGAAATGGAAACAAAAGAAAATTTTTTTTTCTTGGTATCCGAGGTAACATGAATGAGTTTAAAAAAAAAATTAAAAATTGATTCTGTGCGAAAATAAGGTTGAAAACTTGAAATTGAAATTATTGATCGCCATTTTTTTTTCTTTATATGTTTTGATGTCGGTTCCAAGTAAAAAAAAAATGACGTCTGTAAATGCAAGATGAATTCACGAATATTCTCATTGAGTTTACAACATCATTACGAACAATGATATCTTGAATCGAATATATTCCAAATCGAAAGCTTGTCATGATTTTTCATATTTCCAAATCCTTTCATATATGACGTTATCTAATTAGAAATTCCGGTCCAAAAAAAAAAAAAATTTTTTGTTGATTTTGCAATTATTGGACCAACAAAAAAAAGTTTACGATTTTAATGCAGGAAAAAAATATACTTTTTGATCATTTGCCAATTTTTTTAGTGTCACATACACACACACAGAGAGAGAGAGAGAGAGAGAAAACGACAAAAAAAAGATGACACATTACTGTGCATGTGAAATGGGCAAAAAAATTTTTTCAATTTTTGAAAAAAAAATACAAAACGTTATCAAAACGTGTTTTATGCCGTTACACATACCACACACACACACATGCTTTTTGAGTGGCTGAGAATTTTTTCTTCTTCTTCATGTGTTTGTTTAATTTTCGAACGCCAAAAAAATGACATCAAAATTCTTATTGTTTAATAAAATTGTCATTGCTACTATTGTGGTGATCATCATTCCAATTCAATGTGAAAATGATCAAATAAAAAAATCTAAATCAACAATCAGTTTCATAGCATCAATACCAGCCAAACAATCAGAAATAATGATAAAAAATGGACGAAAAGAATATGAAATTTTATTGGAAAAACGTAATCTACCTGTATATGGTGAATGTTGGGACCATGCCATCCAACGATTAGAACAACAATGTAATCAAATGGATGAATCACGACAATCGTGGCTATCAATAGTGTTTACCGATTGTTTTCTAAAAAATATGGGAAGTGAATTAAAAAATGATGCCTGTAAACAAGTGATCAAATTGAATGATGGTAATGATCCACAGAATCAGGTGAAACCGACAATTTTATCCAATCATGATCTGTTGAAAGAATGTACACGTAGTATGATTGATTCAAATCTATTCAATACTTATACAATGTTTTTCGTACATACACAAAGTATTTGTTTTTATCTTCAATCAGAAAAATGGCAACAAAACACAGAAAAATTGGTCAATAATCTTGTTCATGATGCACATGTTGTATCCAATGAATTGACAATAGCTGTAGAACAGATTGAAAATCTTGAACATTTACAACATTCATCATTGGAAGCACAGATTACAATTAATCATGAATTGAATCAAGCACGTATAAATCTGGAACAATTTCAACAACAAACCAGAAAACAACAAGATTTGATTGAAAAAATTATCACACAATTCAACATGCTTCAGGATTTTCTTATCACTGAATTCTCGACAAGTTCATCGATATTTTTTTTCATAGCAAATATGTTGGTCATTTATTTTATTACAACACCAAAACGAACTATCGACATTCGTCCATGGTTATATATGATCATGATTGTTTGTTTCTTTTTCGAGAAAAAAGGTCTTGATTATCTTTGTTGGTGGCTTAATTTGATTCCAGTTAATTCATCATCGAATATATCCGATTCAATCATACAGCTACAATGGGATATAAATCAAAAAATTTGGCTATTACGTAAATCTATGCTTGTAACACAGGCATTCATATTTATATGGCGATTAGTTACATTTAAAGATTTGACTGAAATCAATAATCAAATTCTTTGTACAAATACCGTAATATTACGTAATATTCAACAACAAATGTCATCTATGAAAAGTTTACAAAATGAATCATCAGGTGATTGTTCAACAACGACAACAGATTCTTCATTATCCGATTATGAAACGGATGAATCATTTCGACCAGATGATGATGAAGTAGAAGAATATTTGTATGATGAACCACAAAATTATTATTCACCATACAAACTACGACCAAATCGTCCAACAATATTTATTGATTATGATGATGATGATAAAATTGAAAATAGCGGTCGACGACTATTTTCACCGAATCGTTATCATTATCAACAATAAAACGAACACAACTTATTATTCAACAAAGAATATTTTCATCATCAAAAACCATTCTGATTCAAATGATTTTTTTTTCTAGTTTTAAAATCAATCAATTAATCAATTTTTAAAATAAAATAAATTTTTTTTATTATTATTATTAATTAATTATATCGTCGATAAAATAATAAAATATATCGATGAATATATCGATCATTCGAAAAAAAGCATTTGAATATTTTCCAATATTTTCAGTTTTTTTGGATGCCAGTAATGTTTCAAATCAATAAGTTCAATGTATGTTTTTGTTTTTGTTTTGGCTTTGTTTTGTTTTTGTTTTTTTTTTTGTTTTGTGTGCAAATCAAGATATCGAATGAATCCATACTAATTGTGTTTAACCAGTGATTGCTTGTACACGTTTAGCATTACAACCACGGCAAAGAATATGATCATCCAATGGATAACAGCCACGTCCTTCAACTTCGGATGAAAGCAACAAATCACAATCCTTGAAAAATTAAAAAATGGAAAAAATTATCATTCATGTAACATGTTATGAAAAACATACTTCACATTTGTAGCAATTAACATGAAAACTTCGTTCCAATGCTACAACACGAACTGTTTCAGTTTTGCCGGCTTCCGGTATGATGGGTTTTCACACACTGAACAACGTGGAGCAAATTTACTATGGTGAGAAAAAATTTTTTTTAATTAATAACCATGATTATGATGAATTTTTGTTATTTTTTTCCCCACTTACTTATGAAAACAATCAATACAATGAACCTGATTGGTAGCATCCACCGTGAATGGTATACCATCCAATGATTTTTCACAAACAACACATGTAAAACAGCTTGGATGATACGGTTTGCCTGTTGCACGTAATATACGATCCAAAATTGGTTTCTCACATATTGAACATTTTTCCAATGAATTCTTGAAATATATGAATTCATAAATTAATTGAATGATGAGAAAAAAAAGATTCAAAATACTATACCAAATAACATTGTTCACAATGTGGATTATTATCCATTGAATAGAATGATTTACCACGAAGTTCGCTATCTACGATTTGATAGAAAAAAATTCAATGAAAAAAAAATGAAGATGTTATATATGATGAAGAACTTACTACATCCATGACAGGTGAAACATTGTGTATGATAAACCATTTCCATAGCCGTACAGCCACTACCTTCACCTACAACTTTTTCACCACATTTATTGCACATTCCTGTGGAGGAAACAAAACAAAACAAAAAAATTAATTAATCAATAAAAATCGTTTTGAAATCATCATCAACAACAACAAAAAACTACCAAGAACATAATCCGGTATATCACTATCTTCAAATCTGATATGGCTAAACATTTGGTATTAAAATTAATCAACAACAGATGAAATGGAAGAAAAACCAGGAAGCAAAAAGGCGAAAATAAAGAATGAAAATGATGATGAAAATCAAAAGAAAAATTTAAATGAAAATCAAAGAAAAAATGATGGCCATCATCATCATCAAATCAAAATCAAAACCAAAACAATGTCAAATGTCACATCAATGATTCATTCATTCATTTTACAACACACACACACACACACACACACACACAACAACAACAACAAAACGCATTGAATAAATAAATCACAACATGTTTTATGAATGAAATCTAAAACAATCATTCATTCATTCATTCAAAATCATATGAAACTAAAACAAAACAGAAAAAAAACAAATAAAAATCATAATGACGAATGAAAATCAAAATATCAAATTTAAAAAAAAGAACATCATCATCATCATCATCATCGTAATCATAAGAATTTTTCAAATATTCCTGTGTTTTCCTTTTTTTTATCATATAAAATTCTATTATGGTACTTTATTCTAAAGAATTTTCTTGTTTCTTCTTACTTTCGTCTACTGATTTTTTTTTTATTATTATTATCATCATTATCGCCCACTATCAATCTTACAATTATACATACACCCCATCATTTGGTATGTAGAGAGAAAAAAAAAACAATTCTTCATCATTTGAATTGCATCATTATTTTTTTTCTGTTTTTTGTTCTCATCTTGTACTTATTGTTTTAAAGTATCATTTCCTGTACATAATCATATCATCATCATCATGGTGATGATTATTATTTTGATGATGATGGTGATAATGACGAATGATGAGGGATCATCATCATCATCATCATCATCTAATTAGAATTATTCAACACTATTTCATTGTTAATGAAAAAGTGGGAAAAAAACATCTAACGAGAAACTTCCTTGGTTCAAAAAAAATTGGGAAATTTTCCGGAATAAAAAAAAATTATTTTCGATTTTTTTGACTTATAATCCGGTTATTATTATTACAAACGAATAAATATGACTTTGATGAATGAATGTATGTGTATATGTGTGGGAAGAAAACAGAATTCTACTAATCTAAATTTTTCTTCTTTTCATTATTTATAGAAAACAAAAACAAAAAAACAACAAAAAAAAATCTAAACCAACCAAAAAATATTCAACAAGTAAAAATAGGAGAGAAAGAACATTTACAAAAATGAGTGGAAAAAAATTGCATGAAACGAATGAAATATTCCTATACACAGAAAAAAATTGATCAAAACAAAAAAAAAGCAAAACAACAGACTACAACTACATTTGAAAATCAGGGTGGGGAATCCCTGATTTTCAAACATCGGCACTGGGTGGCCACAATATTCTATAATATGATGATTCCATGGTTCCTACATTATTGAAAATTGAAAATTCCAGCATCTTGTCAATTAAGAATTTATGACATATGAACAAACCATTGTCAATATCATGTCATTACATCAGCAACAACAACAACAACAACAAAAAGAAAAGAATAAAAGAATCATTAATTACCATAGAAATCAATTTCGCCCGAATTTTCCATACTTTTCACTAATAAATCGGTTAAATGATCGACTTGTTCTTCTTGATTTTTGACAATGTTTGTCTTGTTGTTATTATTGCTATTATTGATGAATGATGATGATATTGTCGTTGTTGTTGTTGTATTTGATCGTGTAGGATGAAAATCTATTTTTGAAAAAAAAAATTCAAAAAAATTCCATTCATTGATTCATTCTTTTTTTTATTTTGTTCTTACTTACAATTTTTAATATTTGGCAATGATTGATTTTTCAATACGTTTTGGCTATTCTTGTTGTTGTTTGAATTTTTTATATTATTATTATTATAATTCACATATATTGCCGATTCAGATTTTGGTTGATTTATTTTTGGCTGATATTGTTTTTGTTGTTGTTGTTGTTGATTATCGATCGACAATCGATTTTTAAAATTATTATTATCAGCTAATGATGATGATGTTGTAGTTGACGATGAAACAATCAATGGTTCAAATATTGAATCATAAATATTTTGTATCTAAATGAAAACAAAAAAAAAATGAAATGAACGAATCAAATTAAATCACGAGAATAAAATATAAAATTTCCAATTTTGTAGTTCATGAGAATGACATTCATTCACGGTTTTTATTTGATTCAATTCATCGTCACAATTATTACCGGTTATTCTTTTGCTAATTATTTTGTTATTAAAAAAAAGACACACAAACACACACGCATCAAGACAATAACAGAATCGATGCACTTATAGCCCGAGAGAGAGAGAAAAACAATCACACGATTCTGTTATTGTTTTATTTTTGTATATATTCAAACAACAAACAAATAAACAAACAAAACGGAAAGAAAATAGGAATTAAAAGCAGAATAATAATAATAATAACGAAAATGTAAATCAAAACAACAAAATTCCTATTTCATTTTTTTTTATTCACTCGTCAATTTCTCACTTTCTCTATCAAAAAAAAAAAAAAAAAAAAAAAATTTATGATTCTTTGATTCAATTCATTCATTTGTGGGTGTGTACGTGAGTTTTGTTGTTGTTGTTGTTTTTTTTTTCGTCATAAACAATTAAACAGACAGACAAATATGAATGAATGGTACACAGTGATTCTCAAACACAAGCAATCATAAACATTAAGGCAATAAGGTTAAGAACCGCTGTATGAAATGTGTGTGTGTGTGTGTGCGCGATATATCAAAATTAGACAAAAATTTTTTTTTTGGGAATGATTTTCACAAAATTCTACGCACTAATTTACACTTTTCACTAACATACTTGATGTGCTTGATATGGATTAAGATTTCAACAACAACAACAACAACAACAGCAAAAGTCAGATCACATCTTCATCATCATCAAGATCAAACACACACACACACACACAAGTCGTCATCTAAAACAGAATTTAGAATTTAAGGAAAAAAAAGTCAAAATAAAAAAACAAATTTACAGGAGCTAAATATAAATCTTGTTGGCTTAAAATTAGCAAATATTAATTCTGATCATGATGATGATGATGACGGTGATGATCAAACAGCCAGAATCTGAATGAAGAAATGAAAATCTAGTCAGTAGTTAATAACAAATAGAAAGAAAGCGAAAACGAAAAAAAAAAATTCAAGACAACCAGGCAACAGCAGTAAAAAAAAAATCATCATGAATTTTATCATCATCATCATCACCAACAACAACAACCATTCATCAAGAAATAAATCAGGACAGACTGACTATTATTACGACCGAGAATATTTAATGGATCAAGGTCAAATCGTCATTTATTCATTCATTCATTCAATCATCCATTTAACAATTCTTTTCTTTTGGTAGAAAAATTATTACCAAAATTTTTATTCATAAACACACACAGACACACGCACTACATATAATTCGTACTTACAATTTTTTTTTTGTTTCACTTGAGCCAAACTTTACGGCTAAAAAGGAAATTTACGACTAAAAAAAAAAATTTTTTCTGATCACAATTATATCCAGAGAGAAAGCGAGAGATTTTTTTGTGTGTGTGTGTGTGCGTGATTATACAAATCTTTTCTTTCTCTAGAATTTTTTTTTTTTGATTGTCAATCATCAATAAGGTATATGTGTGTGATATATGCGATATTGTTGGTTGTTGTAAACATCCGCCTACACACACACACACACAGGCTACCACCAACACATATCAAATCTTTTATATACGGATTTTTACAATATGTAAAAAAAAATCCGGATTTAATTTGATGGTGAAAAAAAATACAATACTTGAGTAGGGAGATTAAAATGAAACCCCACTTGAAAATGTCAAATGATAAAAACAAAACAAAAAAAAAGAGTGACAAATCTCATAGATGATTGCTATTGGTGATTATCAAGCATTTTTTTTTTTATTAACACCTTACTTTTGATTTAGATCCATAAATAGAATCATTTGTATTGCTGTTGTTGTTGTTGGTGGTGGTGTTTTTCAATATTCGATAATCATCAACATTTCCATATAATGGTGATTGATTCGAAATCGATTGCGGATTTATTGATTGATTGAATGATTTTGTTGTTGTCTGTTGTGGTGGTGGTGGCGGTGGCTGATATTTGGATTGCTGATTTTGTAAATTTTGATTTTCAATTGCCGGATTCAATTGATTAGTATAATGATGATTACCATCATTTATATTCACAATATTTAATCCGGAAAATGTATCTATCAAATTGGCATATGTTGCAGAATTTTTGGAATTTTCCAGATCAACGGGTGGTAAAGGAAATTTTTTTCCCGGATTGGCTACTGTTGTTGTTGTTGTTGTTGCTGTTGCTAATTTGCCAATTTGAATATTTGATTCTTGATGATTTGACGGAATTTTTTTCGTTGATTGTTGTTGTTGATGATGATTAAAACGAAATGAAGGAGGCGGTGGTGGTGGCAATGATAAATTGTCTAAATCTTCATAATTATTATTTTGATTGAAAATTTCATGATTTATCATTGGATTATTATTATTGTTGTTGTTGTTGCCATAATTTCGTGAATAAAGATGAGGAGACGATTGGTATGGTTGTTGCGGTGGTAAAGATGATCGGCCTAGAAAATTTGTAAACAATTCAATATCAAATGACAACCAAAAAAAATTGGAAACTTACCAGAATCATTGGTTATAGAATTACTGTAAATAATATTTGACGAAGATGAAATGATGGTCGGATTTTCCCTATTGTTAATGGCACGATTTTGTGGATGATAATCATGTGAATTTGGGATTTTATTCGGAATCGAATAATAAGACATAGTTACGAAATTCGTTCAATGTTCGATGTGGCACTTGTTGATCACATAATATGAATCATGAATGTGATAAACTGAAAAAAAAACTCAATCACACATCGATCAATTATTGCTAATTTATTATTTTCGAAATAATCAACAAAGTTGAAATATTTTATTTTTTTTTTTTTGTTTGTTTGTTTGCAAGATTGCATCGAAAAAATAAAATTGTGAAGATAATTTTTGTGTAAACAAGAAATGGACGAATAAATAAAAATTCAGCCCAAATACACAAGTGAAAGAATCTTTCTTCTCTTCGCTCGAATTCAGTTAGGTCGATGGTTGATAGTATCGATTATTCGACGTCCATCCCAATTCTGCTCGCCGATTGTCACGTGGTTGATTCGTGCTTTATGTTTTTTTTTCAAATTTTGTTTTGAAAATTTCTCGATTTTTCCCGTTTTATTTTTTTTTTTTTTTGCTGAACATTCGAGCAAAATATTTTTTTTTCCAACATTCACATCCTAAATAAACATGGCTGATGATGATGAAAGGATTGGTAAGCATTTACTGATGATTTATGATTCATAATTTTGAAAATAATTGTTTATTTTTCCAATTTTGATTTAAAAAAAAAAATAGTGGATAATCCATGGAGAATGGAGATACCGAAATTTCATCCAGAAGATAATCCACATGGCATTCTTGTTGAAAGTGCATTTGCAACATTATTTCCAAAATATCGTGAAAAATATCTAAAAGAATGTTGGCCATTAGTGCAGAAAACATTAGCCGAATATTTTATAAAAGCTGAATTAGATCTTTTAGAAGGTAGTATGACAGTGGCAACAACAAGAAAAACATGGGATCCATACATAATAATCAAAGCAAAAGATATGATAAAATTATTGGCACGTTCAGTACCATATGAACAAGCGATAAAAATACTTGACGATGAAAATGCATCGGATATAATTAAAATTGGTGATTTAGTACGAAAAAAAGAAAGTTTTATACGTCGAAGACAACGTTTACTTGGACCAAATGGTTCCACATTGAAAGCTATCGAATTGTTGACCAATTGTTATGTACTTGTACAAGGTAATACAGTTTCCGCCATTGGACCACATAAAGGTCTACAACAGGTACGAAGAATCGTCGAAGATACAATGAAAAATATTCATCCAATCTATAATATCAAAGCATTAATGATCAAACGTGAATTGGCTAAAGATCCAAAACTTCGTAATGAAAATTGGGATCGTTTTCTACCGAAATATAAAGCTAAAAATCTATCCAAACGTAAACGACCGAAAATTGTGAATAAAAAACAAGAATATACACCATTTCCACCGCCACAAACTGAAAGTAAAATTGATAAACAACTTGCAACGGGTGAATATTTTAATTTATCTAAAAAACCTCGAAATCGTAAAGAAAATAATCCAGAAGAAACAAAACGTCGACAAAAAGAAAAACGTGAACGAGCATTTGTTCCTCCATCGGAACCGGATTTCAAATGAAATGAATCAACCAACAATTCTACTATCGGAAGCGGATTTTTTTTTGATAGCAAAAAAAAAAAATGTCAAAACAAAGATCATGGTCATTTTCATTGGATTCTTTGTTCTTTTCATTTTGTTTGTTTGTTTTTTTTTTTCGTATTCTTTGTCATTAATCTGAATGCAATTAAAACTGGTAATAATGATGGTTGTTGTGGTTGTGTTGATTTTTTTTTGTTTCTTAGTTCAACTCGATAAATTGCCCACCATCCGGCCCATTAGACGTATGTGTATCTCTCATATATTATTATATCTTTTTAATGTGGGTAATTCATTATCTTGAATTACTAGGAAAAATAAATTTTGAACGAAAAATTTTGTTTTTATTTACACTGTATATACCCGCTGTTGCTAGTGGTGTGGTCCATTGCTTCAACATTACTTCAAGAACGTAAAACAAAAAAAAAAAAAAAATTCGAACGTTTTATTTTTTCTAGAAAAAACCAAAATTCACCGTTTGTCGTCATCGTCATTAAGATAGCTATTTGTCACGCAAATTTATTGGGACTTGTCATTTTCCCTTCTTCCCCCCACCACCACCACCACCACAATTCATGCATTGGTTCATTCACCAACAACAACAACAACAAAAAAAAATCATCATTCATTCATCTGTATATATTCAATCACATAATGTTCATCTTATCAAATTTGGATTTGCTAATGATAATAATAACTTAATGAATGGCCGTGTGTGTGTGTGTGTGTGTTTGTTTGTTTAAGGTTCAAACAAAGAAAAAAAAATGAGAAAATGATTATGGTTTAGGTTGTTGTCAAGAATTCCACAAGAATTTCATCATCATCATCATTTCCTCACAATTCGATTTTGTTTTGTTTGTTTGAGGTTGTTGACAGTTTTTTTTCTTCTTCTTCTTTTTCTCATTCACCAATACAATTCATTTTTGGCCAATCAGTCGATCATCATTGTTTAAATATTTGTTCTTTTGATCATCAGAATCGATTCTCGTTGTTTTATTCGACCAATGAGAAAGAAATAAAAAAAAATTTTGACATTTTCGATAATTATTGCAACTTGGCTATAATCGGATTGTGTGAAGAATCCCCCTTGAAAACAACTACTACCATTACCACCACGTATACTGCTGCCACAACTAGAACAAAAACCACCACTTTCTTCTTTTAATCATCAGATCATTTTTTATTCTTCATTCAATCATTATCATCATCCATTTTTATTTCTGATCCTTGAACCACCTTGATTATATAGAATTTTTTTTTCTTCGATTAGAAAAAAAAACAACCAACAAACTAAATAATAGTGAATTAATTGATCCGGGTTTTTTTTTCTTTCCAAACATTGATGATTTTCAATATTCAATTCAATCGGTCTTCCATGCGAATTTTTTTTTCTGTTTCTCTTTCTCTGCAGAATTCAGTGTGGAATTTTCTATACTTGAAAAATTCTTTACATTGTGATTTCATTTTTGTCCATTATTTATTTTTTTTTACTTGTTTGTTTGACTGTTTGTTATTGTTAATTTCTGAATTCTATGTTCATCATCGATTGGATCAATAAAAATGCAATGGGCTGTGCAATCAGTAATTTTCATAATCATCTCATTGATTTATCAAAACGTTCAAATTTATCGAAAAATACCAATAATGCATTGATTGTTGCACCACATAATCTGTATCGTTTTCTGCAGGAAAATAATCCACATCCAAAATGTATATTTATTTTCGGTAAGTGTATCCATTTATAACAATGTTGTTGAATATTTTTGTTTCTAATATTCTCTCTTTTCGCGAAAAAAAGGTGGTATCGGTTCGAATAAAGGACAATTTATATGGGAAATAATGGAACAAAGTTGTGAAAATTTTCATAATAATAAAAATAATAAATTGATCAAATTATTATTGATCAATGATGATGATGATGATAACGACGAAAACGATGGTGATGATAAAATTGCTGATGATGATTGGTGATGATAATACAAAAAATCATCATCAAACAATACAAATTGATTATGAACGATTTCGTTTTTCATATCATTATATTGATGTTGAAAATTTAATTATTAATAATATTGATGATCGTATCCGGAAACTTACCATACAACAATCAAATGAAACACAAATACTGTCGATAAATAATAATGATAATAATAATTTCATCACTAGTCCATCACCATTTGAAAACAATACAACAACAACAACAACAACAACAACAATGGCTAATAGTAATATTTCTGATCCATTATTATTGGATGAATTGAAATCTGTGCCGATTGTAAAAAGGAAAAAATCCGATTCACAAGATGAACAATTACGTTTACAATTACAGCAATATGCAAATATTATTACGAATAATTGGTTATTAACACTATTGAAACAGGAGATTGAACGCCAAAATCATGGCCCATATGAAAATATTTTCATCATTAATCTAATACCGAATCGTATCACTTTATTTCGTCAATGTTTATTCCTAAGACAGACACCTAGTTTTATTAATTTTGATTACAATTATGTGGCCATAAAATTAATACGACATTCAACAAGACGAAAAGAATTGGAAATCAAAAATAATGGCATCATCATTGGTGCAAATACATTCGATGATAATGTTGATGATAATTATACAAATTATTTTCGGTTTGTCTGTTTTTCTTTCAATTTCAAAAAAAATCAATCCTTTTTTTCAAAATTTTTTTTTTGTTTGTTACAGAGCCACAAATAAATTATATGAAATTCGTGTAAAAAATGCTGAAGATCGTATTCGACTACGTTTATCAACATCGAATAAAACGGCAATACATATATCAAATAGACAAGAATTGATTAGTTTCATACAAATGCCTAAAAAAGATTTACTTGAAATAAATATTTCAGAATTTCATTTCAATCAACGAATGGAAACCATATTGAATCGTTGTCGACAACAAACATTATTGTTTATTATCAATAATGAAATTGATTTAGATGATAATATTAAATTATTGATCATCAATAATAATAATAATCAAGATAGACAACAACAATATGATTTGATATTTTTACGAAAATTCATACAACTATATCGTTTGACAAGTTATGCATTGAAATTTGTTTGAATAATGAAGAAAAAAAAATTTCATTTTCATATACATTCATTATTATAATCACACAACAACAAAAAAAACACTTGAAAAATGTCAAATTTTTCCATTGTAATTCAAATACACAAACACACACACACACGATCACTTTGCTATTTTTTTTTCTTTTTGATTTCAAATGAATAAAAATAAAATTTCAACGATCAAGTTTCACACACACACACACAAACAAAGTAATAATTGGCCACTAATTGACTCATGAATTGACAGTTTTTATTGGTGTCTGTGTCTGCGTGTGTGTGTGTGTGAAATTGAAATTGATGACAATTTTTTTTCTCATCTTTATTCATTCATAAATTATTATCATCATTCCATTGTGATCAATTGTTGACCAATTGTCATGTATATTAAGGTGAGATTTTTATTCTATTTTTTTTTGTTTTGTTTGAGTGTGTGTGTGTGTAGTAAATTGACAAGCAACAATCACACTCGATGTGTGTGTGTGTGTGTGGTCCCCGTGTGTGACCAGTAGTTTCATTCAATTGATTTTTTTTTCTTTTGTTGCTCATCTGCCATCAAAAATTTGCAAATTGTCAATTGGCAATCGGATCCTTTTGTTGTACTGAATTATTGATTGACTATCTAACACTATGACTCTACAGCATTCATCATCATTCAACTTTTTATTCTTCTTACTTAATTTACATTTTTGGCTTCATTTTTTTTTTTGTTATCATTGCTGTTCATTTGGTTTTGAGTTTTGTGTTGTGTGTGTGTGTGTGTGTGTGTGTGTGTGTGTGTGTTTCCGCAATGTGTTTAATTTTTATTTTTTTATTTCTCTCTTTACTTTATTGTTTGAATTATCAAGTTTCAAGTGCGTGTGAATATATAATTTCTTTTTTCTTTCTTTTTTGTTATTATTGTGCGTGTTAAAAATATATATAATATAATCTTGTCACAGTTACGAATACTCTGGAAATGGGGGGGTTCATATTGGTCGTGTTGCATATTATTTTATTGGTTATTGTCATTAAACAAAAAAAAAAACAAAAAAAAATTCTTTCCAGCATTCATTTTTGGCCTTTTTAATTGTTTAGATTTTTAATTTCATATAATATTTCGTGTTAAATGTTGATTTTTACTTTACTTTTTTATATTCTTGCTACAATAATAATGAAACGAAATTGTATTACGAAATTCAATTTTTTTTTTCATTTTCAAATTTGAAAAAAAACAAACAACAATAATAATTAAAATGAAATGAATGTGTAATTTTTTTTCTTCTTCTTGGTTTATTTTTTCTTGTAAATTTTGAACTATATAAACTACATATATATATATATATTTCAATGCGATTCATTCGAATCATTTTGATTTGATATCATTCGTTTTGAAACAACAACAACAAAAAAATATGTCATCAAAAATTTTGCCTATATGTGATTACTACTGAGATTGATCTTGCAGTGGAATTATCACAATTCAATGCGATTATTGTATGAGGATTCTTCAAAATGAACAGAATCATTATTCAAACGATTCGATAAAGTTGTCGATTTTGTATTATAAAATTCGTTTTTTTGGGTTTCGATTTTCAAATTTGAAAAAAAGCAATAATAAATGCAATTTATTTATTCTGTAATGACAATAACCGGTATTGCTTTTTTTGGAAAATTTGGCATATTGATCTAAATGAAAAATCTATAAATTATTTACATATATTCTTATTTTTTTTTTTTTTTTTTTTTGATCGTTTCACTTTCTCTATGCATGTGTGTTCGATTTTTTTTTGTGAATTTTGGACTATAAAAAGTTTATAAACTATTTTAATGTTATTCATTCGAATCATTTTGATGTGTATAGTCATATGTGGATAAAAAAAACCAATGTGTAAAATTCAAATTCCAATCATGACAAACATATTTGATCGTTTTAAGTATTATCATCAATTTGAACAATTATTAGATCAAACAAATTATCGATGGCGTATTCTGGAATTTTCGGTGCTTTTATTTAATACAATTCGTTTCATGTTTTATGTAATACTTACATTCATTGGTGAATCCATTGTATATCGATATTGTCCACAGGATACAACCGCTGCACCATTATTTCATTATTATGAACATATGAAAAACGGAACGTCGATTAATATTGTTGATTGTCGAAGCACAGCGATTATCCTTTGTACATTTCTAATGTTTATTCTACATAGTGAATATATGTTATTTTTGACCAATCACGATTCAATTACTTGGCATCTATTATACGATATTTCCAATAGAAATTATGATAATTATCTTAAATCAATAATAAATTTGAAAAAAATTGATTCAATCCGTTCGGTGTTTCGAATGATATTCCCTGATAATCATAAATATCCAATGAATACTGGTAATGATGATGATGATAAATTTAAAATGACAATAATGATGAAGATGAATAATCGACAGAATTTTCTAAATAAATATTTCAATCATCTTATCATGAATGTTGATTTACTAAAATTTCGAAAATCCAAATTAAATGTATTCAATTACTGTGGCATTGAAACACGTATCTATCTTGTATTTACAATGATTTTGTTACATTTAATTGATGTTTTCCTTATGATTTTGGTTTATTTGACAATAACAATTAGTAGTTGGAAATATTATCAATTTATATCGGAAAATATGGCTGATTTATGGCCAATGGCCATATTTGATTGCATGTCATTTATATATTGTGGACATATTTTCTTCAGGAATGCATCACTTTATTTTAATTTTTCATTAATCAGTGTTGTATTCTATGCATCACATATGAACGACTGGAAAGAAAAATTTCAAAAATTAATTCAACAAAAAACAAATTATTCAAAGATGACTAAATTATATTTAGATTATCAACATATAATAAATTGGCAACGATTCCAGCGACAACATCGTCATATTGTCTATTGTCTCGTGAATAGTGGACGTATTACATGGAATATTATATTCTTTATGGGCATTCCGGCTAATCTACCAATGAATATTCTGTTTATGTATAAATTAATATTCGTACGAAATTCAATGAAGGAACAATTAATGTATATCGGATTCTTAACATTTCAAATGCTTGTATTATCAAGTATAATACATATTGCTGCCATGATGAATTCTTCTGTGCATCAATTTAAGCGACAATTGCCAGGCTTACAGATTTACACGAAACAACCGCGTATTAAATGGCAAATCTTAGAATACTATGAACGTTTAACCGATAATCGTAATGGTTTCGGTTTATATTTTGGTGGTATTTCGGTTATTGATTATAATAATTCTTTTCAGGTAAATTTTCGAGAGAGGATATTTTTTATTTAAACTTTTTTTTCTTTTTTCTCTCACTAGTTATTGATATCGTATTTTGGACTCATGTTGATCATGTTTAAAACATTCATTAATAATGCTGCTGTCTAAAATGAATTTTCAATTGATCAAGACTATTTTTTGATTCACCAGTAATTATTTCACGATACCATATTTTAGTAGATGTAATTTAGTTATTACAATAAAAATGAATAAAGTTTGAAAATTTTCAAAAATAAAAATTCAGCTTTTGATTTTTTAAAAATAGCTTCTTGATTTTTTTTTCTGGATTTTATCATCATTTGGATGGACACAATGTGAAATCTATATAGAAACTTTCATGGGTGAATTTTAACGTGTGGTCATAGCAAATTCTAGTAACGGCGCAAAAAAAGCGACAATTTTCCCAGCTTTTTGATCTGATTTTTGTCTGGAAAGAAACTATCGAAAATTTATCAGCTGCTTATAGAGCCCTCATTTAAAAACGATTAAAAAGTGAACGTCTCAAGAATATGCAAGAATTTGCAAATATCAAACATAAAAATAATGAATTTCCCAAAACTGGCAACTTGAATTTTGCAATTTTAAATTTAAAATTTTTTTCATTTTAAACTGCTTGGCCCTTGACATTCAAATTTTATTGTTAATACTGATATATGTCTAAAGATTTTTTTTCATCACTAAAATAATCGAATCATTTCATGGCAAAAATTACAAACCATTTCATGATGCATTTGCCAATGTATATGATGTTTCATAAATTTTTATCACTTCCGTCCAACGCTTCATCATTATTATTATTATTTTTTTTTTGCCGCCTGTGAATCATTATCATTATTTTCTTGGCGTTTTTTTGATTATTTTATCAATGTTTTTTGGCCAATAATGAAAACTTTTTATTAAGTCCTCACCTTTTTCAAGTCAACTTTTCACTTGGCCAGTTGATTGGTGGTGGTATTGGTTTTTTTTTCCTGGTCGTGTTGCTTCTATTTATGTATTGATTCTAAAAATTCTTTTCAACTATATTATTATTGATTGAATACACCGAAAAAAATCAACAAAAAGGGATTTTATTTCTCCATTTAAAATGTTTTAGATTTTAATTTCATTTATTTCATAATAAATGTTGATTTTGACTTCACTTTTTTTATACAATTAGTAATGAAATAAATTTGTATTACGAAAATGATTTTTTAATTTTCAAATTTCAAAAAAAAACACCATAATAATAATGATAAATGTAATTTTTTCGGAAAAAAAATGGTCTTGTCTTTGGAGGAATTTTTTTTTCTTTTTAATGATCTAAATGAAAAAGTATTATTTATTCTTACTTGATTTCTTTTTTTTTTTGGGCGTATGTTTTTAATTTTCTTGGAAATTTTTGACTATATAAACTATTTCAATATAATTCATTTGAATCATTTTGATGTGTATGTGGAGTAATGTCATATGTGGTAAAAAAAACCAGTGCAAAATTCAAATTTCCAATCATGTCGATTTTATTTGATCGTCTTAAATATTATCAACAATTTGAACAATTATTAGATACAACAAATTATCGATGGCGTATTCTGGAATTTTCGGTGCTTTTATTTAATACAATTCGTTTCATGTTTTATGTAATACTAACATTCATCGGTGAATCCATTGTATATCGATATTGTCCACTGGATACAACTGCTGCACCATTATTTCATTATTATGAACATATGAAACACGGAACGTCGATTCATATTGTTGATTGTCGAATCACAGCTATTATTCTTTGTACATTTCTAATATTTATTCTACATAGCGAGTATATGTTATTTTTTACCGATCGCGATTCAATCTCATGGCGTCTAGTGTACGACATTTCCAATAGAAATTATGATAATTATCTTAAATCAATAATAAATTTAAAAAAAATTGATTCAATCCGTTCGGTGTTTCGAATGATATTCCTTGATAATCAGGAATATCCAATGAATACTGATGATGATGATGAACGAATCAAAATGACAATGATGATGAAGATGAAAAATCGACAGAATTTTCTGAATAAATATTTCAATCATCTTATCATAAATGTTGATTTACAGAAATTTAGAAAATCAAAATTAAATGTATTCAATTACTGTAGCATTGAAACACGTATCAATCTTGTATTCACAATGATTATGTTACATTTAATTGATGTTTTTTTCTTGATTTTTGTTCACATAACAATAACAATTAGTAGTTGGAAATATTATCAATTTATATCGACAAATATGCCTGATTTATGGCCAATGGCCATGTTTGATTGCATGTCCTATATATATTGTTTACATATTATTTTCAGGAATGCAACACTTTATTTTAATTTTGCATTAATCAGTGTAGTATTCTATGCATCACATATGTACGAGTGGAAAGAAAAATTTCAACAAAAATCCAAATATTTAAAATGACTAAATTATGTTCAAATTATCAACATATAATAAATTGGCAACGATTCCAGCGACAACATTGTCATATTATCTATTGTCTCGTGAATAGTGGACGTATTACATGGAATATTGTATTCTTTATGGGCATTCTGGCTAATCTACCATTGAATATCATGTTTATGTATAATTTAATATTCGTACGAAATTCAATGAATGATCAATTAATATATATTGGATTCTTAACATTTCAAATGATTGTATTATCAAGTATAATACATATTGCTGCTATGATCAATTTTTCGGTCCATCAATTTAAACGACAATTGCCTGGTTTACAGATTTATACGAAACAACCGAGTATTAAATGGCAAATCCAAGAATATTATGAACGTTTATCCGATAATCGTAATGGTTTCGGTTTATATTTTGGTCGTATTTCGGTTATTGATTATAAAAATTCTTTTCAGGTAAATTTTTGAAAGAAAAAAAAATTTTGTTTAAATTTTTTTCCTTCTTCATTCACTAGATATTAATGTCATATTTTGGACTCATGTTGATCATGTTTAAAACATTCAATAAAAATAATGCTACTGTCTAAAATCATTTGAAGATATTATTTCTTGTAAATGTAATAGATTTACGATTAATTCTCCTTCTAATTGTATTAGATTTTAATTTCATATATTTCCTACTAAATGTTGATAATGTTTGTTTACATTTTTCTTCAATAATGAATTGATGATTGATTTGTATTGTGAAATTCATTTTTTTGATTTTAAATTTGTAAACAAGCAATAATAATAAATGTAATTGATGATTCTGTAGAAAAAAAAATCGGTCTTGTTTTTTTTTTGCGGAAAATTTGGCATATGATCCTTAATGAAAAATCTATAAATTATTTACATATATTTTTCTTTATTGTTTTTTCTTTATTGTTTTTTCTTTATTTGATTGTTTCACTTTCTCTATGCATGTGTGTTCGATTTTCTTGTGAATTTTGGACTATATATAAACCATTTCAATGGGATTCATTCGAATCATTTTGATGTGTATAGTCATATGTGGTAAAAAATAAAACCAATGTGTAAAATTCAAATTTTCAATCATCATGTCGATTATATTTGATCGTCTAAAATATTATCATCAATTTGAACAATTATTAAATTTAGCCAATTATCATTGGTGGATTCTAGAATGTTTGCTACTTTCATTTCATACAATTCGTTTTATGTTTTATGTAATACTTACATTCATGGATGAATCCATTGTATATCGATATTGTCCACTGGATACAACTGCTGCGCCATTATTTCATTATTATGAACATATGAAAAATGGAACGTCGATTAATATTGTTGATTGTCGAATCACAGCTATTATTCTTTGCACATATCTAATATTTATTCTACATAGTGAATATATGTTATTTTTAACCGATCGCAATTCAATCTCATGGCGTCTATTGTACGACATTTCCAATAGAAATTATGATAATTACCTTAAATCAATAATAAAGTTGAAAAAAATTGATTCAATCCATTCGGTGTATCGAATGATATTCCATGATAATCATAAATATCCAATGAATACTGATGATAATGATGATGATGAACGATTCAAAATGACAATGATGATGAAGATGAATAATGGACAGAATTTTCTAAATAAATATTTCAATCATCTTATCATGAATGTTGATTTACAGAAATTTCAAAAATCCAAATTAAATGTATTCAATTACTGTGGCGTTGAAACACGTATCTATCTTGTATTTACAATGATTTTGTTACATTTTATTGATGTTTTTCTCATGATTTTGGTTTATATGACAATAACAATTAGTAGTTGGAAATATTATCAATTTATATCGGCAAATATGGCTGATTTATGGCCAATGGCCATATTTGATTGCATGTCCTATATATATTGTGGACATATTTTAGTCAGGAATGCATCACTTTATTTTGATTTTTCATTCATCAGTGTCGTATTTTATGCATCGCATATGAACCAATGGAAAGAAAAATTTCAAAAATTATTTCAACTAAAACAAAAATCAAAAATCAAAACAATTACTAAATTATGTTCAAATTATCAACAAACAATAAATTGGCAACGATTCCAGCGACAACATTGTCATATTATCTATTGTCTCATGAATAGTGGACGTATTACATGGAATATTGTAATCTTTATGGGCATTCTGGCTAATATACCATTGAATATTCTGTTCATGTATAAACTAATATTAGTACAAAATTCAATGAATAATCAATTAATGTATATTGGATTCTTAATATTTCAAACATTTGTATTATTAAGTGTAATACATATGACTGCTATAATTCATTTTTCCGTACATCAATTTAAACGACAATTACCAGGCATACAGATTTGTATGAAACATCCGAGTATTAAATGGCAAATCTTAGAATATTATGAACGTTTAACCGATAATCGTAATGGTTTCGGTTGGTATTGTGGCAGTATTTCGGTTATTGATTATAAAAATTCTTTTCAGGTAAAATTTCAAAAGAGAAAATTTTTCTTTTTTTAAACTTTTTTTTCATTCTTCACTCACTAGATATTGATCTCGTATTTTGGACTCATGTTGATCATGTTTAAAGCATTCATCAATAATGCTGCTAATTAAAATGAATTTTCAATTGACCAAGACTATTTTTTTGATTCACCAGTAATTATTTCACTATACCATATGTTTAGTAGATGTAATAGAGTTACAATAAAAATGAATAAAGTCTGAAAATTTAAAAAAAAAATTTCGATCGTCATGGTCACAAGGCCAGTGCAAGCTATTTTTTTAAGCTTTGAAATTTTACCATGACAATCAGTCATTTTTCCAAATGAATAGCAATGGGTTTTTTTTTCATTAATTACGATCGATAACAATGTACGACAACCACAGTGCACTTTTTTTATAGAAAAAGTAAAGATCAAACATTCGAAACATTTTGCCCATTTGTTTTTTTTTGTTGCTTTCTCTCATGGTTCTATTTCAAATTTTTTATGGGCCAATTTTCGTTTTGTTTTGTTTTGCTTTTTGATTGTTATAAAAATGGCTTCTTAATTTTTATTCCAGGATTTTATTATCATTTGGATGGACACAATGTGAAATCGAATCGTAGAAACTAAAAAAAAAAAAAAAAATGAAATGAAATGAATCAAAAATCGATCGATACAAATTCATAAAATTTATATTACCAAATCACAAATGATGGGCCATCATGATGTTTGATGATTGACAAAACAAAACAAAAAGGGCCCGATTAAAGGCTGAAATGAATACATTTCGTTGATTGAAACAAGATGATGTCGATGAAAGTGGGTAAAGAATCCAATCAAAGGTTTGGCCTTTTTTCTGCTGTCACCTCTCTCTCTCTCTCTCTCTCTCTCTCTCTCTCTCTCTCTTTCTCTCTTTCACTCATTTATTCAAATTCAATTCTAATCAATAAATTTTTCGGTTTTATCATTGGCGATGACAATATAATGATTGTTGTTGTTGTTGTAAGTTGATGATTATTTTCGTTACGCGTACTATAAAAACAGCACACAATAGTGTGCTTGTTAGTGTTGTGTGAATACGTCTCGTTCTCCTTTTTTCTCTCTCTCTCTCTCATTTCCCCTTCACACTTTTCGAATGTGTAACAGAACAAAACAAAAAACACATTCATTTATGTGTCGAAAACTTTGAACAAAAAAAAATCGAACATCGAAAACAATCATTGAAAATTGACCAAATAATGATGATGATGATGGAAAAGCTGTTGTTGAATTTTCAACATCATCATCAACAACATCAAACCAACCACCAGTTATATATTGACAAAAGTCATTGATGAAAAGATATCACCTTTTTTCTCACTATTTTTTTGCCTTTAACAATATCATGATTATGGGTGATGATGATGATGATGATGATGATAAGTGTTGAACCAGCGAAATTTCACTTTTTTTTCGTTTTGTTCGTTTATATTTCTCAATTGAATAGAGAAAATTATTCATTTTGATGACAATTGAGTGAGTGAGTGAGTGAGTGAGTGAGAGAAATTGAGAGCCGAATTATTATAATACACACACACACACACGTTTATACAATAAAAACCCGGCTAAATTTTTTTTTTTTTTTTTGTTTCCATTCATTCAAACAAAAATACAATTGATGAGATGGTGTTTTGTGTGCTGTGCACATTCTCATTCGAATATTTCACATTAGATCTAGCGTCCGTCCGCGTTCATTGGTTTTTTTTTTGGTTTGAACAAAAGATATACCTACTTCAAAAAAAAAGAAATAAATACTCAATATGTCTCGTTTTTTTTTTGACTCTTCAAGTGGATTAAATAGAGGGATCTACTTACCTCAATTCTCCATTATTATCACCTCTCGAATCACTTATTATTATGGCTTTTGTGTGTGTGTGTGTGTGTGTTGTATTCGATTCACTCGGTCCCTTCATTTTTGCTCACTATTGTTGTTTCTGTGTTGGCTTTTATGTTTTTTTTTCCAGTATTAGTTTCAGGATTTTATTGTTGTTGTTGTTGTTGTTGGCTTTTGACACTTATTTACGCTAGTATATACGGTTGCGGCTACCGCCGTTTTTGACATTCGAACATTTTACACGCACATGCACACATATATCGATATAAAAGTATCGATTATATCGAAACATTTAATGCGTCTGTGATTATCCAAACATAAATCCATGTGGTTATGTTTTCATTTTGAAAATTTTATCTTAATCAGATTAAAATCAATCACAATCATGATTGATAATAAAAACGAAAATCAATCTAATAATAATGATGAACAAATGTAATCCGATACTTATCCATTGAAAATAATCGATGGTGAGGGTCGTATATCGATTTCATTATATTATTTGATGATTTTCATCATGAAAAATTATTTATGATGACAAAATGTTTGATCGATCCTTTTTACTACTAAAGCGCAAAAAAAATTCCACTGAAAAAAAACAATCAAAAAAATTTTTAAAGATCAAATGAATATTGGCCGTTAAAATTTTAAGGTGTTGAAAAAATTTTTTTTTTTTTACTGAAAAGAATTGTTATTGAAATGAAGAGAGAGAAGTAACAATAAAATCAAAATCAAGTGGTTGCTTGCTTGGTTGGTTGGTCGATTGTTGTTGTAGTCGTCGTTTTTGAGTAAGAAGAAAAAAAAATTGGGGCCCATCATTTTTTTTGTTTCATAAAATTTGGACCTAGCTTGCGGGGCGTCCTTTTTTTCAACACCGACAACAACAACAACAACAACAAGGACAATGTTACAAATGAGTTGAAGGCTCACTCGAGAGGCTCAAACACACACACACACACACACACAAGAAAAAGGAGGAAAATTTTTTTTTTTTTTTTGATCCCAAAATTTGATCAAAAAAAAAAGCCAATGTGATCGCCTCATTGCCCATAGCATAGCCACATAATGTGTGTGTGTGTGTGTGTGTGTGTTTAGGACTTATTCAACAATTCCAGACGACGACTATCACGACAATAATTGTCAAAAAAGGTAAATTTCACAATATTGTTTGCTTGTTACCGCTAGCTATCTAAAAGAGGTTGTCGGGATTTTTTTTTCTTCAATTCAATTCAATTCAATTCAATCCAGTTCATTTCATTTCATTTCATTCATTCAATTTGATTTCTTCAAATTTTCAACAGATTCATTTATAATAATAATAATATATGTTTGTTCGTCCAATATTGTAATGAAATGATCTTCACATTTTTTTTTTCGCTTACACTCGTTCATTTCATATTCGGTTCATTTACACAATTTTGGATCGTTTTCATTCAATTTTGGTCGATAGAGAGAGAGAGAAGAAAAGTGGAAATAAAAAAGATTTCTTTCGAATAATTCGGCCACTTTTCTTAACGATTTACAAAAAAAAAAACAACACTCAATTGAGACATCCACTTTAAAAAAAAATATACATAAGTCATTTGGTTTCGTCGTCATCGTCGTCGTTGTTGTTGTTGTTGATGATGATGATGATGATGATTCACAACTATTTCCACACACTAAAGCCGCCTAAAGTTTTGAGTGTTTTTATTCGTTTTCTTGGTTTTTATCCAATTCCAATTATATTTACTGTCTTTGATGATGAGATGATTCGATTGTTTCTGTATACACATGATGATTTCGAGAATATGATATTTCCGAAACAAACAAACAAAAATGGATCGATCATTTTTATGATGATGATGATGATGATGATGATGATCAAAATATTTTGAATTGTTAACAAAATATTAGAATAAGAAAAAAAATCAATCGATCATTGCTGATTATGAAGAAGAAAGTAATTAACAATTAATTAATCATTATAAAATGACAGATGATTTTTTCTCTCTCTCTCTTTCTTATTCTTTCGCCAGAAATGATAATTATCGAATCAAATTCAAATTCAAATCCAAGAAATGAATTAGTTTGTCATTCCACCAGTAGCCAAATGATGGACAACAACAACAAAAAAAAAACCGAATCGAATTCATTTGAATATTATATTGGATATATATATATTTGGGTGCGTCCTCATGAATTGAATGATGATGATGATAACCGTTACAAATTTAACCGTAACAAATATACCTAAATACATGACATGTGTATATGTTGTCCGAATTATATTAACTCTGTCACCAATTTACAAATACCGTGATTGGCGGCTCTCTCTCTTTCTGGTACCCAGGCATGTTCACATATATACTTGACTTGTTTAATTTTTTGAATGTAAAATATATTTGCTTTTTATAATATATATAAGTAGGAAACAAAATCAACACAACTCTCTATTGGTCATCGTCATTCGATTTGTTGTTGTGAGTAAAAATGCGTAACCAATTTTCTTATTTTCTTCTCTTTTTTTTCTCGTTTTGATTTAATTCAATCCAGAAACAAATTAATAATTCCAAATGGCAAGGTAAGATTCAGTAGCCGGTTTTTTTCATTCATTTCATTTCATTCTGAATTTTTTTTCTTTTATATTATTTCCAATCTCTCCTATATAGTTTACAAATCCATTGTCCGTCGATTTTTGAATGGTAAACATTGATATCTAAATCACAAATTTTGTTAATAATCAATTTATATATGCATATCAAAGTACTTAAAATGTTGGAACAATAATGGTACAAAAAAAAACTTGACAACAAGCCGCAACAAAAAAAAATTGATTCAACCAAGAAAAAAATAGTTGTCTCTAGATCATCGATTTTGAATTTCTTTTCTTATAAACTTCAAAACTAAAAATTTCAAATCGGATTTGTGATTATATTTCATTGATTGATGATCAGATCTCTTTATTTTATTATCGAAGCGTGACACTTTTTCGCCAGAAATGATAATTATCGAATCAAATTCAAATTCAAATCCAAGAAATGAATTAGTTTGTCATTCCACCAGTAGCCAAATGATGGACAACAACAACAAACAAAAAAAAACCGAATCGAATTCATTTGAATATTATATTGGATATATATTTGGGTGCGTCCTCATGAATTGAATGATGATGATGATAACCGTTACAAATTTAACCGTAACAAATATACCTAAATACATGACATGTGTATATGTTGTCCGAATTATATTAACTCTGTCACCAATTTACAAATACCGTGATTGGCGGCTCTCTCTCTTTCTGGTACCCAGGCATGTTCACATATATACTTGACTTGTTTAATTTTTTGAATGTAAAATATATTTGCTTTTTATAATATATATAAGTAGGAAACAAAATCAACACAACTCTCTATTGGTCATCGTCATTCGATTTGTTGTTGTGAGTAAAAATGCGTAACCAATTTTCTTATTTTCTTCTCTTTTTTTTTCTCGTTTTGATTTAATTCAATCCAGAAACAAATTAATAATTCCAAATGGCAAGGTAAGATTCAGTAGCCGGTTTTTTTCATTCATTTCATTTCATTCTGAATTTTTTTTCTTTTATATTATTTCCAATCTCTCCTATATAGTTTACAAATCCGTTGTCCGTCGATTTTGAATGGTAAACATTGATATCTAAATCACAAATTTTGTTAATAATCAATTTATATATGCATATCAAAGTACTTAAAATGTTGGAACAATAATGGTACAAAAAAAAACTTGACAACAAGCCGCAAAAAAAAATTGATTCAACCAAGAAAAAAATAGTTGTCTCTAGATCATCGATTTTGAATTTCTTTTCTTATAAACTTCAAAACTAAAAATTTCAAATCGGATTTGTGATTATATTTCATTGATTGATGATCAGATCTCTTTATTTTATTATCGAAGCGTGACACTTTCTGGTTCTGAAAACCAACACCTCGGTAATGATTGAAAATGAACTGTATTCGACTAATTCATTCATTTATTTAGTTATGCAACATAAATCACGTGAAAAGTTTCAGATATTCAAAACACTCTCACACATGCACACACACATATATATATATCGACCGTTGATCCGATTAAAAATAGATCCAAAAAAAAAACAATCGGATTATTCATTCATTTCAATTTTATAGGTTTCAATGAAAAGAAAAACAAAAATTATCAATTACTACATATCCTATAATGATGGTGAAATTGGCACCATAACTTGGGAAAAATTCAATTTTATTTCTCTCTCTCTCTCTCCAAAAAAAAGAAAAAAATTCTTTAAAACACAAAACAATAACAAAAACAATAATTTTTTTTTCTCTTTTGATGAAAAATTCTCTTTTTGTTTCTATATCCAATGTGGATATGGAAATGAATGATGATAATGATGTGCCAATGTCGCCAATGGCAATGATGATGATGATGATGGTATTGGTAATAATGATGATGGTGGTGGTAGTGATGGTCGTTGATGTGTTTTAACATGTTTTTTCAAATGATCTTTACGACCAAAACGTTTACTACATACATTACATGCAAATGGCCGTAATCCAGTGTGTATACGTTTATGACGTGTTAATTCTTCATTACGTGTGAATGTTTTACCACAATTTTGATGATCACAAATGAATGGTCTTTCACCTTTTTTTTCCGAGACAACAACAACAAAAAAAAAATAAGAATCAAAAATTTTGCTTTTCAAAATCAAATTCCAAAATAAAAAAAAACTTACCCGTATGAATACGAATATGACCTTTAAGCTGGCCATTATTGGAAAAGGACACTTGACAATGTGGACATTGAAATCGTTTTGGACGCTGTTTTTTCATCATCCCGTTATTATTATTATTATTATTAATATTGGTCGTGGTCGTCGTTGATGTTATTGTTGTTTCCGGTTGTTGTGGTTGTGCTGTCGTCAATAGATTCGACGATGATGATATTGAAAGACAATCATTTGTTGGATTATTCAATAATTTTGTCATTGAATTTTTGATTTTTTCATAATCAAAACCACTCGTGAATTGTGGTAACATTGATTTTGGTATGAAATCGTTCATGTTTTGTAAATGAAAATTTGTAGCTGAAAAATAATTTTCAAAAAAATTTTGAAAATTCATTGTCGATGATTGTGATGATTTTATTTGGCCAGTAGTATTCATCATTGAATTTTGATGATTATGATTATGATGATTATGATGATAATGATGAAAATATTGTTCGAAAAAATATTCCGCACCAAATGGTCCATAATGAAATTGTTGTGTTGATTGCGTTTGTTGCTGCAGTGGCTGTTGTTGATTAAAAAAATTGGCCATAAATTCTTGTGGAATTGATCGATAATCATAATGATCAATGATCGCCGTCGGTGGTGGTGGTGGTGGTGGTGGTGGAATTCTTGTTGATACTTGTTGCTGAGAAGGATGTTGTTGTTGTTGTTTTTTCATTCGAATCGAATCTTTTGGGGAATATTTCGGCAAAGAAACTTTACGTTCAATCATTGTGTTCGAACATTGTGTTGAAGATGCTGCTACTACTGATGTTTCGGTCATGGATAATGAAGAATCCCATGGTCGAAATATGGATTTATTTGGATTCATTATTTCATCGGAAAAAAAATTTTTTGAATACACTATGTTATTGAATTCTGTGAATCTTGTGAATCAATAAATGCTTGAATGAATGATTGACAAATTTTCTTTGCATTGTCTAATTGTTGTGGGCCATTTTTTCGAGTGTTTTTCATTTCATTTCATTTCTTTTCTTTTCTGCTGGTTCAGGTCCAAAATGTCAAATGTTCTAATAGTTTCAAAATCTAATTTTCAAGTGGACATGGACAAAAACCATTTACACCTCTCTGAATTTAAATAGTAAGAAAAACAAAATTTTTTTCCATTTCCAAGTTACACTTTGGTGTTGATGATGGTGGTGGGAGTGGTGGAGAGTGACAGGGGGGAGTGGGGGTGAAATGGTGTTTTGTTCCATCAATAATAATAGCCGATTATCAGAGTTTTTTTTTGTTCGCACTGTAACAATATCGACTCACTTATTCATTTATGCCGCCACATCGATAGTGTTAATAATAAACAACACACAATAACCAAATACAATAAGACCATAGGGGCCCAATTTAAGGTTTTTTTTGTTGTCAACACTGTGACAACTGCCGCCATTATCATCATCATCATCTATAGTTTAGCCATAAGGTTTTCTTGGTGTGATTTCAATACAGAAAAAAATGGAAAATAAACCCATCCCATTCATAAATAAAATAATAATAATTTTTTTCCAAATAATAGAATCCATGATGTGTTAAAAACCCACCCTGGTTCACTTTATAAATACGAAAAGAAGGAGGAGTATAATAATGTAAAAAATAGATGGATAAGAAGAAGGTTAAAATAGGCGACCTTTTTTCCCTATCATGATCATCATGATCATGATGATGATGATGATGGAGGCCGTGATTTACCGTTTTTTTTCATCATCATCATCATCATCATCAATACCGATTTGAGCGTAGTACAGTAGTGTACAGGGTCCCTGTTTATCATTTAATATCTAGATAGTCGGTTTTGGTCGGTTTGATTTTTTTTTCATTCATTCTTTCATTCATCATTCCTGTGTGTGTATGTGTGTTTTGATTTGATTTTGGGTTTTTTCATTTCATTTTGTTATTTGGTTATTCACACATCAACGCCTTGCCTATTTTTTTTTTTTTTTTTTTTGTCATTTTTGTTCACTAGTAGCAATAGCAATATAGATATTGTTCACTTTTTTGTTTTATTTCCCACTTTTAAACATTTACACCTCAATAATAACAACAACCAGAACAGAAAAAAAAAATGAAACCCATGAACACTTGAAAATCTGGATCATTCAAATATATCCACTAAAGTGGTTGTTGTCATTTGATTGGTGATGGTGGTGGTGGTCGTGTGGTTTTCATGGTTCATAGGATTAGATTGTTGTCGTTAGTAAAAATGTAATAAAGAAGTAGACAAGAGAAAAAAAATTTGCTTTATTTTTAAAATTTCATTTTTATTTTTCTTTTTCTTTTATTTGGTCAAATTGACTGTTCTTCTTCTTCTTCTTCAGTAGATGAATAGATGAATGGTCAAATTATTTTTTTGAATCTCCTTCTGGCATTATCAATGCTGAATTCACTGAACCACCATCGACCAATAAACAGACACCATTAATAAAACTAGCCGCATCAGATGCTAAATATGCAACAGCATTAGCACAATCTAATGGTTCACCAATACGTCCAACTGGATAGGATAATGCAGCCGCTTCAGCCATACGATCAGTGTTTAGATCACTATTTTTTACTTTATTGAATATCGGTGTACGAATGGCAGCCGGATTAATAGCATTACAACGAATATGTTTAGGACCCAATTCTAATGCCATCGATTTGGTAAACATATCGATAGCCGCTTTAGACATTGCATACAATGTATTATTTGCCGCCTTTTAGAAATTTAAAAAAAAACAAAATCAATATTAATTGATTGATAACAAACGCCATCTATAGTTTGTACTTACAGGTTTTTGTGCAGAAACACTTGATACATTGACAATATTACCATGTGTTTTAGCCAAATATGGTATAGCCAATTTGGTCAAATGAACCACACTACGTACATTTATATGGAACATCATATCATAATTTTGCATATAATTATCATCCCAAATTGATGCAATCTGATATGCACCGGCATTATTAACCAAAACATCTAATTTACCAAATGTTTCAATAGTTTTATTCAATAATCTTGCTGCATCTTCTTCTTTACTAACATCACCAATTATTTCCAATACTTTTGCAGATGATGATGATGATAATGATGATTGTCTACAACGTTCACCAACACGTTTTAAACGTTCAACATTACGTCCAGTTATTGTTATATTAGCACCAAGTGATGATAAATGTATGGCAATTCCTTCACCAATACCAGAACTTGAACCTATGAATAAACAAAACAAAAAAAAAAAGAATAAAATTATTCAACAAACGGACAACCACTGTACCAAAAAAATATGTACCTGTAACCAATACAACTTTATCTTTGAAATCATAACGAATCGACATTGTTGATTTTTGGCTAAAATTTCTTCTACTACTACTACTACTACTACTGGAAAACAAACCAAAATGAGCCAATGAAATTTGATTATTAATAGAATTTCTACATGGATATTTAAATAATAACAACAATGAAGAATAACGTAATGATTGTGGAATCGTATTCATCATCATCAGCAACAGCAACAATGAAATATTGTCAAAATAAACGAAGAAAAATTAAATCAATAAAATAATCAAATGAAATGAAAACATTAACAACTACAACTTACCCGATCAATATATCGATATTGTTGAAAATAAAGATTATTGTAGAATGAATGGTGTTGAATCAAAAGAAAAATTTATGCCAAAACACAAACACACACACACACACAATGATAGATAGAAAATCTGGTGACAAAGATTATTATTGATTTTTACAATATAAACATATGAGATGATGATGATACAATTTAATATCGTTCGATTTCGATTTTTGATTTTTGATTTTATTGTTGTTGTTGTTGTTACATTTGGTGATGTGATGTGATGATATTTCAATTTCCACTCATATAAATCGTTGTTGTTGTCGTCGTCGTCGTCGTCGTTATCAATTTGACCACTGATTGAATAAATGAATGAATGAATTGGCTGATTTTTTTTTGTTTTTGTGTGTGTGTGTCTGTATTTGGTGAACAAACATCAAGTTGTTGTTGTTGTTGTTGAAAAAACCACACCCACTGACAACAGGATTTTCTATCATCATCATCATCATCGTCATTATTATCATCATCATTGAAATTAAAATGAAAAAAAGAAAATTTTTTTCGTACAGTAATTGCCTGTATTTTTTTATTTCTTGAAAATCATTATAAATAATATAATCATTGCTGCCATCCAAGGTCATCTTATAATGAAATGCATGAAAATGATGATTGGATTTATTCACCATCATCATCGTCGACAACAACAGGTGTATTGGATCATTATTATTAATGGATTTATATTGATAAATAAATTGATGCACACACACAAATACCATAACCATAACCAAGTGTCAAATTATAATTGTGGCTGTGCATACTTGAAACTTTTTTTTTTTGGACATTTTATAATTTAATTTTGATGATTCATTGAAAACATTGTTCCGGATTTCCGGTCACTAATACTATTTGAAAAATTGATATCAATTCATTTGATTACCACAGAAACAAACCAACAAAAAAAAAAACCATTTCCTTTTACATGAATATAAATAGTCACTCGATCGATTACAATAGAAGAAATGGAAATGGGAAAAAAAAAAGATGAAACAGTTGAAAAGTGCAAGAGAACAAAAAAAAACTTTTTCGTTTCGTTGTTGTTCGTCTGGTGAATGGAAATTTTTTTTTCTTTTGTAAAATTCTATGAAAAAGTTTTTATTTTTTTTTTTTTTTTTTTTTTTGACAAAAGAGAATTTTTATGCAACAGAATTTTTTTTCTTTTTGCAAACACACACACACACACACAAAGATATAATGTCCATGCATTATATTTCCAATTGTTCATTGCAAAGAGTAATCATTTCATTCATTTTGGGTTGTATAATACCAACAAATGTGGACAAATAAATGATATTGAAATTTGTTTTTTCCCATCGACAACAACAACAACAACAACAACAACGAGAACAACGAGAAAATGGAAATTATTTAATAATGAAGATTGATCCACAGAAAAAAGAATGGATGAAATCTATAGATTCTGGCCTTTTTTTCTGTTTGGCATAAATAAACACACACACACACACACACACATGATTCTCTATTGTTCATTGAATGATGATCATCATCATCATCGATATATAGTCGTAAATATTAATGAATTTTCACGTGAAACTCAAATTTTCATCAAATTTGCCATGTATATATGATGATGATGATATAATACTAGAGTAAAATTTCAATTCAATTTCAATTTTTTAAAAAAAAAATTTCCGTTTTTTTTATTTCAATCATCATTTTCATGGTTTGTGATGAATGATTTAAAATTGAAAATTTTCCACCATCATCAACCCTGTCATAAATGACGTAACATGTTTCGGATATGATGATGATGATGATGATGAACAACAAACATTCGAATTTTGTCTTTTTTTGTCAATTATCAAATTATCTGATTAATTCATTTTATGATACTTTTGAGTCCAATGATTTTTTTTTCACACACACACACACACAACGATATTTGTGCCAATTTTTTTTTATATATATTCATTAAAACAGAAAAAAAAATGAAAATTTCAATTCAATTTTTTATTTCATTTCATTTCATCATTTTATTATTCCATTAAAATTCATTATTATGATTATGTATGTCATTAAAATGGGTGTGGTGGTGGTGGTCTGTGGTCGTGTTGGTTAGTGATGGTTAATGATGGTGACACTTTTTTTTTGCAATTTTCATCGAAATTCATCATCATTTTTTTTGGCTAAAAATAAAGGATACAGATAAAGATTTGTTATTTTTCGAGAACCAAAAAAAAAAAAAAAACAACAAAAATCTCAAGTGAATGAATGAATCAAATGTGAAAAAAAAATTAAAAAGATTAACAAATACAAAAAAAACACACTCATCATCATGGAAATGGATTCTATATTCTGTATTTGTGCGTGTGTGTGTGTGTGTGTTGTTTTGTTTAGACCGGCCTTTTGGGTATCATTATTATTATTATTTTCCACAAAATTCCACCAAAAAAAAAACAAAAAAAGGTACCGAATGTAAATACACATTAAGTTTTTATAATAATCATTTCTTTTCTTTTTTTTTTTTTTTTGGTTTCGTTCCATCATCATCATCATCATACCTTGTTGTTGTTGATGATGATGATGATGATGATGATATTTCTCAACATTGCCAAAAAAAGGGGACATCAAAGGGCAATGAAAACGAATGTTTGTAAATATAAAGAAGATGAATGATGATAAATTATTGATGTAACCACCACCATATTGATGATGATGATGATGATTATCTATGTGAGTGAAATTGGAAATGAAACAACCAAAAAAAAAAAGAGAATCTGTATTCGTTTGTCTATCTGTGTGTGTGTGGTTTTGTTTTGTTTTTTTCGTGATCATCCAGTTTTTTTTTCTTCATTTCATCATCATGATATTCTGGTATTTAAGCCTGTATCAAGTAAAAAGTTAATAATAAACACAGAAATAATTTTGTTTCATTTTCATGGCTCATTTTCTACCAACCATTACAAATTACAATTACAAATCATATTAATTTAGGTGATTTTAGATAGAAATAACAAATATTCATGGTAATACAAAAAAATGTGTGTGTGTGTGTGTGTCTGTAAAGAATAAGATGATGGCCAGAATTTGCAATGATTACTTTGCTGATAATAATGATGATTATGAGGATGAAGTTGGTCGTTGTCTTTGATCATTATCATTAAGGTTTATCCTTTACTTTTTGTTTTTTTTTCTTGATGATTTACTTTTTTAAAAGTACAAACTTTTTTTGTTTTTTGTAAATCATCGAGAGAGAGAGAGAGATCATCATTATCTTTTCAATGGCCCGTAACGTAAACAACACACACACAATGGATGGGAAGAATTTTCATTTTTTTGTTGTTTTTTTTCACTCAAAACAAAACCGAAAAAAAACAAACGAATAAAACGGGTTGCTGTTGTTTCACATTAAAAGTTGATGTCGTTATTTTTAATTGATCGATGCTGATTCTGTGATGTTGAAATTGTTCAGGAAATAATGATAATCATCATCAGATGGAGATGAAGATGGAGAGAGAGAGAAATGTAGAATTTGCATCAAATGATTGAAATTCTGATGAATGATAATAAAGATATATTGATGATTATTGAGTTTTTTCTTTTGGAAAATTTGTATTGGTGCTGGAATAATGTGTGTGTGTGCGTGGGTGAGAAAATTTTTTTTGTTTTCTTCTCAATTCATATCTTCATATCTTCAAATTGATTGTGATGATGATGATGATGATTGTTCAGGATTGTTGTTGTTGTTGTTGTTGTTGTTTTGTTCTTCACCATCTTTATGATTATCATCAACTTGTTGATTATCGATCGGTATCCCTATTTCATTATGATTATGATTATCATCATTTATTGAACGTTTCAATTGTTGCCGCTGTTGTAGTTGTTGTTGTTGTTGTTGTTGTTGATTGGATAGAATTAAATTGCCTAATAATTGATCACGATCAAATATGAATGAATTTTTTATTGAATTTGGTAATAATGTTGTTGTTGTTGTTGATGTTGATTGTTGCTGATAATCATCATCATCATATTGATGATTATTATCCATTAATTTTGGTGTATTCATCATTGCCATCATCAATAGGATTGGTCTAATTTGTTGTTGTAATGTTGATTCATTATCATCATCGTCATCTTGATTAACAACAGCAACCACATTGTTGTCTTCATGATCATCATGATTTTTATCATTACTTTGTCTACCAAAACGCATCATTTCACGAAAATTGCCATTATTTTTTGCATATGATTTTTTACCAAAACGCATTGGTTGACGAAAATCGGCACGTTTCTTACCGAAACGCATTGGTTCACGAAATGATAACGATGATGATCCTTTTGGTGATATATTAATATCACTACGTTTACCAAAACGCATTGGTTCACGAAATGTTAACGATGATGATGATCCTCTTGGTGATACATTAATAATATCACTACGTTTACCAAAACGCATTGGTTCACGAAATAGGCAACGTTTGCAGAGACTTTCGGCATCACGGCGACAAATTGATAGGCAACGAAATGATGATGATGCCGAACCGAATGGTTGTAATGATGATCTTTTCATTATTGTATGCATTATCATTTCTTCTTGTTTGTTTTTTATCGATGATGTGGATGTCGTTGTTGCCATTGTTGCCGCTGCCGTTGCCGTTGCTGCTGATGATGATGATAATTGTTGACCACATATTGGATCAATCAATATTGCCAAAATAATGAATAATGAACATTTCAATAATAATAATTTGATGATAGCCAATCGGTTATGATTATGGTCAATATTCAATTTTGTTGTCGTTGTTGCTGTTGTTGTTGTTGTTGTTGAATACATTTTCATTTTGTGATAAAATTGATTTATCGATAATTTAATTTACACTATTTGAATGAAATTTTTCAACTAAAAATCAGATAGACAATGTTTGCGTGTGTGTGTGTGTCTGTCTGTCTGTTCGTTTGATGTGTGTGTGTTTGTAATAGACAACCGAAATCCGTTGCAATGACGGTTTTTATATGAAAATTTTTTTCAAATGAAATTATTCCTGAATCATTTGTCTCTAAAGTTCGGTATTTCAATAGTTTTGCCAATCAAACTGTTGCCGTTGTTATTCTTGTTGCTGGTTATGGCTTGCTTAAACTTTGTGCAATCGCGCGCGCTAAGAGGGTGGTTTTTTTCCAAAAAAAAAAAAAAAAAAATGAAAAAATACAATATATCATGTGCGTATACGCATCAACGGAATTTGGCCATTCAGTATGTATGTGTGTGTGTGTGTGTGTCTGTGATAAAAATCAACGATAATTTTTTTTTCAATGTTATGGCTAGATCATCATCATCATCATCATCATCATGGATTTTATTCGCCCAAAATCAAGTGCAAACTTAGCCATTTGAAAAGAATTTTGTTGTTTCAATTTAAATTTATTATGAGCAATTTTTTTTATTCTGTTTTATTCAAAATCTTGAAATATAAACAAGAAAGAAAAAATCATCCATTCATTGGACACATGCAGGTATGACATATGCAGGTATTTTAAAGAGATATATTTAATTGGTTAGTATTTTAAGGGAAATGATCAGTTTTTTAAATTTAATTTTGATCAGTTTTTTATGAGTGTGGTCAGTATTATATGGGGTTGGTCAGTTTTTTTTTGATCAGTTAGCAATAAATAATGTAGGGTCAGTAATTAAAAGGAATTGTCAGTTTTTATGTCATCAACTATACTTTATTTTCTTGCTGATCGTTTGCTGGCTGGCTGGCGTATTTTGTTTATTCGAACATTTGAAACTACAATGAAACGTTTAAAGAAATCTTCGTCTCAATATTTTACATATGAGTCTTACACATTTTTTTCTCACATATGTTGGCTGATCAGACGAATCCTATCACTAATGGTCCGATTATTCATGATTTCATTGAAAATTTTCATTCCTGAAAACCATGAAGATGGTATTAAAATCAATGATCTACATTTTAAAATCACCAAGCTTTATGATCATCTATTTATAAATCATATGCTTAAAATGGCCAAATCATGAAATGAATGAAGACCGACCGAAAATGGCTACAAAGTCGTTGCTAGTAGACTAGATTCGAGAAATATTTTAAATTAATTTTTAATTTAATAAAATTAACTTATTTTGAATTTTCACTGATCATTTTTCTTATTTTTACTGATTATTTTTCTTATTTTACCGACCGCTTTTTTAAATAAAACTGACCGGTTTACATTTTAAAACTGACAATTTATTTTTAAATTAACTGATCAATCACATAAAAAACTGACCAAAATCGATATATTTACTGATCGTTTTTAACTGACCAAAACTTTTAAAAAATTACTGACCAACCCCATATAATACTAACCGGAAAAATGGTACCCTATTTTAAATCAATCTATATCATGTGTCTATATGTCAATATGTCACTTTTTATTATCATCAACATCATCATCATTCTCGAATGAATTCATAAATAGAAAAAAAAACCAGAAAAAGACACACACACACACACATTGAGAGACATTTTATTAGTAGAAAAGAAAACAAATATGAACGAACGAAAAAAAACCGAAAAATTCCTTATTCAATAATATATGAATAATTTAAAATCAATTTAAAATATCTAACCACCGCCGTAATCAATGCATTAAAGATTGACAACGAAAAAAAAAACAAAACAACACAAAACCTGACCAGACCAGACCAGACCAGCAAAATTTGAAATTCAAAAATTCATTTTCAATCAGCTGAATAATTTAAACAAAAACAAATAAATTGTTGGCTGATTATTGACTGATGTTTTTTTTGTCGTTTGTTTTGTTTTGTATCATAGATTTTGGCTGGAAAATCGAAATCTCTGTTATATGGAATCCTTTCGTTTCTCCAATTTAAACTTTGATCATATCATAATAATTCTGGAGAAAATGAAAAAAAAAATGTTAATTGAAAAAAAAAGAAAAACAACGATAAATCTATTTTCATAATCAAGCAATGATTGAAAATTCACACAGGTAAGCTCTTAGATTGGATTTTTTTTCATTATTATTAGGATCGATTCTTGTGTAGACATCATCATCATGGTATTTGTTTGTGTATCAAATGCTGTCATAATCAATTATCATTAATCATCGTTATATAAATCTGGGATGATGTTATTACAGTTGTTGTTTATGATGATGATGATAATAATGAAAAAAAATTTTCATCAAAAAAGGATTCACAAAACTTAAAGGTTAATTCCTTTGTTTTTGTTTTCTTCTTCAGGATCATCACACTATTGTTTGAGTGCAATGGTGAAGAAATAAAAAAAAATTTTCCAATCAAGACTTTTTGTTCGATTTTTCTTTTCAATTTTCATTAATTCTTTGTGATGATGAAGAAATGAATCTATCGAAATGTCGAGAAATAAAAAAACATACAAACAAAATAGAAAGCGAATTCTTTCCCATATGATGATGATGATGATGATGATGGCAGCTGATGGAAAACAAGGTAAAAATGATGAAAAATGAATGATTCTATAGAATCGAAAAGAAAAAAGAATTTAATTTTTTTATATTGAATTTTCTTATCACTACCTTGATTCTGGTACTTTTTTTTGGTTTGGTTTGGTTTGGTTCTTATTTACAACAACAACAACAACAAATTATATATGTTCGAATTAGACACTATGTCCATATAAAAGGGTCAAATGTGTTGAAATAATAATCAAATCATCGATGATAATAATCAAAATCATCGATGATTGTTGTTGATTAAGATAAACACATAATACAGACAATATATGGACATTAAAACATTTGTGTGTATGTGTGGCCAAGGTAATGTTGAACTTTCTTTAGCCAGCAATGAAAATGTTTTTTGCTTTTGTTTTTTTTTCGATTAAAAGCCACAAAAAAAAATCTTGATCGTGACATTGAAATAGTGTATGTCTATGTGAATGTGGATTTTCATTTTCCTCAAAATTCATTTATTCTATCTAATCGATTTTTTTTTGGACAAACGTAATAACAACAAAAAGAAAAATGAAAATCAACAACAAAATGGATGATGAGAGTTTTTTTATCCAGTTTTTTTTCCGTGAATTTATTATTATTCAAAATTGATGAACCATTCATTCATCGTTGTTGTGTGGCTACAAATTTACAATTTGAAAAATGAATTTTACGATTAAAAATTGCTCAATATTGATGATCATCATCATCATTATACAAACATCGCCAATTGATTGTAATCATCAACACGTTGATTATGGTGATCATCCAACGATTCGTTTTTATAAAGTAGAAGAATTAAACATCTACAATACATTGGTTGATTGTGTATCAAATTGGCGTGAAAAATTTGCTAAATGTAATCTGGAAATAACGGCATTAGGTATGTGTAAGAAAAATTTATTTATTTTTTCTTCTCAAATTCACCATTTTTTCTTGTTTGTTTTTTTTTTAATCGAAAAATCAAAGCGGACAATATATTCACCGTGATTAATGAACATTCAACCGTAGGTGAAATAATTAAATGTTGTGGCATATGGCTAGTACGTGATTGTTGGCTTTCACATAGTGGCCATTATTGTACTAAAAATCAAACGGAAATTATATGGCAATTACCATTTAAATTGGTACCATATCTACACAAATGGTGTAATGTTTATCATGATCAAACAATAATGTGTTTGATACCAAGATATCCATATTTAGCAACATTGATCATTTTAACAATAATGATTGTCATATTTATGTTTATTACAATCATTTTCATTTACATTAATCGTCGTCGAAAATTTGGAACATTTCAAACTATTGATAAACTAAATAATCATACAGTGAATAATAATAATAAAAATATAAAAACATTTGAATATAAAAAACCGGAAGATCCTGAATCCGGTATTAAACCGGACATCGATAATAATGATAATGATGAAAAGGCTGAGGCGGAAGAACGGCAATCATTAAAATGAAATTTTAATGATTTTTTTGTTGAATAAAAATAAAATTACAAGAAAAATAAATTTTTTTTTGTTGTATTGTAATTCGATCGGCGACCACTAGATGGTGGCAGATTTTCCGGAAATCTCCAAAATTATTTTTTTTTCTGGTCATAATTGATAAAAGCGCGTTGTCCGACCCGCACACCCACACGCATAAAAGGTCGTCATAGTCATGGTGTTGTTTTATTTTTTTATATATAAAAATCCGATATATTGAACGAATCGAATCTAATGTTGAATGTTGAATGACGTACAGGAAAGGCAAAAAAAAAATAGTAGAGATAGGAAATCTATCAGCAAAAAAAACAACGATAACGACGACGACGACTACAGAAAAAAGCTATATACCAAAATGGATTTTCTCTCTGTCTCTGTCTGTTTTTGACTATATGCTGGACATGATAGTATCCAGCAGCATTCTCCTGTATTGAGAAACCAGCAACAACAACAACAACAACAAAATCGACAAGAATATTTCACTGAAAATGATGATGAAGGCTAGAGGTATTTGTGACGTATATATGATATAGGTTGTGTTTTAATTTATTTTGATTTTTTTTGTTGTTGTTTTCTGATCGTTTGTCATTGAACAATAACAAATGTGTCTCGATATATTATTATAACCAAAGATTGTCGTTCAAAAAAAAAAACGTACGAACGAACAAATTTAGTTGATTGTTCATTTTTTGTGTGTGTGTCTGTTTGTATATAGAGAATTACATTTTGTTAGTTTTGTGTGTGTGTGTGTGTACAGAAAAGGTTCGCACCCAAATTTGCGTGTATTTGTTCCATTTGAAACTATGTACAATTTGTGTAGTTTGCATTTTGAGTGTATATAGTCGAATGTCAAATTCTTTCTTCATTCACTCATAGTCTAATATTCTCAGCTGCTGCTTCTGCTTCTTCTCAATTTGATCTTGGAACGCCATTTTTCTCCTGTTTTTTTTTTAGAATTTCATCGATCTGAGCGTGTGTGTGTGTATGTGTTTATGTGCACAAATTTTTCACACATTAACTTCAACGAATCCAAGACCTTGTAATGGAATTTTCAATTCTCCTTGTGTTTGTTTGTTTGTATGTGTGTGTGTGTGTGTGTGTGACAGAATAATAATCATTTTATGAAGTGAAGAAAATCCTATATAATAATAATAATAATAATTGGAAACCGATAAGAAAATGTATAATAAAACAAGTAGACAAAACCTCAATTGTGTTCTTGAGCTACCCACAATAACAACGAATTGAAGCAAAAAAAAAAAAAAACAAGAATTATTCGTGAGTATTATCCTCGTACAGAAAAAAAAGTAGAACAAACCAATCCCTTATAATTCAATTTTTTTTTTTTTTTTACTTTCGTTGTTTCATTCATTACACAGCCCACAGTACATAAAAATTTTATATTTAGATATTTGAGCTTTTTTTCAACCGGAACTGTACAAAATACAACAACGATTGCAATAATAATAATAATAAATTTCGTCCATTGATTTTTGAACACAAACATTATCATCGATTATAGATTATCGACGTCATTCAATAATCGAATTTCATTGTCAATTGCAAATGTTTTTTCGTCGTCATATAAAAGCACATCAATCATGGAATGAAAAGTGACATTTCAACACACAAAAAAAACGAATTTCAATCTATCAATATCCATAGAATGTGAACATTATTTTCAAATTCAAACTTTTCATCATCATCATCATCCATTATTTTGATAATTGAATCATTATCAACATACATATTAGATTTTGACTTCCAGATTTTTTTTTCTATTCGTCTTATAAACAAAAGAAAAAAAATTTAAATTCAAATTAATCAATATTGCCATGGTTTCAAGATGGACGACGATAATAATGACGATGATGATGACGCTGATGATGGCGATAATGGTGAATAATTGAAATTTGTTTCATTCAATTTGAAAATTTTATCACACACACACACACAATACAAACCAGGCGAAAAAAAACATGTCAACTCAATAATAATAATAATAATAAAATGATCAAGCTTTTTGTTGTTGACAACAACAATAATCACGACAACGACGACAATGATGATGACGATGGCAACAACAACATTGTGGTTAGGAAAAAAACAAATTCAATAAAAATAAAATTTCGCTCAACCAATTTTCAACCACTACTGCAACAGCGATCGATTTTTAAATAAAAATTTTTTTTTCATTTTAAACTTATTGGTAAGTTTTTTTTTCACATTCAAATTCCACTTTGATTCTATTATATTGATTCTTTTCATCTTTTGAATTTCATTTAGAGCTTTTGATTAATTATCGGATGAATTATTATTATTATTATTATCAAATTATTATAAAGAAAATTAATTATCAACATTTATCTTTATAAAAAAAAAATCAATCAATCAATCAATCAATCAATCATGGCTGATTGTGTGAAAAAATATTTTTCACCACGTTTACTTGATTATATCGTTATTGTTGGTACACGTACACCATCCGCCACACAATCGGTACAGTTGCCACAATTATTACGTCGTTATCCACCAGAAGATCATAAAGATTTTCCATTATCACCTGATGTTGTATTTTTTTGTCAACCAGAAGGATGTATCAATACGGATATTCGTCGGTTATCACAACGTGATACAAATTCATTTGTATTTGCTTTGACTGAAAAAGATACATCACGTGTACGTTATGGTATTTGTATGAATTTTCATCTACGTACACCATATTGTTCAACAAAATCTAGTGATGATGATGAAAATAGCAACAGTGGTGATGGTAGTCGTTCCCATAGATGCCTTTCACTCATATCATTATGTATTATTTCACATCATCCATTTTTTTCAACATTTCGTGAATGTCTAACCACCTTACGGAAAATGATTTTTATGTTTAGCCAACGAAATAGAGATAAAAAACATCGAAGGTAAACATTGAAACAAATGAAAATAACAAATTTCAATCTCATTTTTTCCCATCATAAAACTTGTAGAGATCTTGTCTGGACTTTGTTGACCACAAGATTTGAACCAGATTTCACAAAAATCCTACCAGAAAATGTATTGAATGATGTTTGTGAAATTGAAACCTGGTGTTTACGATTGTTAAGCTCACCAGTACCTGTTCCTGGTAAAACAAAAGTTGAATTGGAAATTCTGGATCCAGAAATTCGTCCACCATTAGTATTAGCCTTACCTGATCATACAAGATTTTCATTAATTGATTTTCCATTACATTTACCATTGGAATTATTGGGTGTTGAAACATGTTTGAAAGTAATTACGATGATTATGATGGAACATAAGATTGTTATACAATCACGAGATTATAATGCCCTATCAATGTCAGTGATGGCATTTGTTACGATTATCTATCCATTTGAATATATGTTTCCTGTGATACCATTGTTGCCAACTTGTATGAATTCCGCAGAACAGGTAATGTTGATTAAATTTTGTTTAATCTATTAATAATAATGATCTGTTTTTGGATAATTTATAGCTACTATTAGCACCAACACCATTCATCATTGGTGTTCCATCATCATTTTTATTATATAAAAAAAATTTCAAATTACCCGATGATGTATGGCTTGTCGATCTGGATACAAATAAAATAATTAAACCAACTGCTGCCGATGATCTACCACCATTACCTGAACCAGAAGGTAGTACACTTAAAAATCATTTCAAACAAGTGCTAGCATCAATGTCGATTACGAATCCGGCTCAATTGAGAATGCAACAACAAAGCAATAATTTTACTCATCAACAGCAACAGCAGCAGAAACAAAAACAACAACAACAACAGGGATCAAATCGATCATTCGATCCATTATCATTCGGCAATGATGTGGATTCGGTCGATATAGCTGCAAGAATAGCAATGGTTAAATTTTTCAATTCAAATGGTATATTATTGAATTTTTCTGAATATACTCGTACGATTCGATTATTTCCACGACCGGTGGTTGCCTTTCAAATAAATTCATTTCTACATTCACGTCCTAAATCATCTGTCTTCCTAACAAAATTTGTTCAAACTCAGGTATTCTGATTTAAAAGCTGATCATTTGTTTGTTATAAAATTTGTTCTTGTTTTAGGCCGTCGAATTTTTCGCCGAATGGTCATTATGTCCTGATAATGTTGCCTTTATTCGTGTTCAAAATGGTGTCTATGATCCATCGATTATTGGCGATAAAGCTAAATGGTATAGCCATCAATTGGATGCTATAAATTTTCGTGTTTGTAGTGGTGGTGCCAATTGTAAATTGACAAAAATATTTAAAGAATCTATTGAAAAAGAAATGAATGCTGATAGTGATGATGACGATGATGATGAAGATGATGATGAAAATGATGATGATAGTGTTGACGAACCAAGTACATCATCATCATATTCATCGCTAAATGAATTTGTTGAACAAATGTGCAATGCAAATCGTATTAATTCCGAATATTTAAGTAAGTTTTTTTTCGTTTTTCTAATTTGATTTTAATCAAATTTAATTTTGCATACACCACAGATACATTAAGAGATCCTTCCAATTCAAGTTTTACATTATGTGATACAAGTTCAGTATTTCATCCCCGGAATCAATACAATTGGTATCGATACCGGATGGTTTTAATGATACTGTAAAAACTAATACAAGTGGTGAAGACGTCGATATAGCAAACACCGTCGCTCCAGTCATAACAGCACGAACAAAAATTCGAAGAAAATCTTCCATACAACAACCACAACCAGAAATCCATAAATCATCAAGTTCATCTTCAAATTCAGATTCGGATGATGATGATCAACAACATGAATTTAAGACAACATCATTATATGAAAAGACAAATATCACTTTGCCCGATTTGAATCAGATAACATCGAATTTGAATAAAGTAACCAGTGAAAGTACGGAAACGGTTGAACCAATTACAGAGATTAGTCGTAGTTCAACACCAAAAGCATTGGAAAATATAAGCTATACTTCCAGTTCATCCATACCAAACATATCACCATCAAATTCATTGGATAAATCATCCGGTACATCGACACCTACGTTAACCAAAGCCATTTCTATTTCATCTGTATTTACACGTTCACAATCACAAACACATCGTGATTCAATTTCAGGGCATTCTATTCTGGATCGATTAACACATGAAGCAAAAGATATGGCTAGAGAAGCAAAAGCTGTCGCTAAAGAAGTGGTTGCTAAACCAGCAGCTCAAGCTGGAAAGAAAAAATTCTTGGCCAAACTTCAAGATTTCGGTGAACCAATGAAAGGACAGGCAAAAGAATTTTGGCGCCATTCAAAAGAAGAAAATGAACAACAGCAACAACAACAACAACAAACACAACAATCTAATGTTGATAATAATTATGGACTTCCATTATCATCATCATCATCATCGATTATATCATCAATGTCTAGTGATTTTAATGGGCTTGCCGATAAAACTGCCGGTATGTTATCGGGATTTTTCAGTAAATCTAATTTGGCCAAAGTAAAAGAACGCACACAACCATTTGGACCATTTCCCAAAGGCAAAAAAGGTTTGATTGAAAAATCCAATCTAATTCGTCATACATCTGCCCAGAATCAACAACAACAACAACAACAGCAAACAATAGACCAGAAAAATCAAAATCATAGGTATGTATTCAATTGTCTCAATATTCGATTAATTTATTCATTTTCTACATTTACATCCATGCAAAACAGTGATAATCAATTGTTTTTGAAAGATTCAATCAATTCAGTATTGGAAGGTGAAGGTATTGGGTGGTTGAAATTATCAAGACTGAAAAAATTAATGGAAGATGAGCAATATCGTGCATTAGTGATACAATTACTAAATAAAGCTATGCCTCGAAAAATTGGACCAGATGATCATATTGAAGATGTACAAATACCAAGAAATGTTTGGAAAGGATTACTTAAAGTGATAAATGCAATGATCTATGGACTTGAACAGAATTATTTCCATCATGCAAGCAGTAATAGTAGCAGTAGTGGAATGGCCAGTACATTTGCCATATTGGAAATTGCTCATACACATTTCTGGGTCAAAGAAATGACAGCCGAAGAAAAAGCATCGATGGCTGCGACAACAGCAACATGTTCACAACGATCAACACCTTTTGGTTCGAATGAAAATCTTTCTAAATTATCAAATGTTGAACAAACAATCGGTGATAATCAAACATCACACGAATTACAATCCGAATCGAAAGATACGCTTGGATCGATACCTAAATCAAATGAAATTAGTTGGAAACGTAATCTAATGTTGAATCAATTGATATCATTTGAATCGGATGTATTGAGTGATGCATCACCGTCATGCAATGCCTCAGATGCTGGATCATTGACGGTAAATCCTATTTTTGGCACGAAATTATTCGGCAGCAATTCTTTTCGTTCTACCTGTTCTGACACTGACATAGAAGTAATTTTCCTCATATTATTGCTTAATAACCTTTTCATCTCTAGGATTTTACATACTCAAGGAATACCTCTATTAGCTGTCTTTAGGAATTTTTTTTAGCCAAATTCCAAAAAGATTTTGCAACTTAAAAAATTACATTTTATTTTTTTCTATATTCCGAACAGGGATTACAAGGACGACAATCACGTACATCCAGTGTATGGAGTAGTAAATCATCCATTTCGGCCGGTTTTCGTTATCATGGTGGTGCATTAATCGGATCGATACCGATGGAAATACAGAGATATTATCTATTCGAAAGTGTTATCGGTAATAATCGTTCAAATCTTTGGGATCAGATGCAATTCTGGGAGGATGTTTTTCTGGATGCCGTTTCACAAGAACGTGACCTTATCGGTATGGATCAAGGTCCAGGTGAAATGATGAGTAGATATCATACATTATCGGAGATTGATAAAAAACGTTTAGAACATGAAGAGGATCGTTTATTGGCTACATTTCTGTATAATATGACCGCTTTTATGATTATGGTTAATATTGATCGTACAGAAATAAAACGTAAATGTCGTCGTTTATTGGGTGAGTATCATCTTTAAAACACAATTCCATTTAATGACTATAAATCGATAATCGATCTAATACGATAAATTAGGTAAATGTCATATTGGTCTTGTTTATTCAGCTGAAATTAATGAAGTATTGGATCAAATTGATTATCTACATGGTAATGATATTGATCTCAAACCATTATCAACACGACAAATACATCGACAAACATTTACTGTACATATGGGTACAGATTCAATGGGCGATATGATGTTCATGGAGGTTCGTGATGATGGCCTCATATTACGTTCAATAAATGGTATCATTATTGAACGTTGGTGGTATGAACGTTTAGTCAATATGACTTATTCGCCCAAGAATAAAGTATTGTGTTTGTGGCGCCGTAATGGTGCCCATACACAATTGCATAAATATTATACACGTAAATGTAAAGATCTTTATTATTGTATTAAAGAATCAATGGAACGTGCTGTACAAAATGGTACAGGAACATTGCCAGGTAATTAATTAATATTTTGATTGGATTGAATTTGTTTTCTTTTTATTAATCAATGAATCATTTTAAAAGGTACTGAACTCGGTGGTGAATTTCCTGTACAAGATATGAAAAGTAGTGAAGGTGGTCTATTACAAGTCTGTATGGAAGGCGTTGGATTATTATTTGCCAATAGTAAGGTAAGTAATTTTTATTGGTTCCTCATTGCAATTCTTTTTATTTATCATAATTATTGGGGTTGTGTTGACAGAATATATATAATAAGAACAAAAAAAACAGACAATATATTCACAACACACAATGAAATGAACAGAATTCTGTTTGTTTTTTCATATATTTCTCTCTATTTCTTAAAAATTTGGTGTTCAATTTGTGATTGGTAATTTGTTTATTGATTTTTGTTGTTGTTGTTGTTGTTGTTATTGATTGTCAATTCTTTTATCTAATTATCTTCTATTCAAATTTCCCAAACCATATAGATTGAGATTTTGATTTTTTTTAATCAAAAAAAAATTGAATTCAATTGCCAAGGAACCATAATAAGCTGATTTGATTGATTTTTTTTCGTTCATAACATGACAACATTCATTTTCATAATTTTTGTTAATTTAATCCGTAATATTTTATCCTTGGTTATTGATGATTGATTTTTATTTTGTTTTTTTTTTAATTTTGTGTGTATAATTGATTGTTGGATTGATTGATTAAGATAATGAAAAACTAAATTTTCTTTTTGAATCCAATTTCAGCTAGGACTTTAGAATAGGATCTGAACAGCTTGTGTGTGTGTGTGTGTGCGTGTGCGTGTGTAAGAGAATAGCATAGCATCTGACACCATTTTTTTTCCACTTCAACATGGATCCATACACACACACACACACACACAGAATCCTCCGTTTTTCCTATGTTTTTAAATTTTTATTTTGAACCATTTAACCGAACAGCTTGCGTGTGTGTGTGTCACATTTTTTTTTTTAAATTTAATTTAATCAAATTGATTGATTTGATTGATTGATTGATTGATTGTTTGTTCTAATTAATTTATCCAAATACCACACATTATTTTTTTTTGTCTTGGATTGAATTCTGCTAATCCAATTATCAATTTAAATTTATTTAAATTCAATTATATAATTAATTAATGTTATTATCATTCAATGATCATTGTTCGTCGATTCTTTTTCGAAAATTTTCTATAATAATCATCCTTTCCATGACACTTTCCTATTCTCTCCTTTGTTCCTCATGTTGAAACAAAAAAAAAAAAAAGATTCCAGGACTTTTGAGATGGTCCTTGGTTTAGGCGATTTTCCTTTTTTTCTCTTTCTTAATTTTTCCATTTTTAGTGTCCCCATTCTTTTTTTATAATTTTTGTAATTTGATTTTGTTGTTTTTTTTTTGTATATGGCCAGAAAGAAATTCATCCATTCAGTGGTAGTCTTTTTTTTCAATTTTCAGTTGTTGTTGTTTTTATTTTTTTAAAAAAGATGTGTGTGGTATCAACCGTTTTGTGGATTTTATATTTTATGGTAATAATAGTAGTAAATAGTAGTGGCAATAGTAATTAGTAAAAATTTCAAACACATACATTTTACACAGATACACACACACACACACACTAATTTGTTGATTGTTTTATTTAAATGAAATTTATTTCTTACCTGAATATTCTCTCTCTCTTTCTTTTTTATTTCTTTTTCATTCTTCAATTCTTCCGACCTTTCTTCTGCAACAAATGAAAAAAAATTTTATTGAAAAAAAAAAATACAATTCACATTGTGAATAGGATTTTGAGGTATATTATTATCCATTATATAAATTGATTATATATATATTTAATGATTGATTGATTATAAAAAAATTTTTGAATTATTTATATCTATTAGTTTGTAGTTTGTTTTTCATTTTTTTATTTTTGTTTATTTCATCAATTTGTTTTGTTGTTGTTGTTGTTGTTTAATTTCTTTATTTTTATTGACCATTCAAAATGGTGCTGGTCGGGATATTTTTATTATTTATCTATTTCAACTTTTTTTTTAATCATCTCTAATCTCTAATATTATTAACACTAATATGAACAATAATAATAATAATAATGGCTATTGACCACTTTCCGATTATCAGCACACAATATTTACTCACTTACTTACTTACCAAATACACACACAAAAATATTTATTCATTTTCAATTTTCCATTTATAGAATTACAAAAAAAAAAAAAAAAAAAATAATTGTTGTCGTGGCTGTGTATGTGTGTGTGTGTGTTTATTGTTTTTTTTTCATTTTTCATTTTTCAATACTACTGTGTAAATATTGTCATTCCAAAATTCTGTAATATAATTGATAAAAGTAGTAGTAGTAGTAGTAATAGTCGTTTTAGTAGTACTGATAATAGTAGTAATTGTAGGTATAAAAAAGAAAAATAATTTAATTTTTTCTTATTCACTTTCCATTTCCTTTTGCTTTGTGTTTCAATTTTTTTGTTATTTCATTTAATTTCATTTCCATTGATTTAGTTTTTTTTGTTTTTGTTTTTCATTCTGTTTTGTTTTTGTTTTTTGTTGAGTTGAGTTGAGAAAAAAAACCATCTCAAAATTAGCAAGAAGCAATGCTTCAATGGTCTTGAATTAGTCGTTGGTTGGTTGTTGTTAGTTGTGATTTCTGTTTATTTTTTTTTTAGATTTGAAAAAAAATTTGTAATTTGTAAAACAACAAAGCAAAGAACCTTTGTAGATTGTTACAGAATATTAATTAGTTGTAGTGATTCTAGATAAATTAATAGAATTTCTTTTAAAGAATCATTCGTAGTTGAATAATGATAGTTGCTGCTGCTGTTGTTGTTGTTGTTGTTGTAGTTGTAGTTTTTTTTAATTTCATTTTTTTCTCTTTGTTGCTTTTTTCCATGTTGAAACAACAACAACAACAACAACCCAAACCACATCCACCATTGCCACCACCACCATCCCCACCACCAATTATGCCCGATTGTAGAAAATGGACGACGACGATGATGATGATGATAATGATCTATTTTTTTTTTAATTTTCATTTATTTTTCGTATTTGATCAATCGATCGATTATGATGATGATGATAATAATAACCTGCTTCTTTCTTATTCTTATTTGTTGTTTGGTGTGCATTTTGTTTGCCTGTTTGATATCCCAAATTCAGGTTTTTTTTATGTTTTATGTTTTGCTTGCACTTATTTTGTTTGATTTTTTTTTCAATTTTGTAAATTAATTTTTGTGCGTGCGTGTGTGTGTGCGTGTATGCATGTTGTTAGAATTTTATCGTTTTGTTTTCATGTATGTATATTATATACACGTGTGAGTAATATGCGTGCGTGTGCTCATCAATTTTAATTTATAAAAAAAAAAAAAAAATACAAATAAAACACACACACAGGAAAAATTTCAACAAAACACGCCCATACCCGAATACACACACACACAAATGCAGATAAACAGCTAGATTAGATTATTCAAAGTTGAACTAAATAATAATAATATATATCCTGATCTGTTTAGATTTTTCTATTTTTTTTTTTTTTAATTTTTAAATTTCATTTTCTTAATTCAATTGTTTTTTTTTGTTTATTTGTTTTTAGTTTTCAGAATTTTTTTTCTCATCTTTTTCTCACTCATATAGTCATTTTATGTGATAATATTTGTTCACGTTTCTTTGTGGATTTTATCTAATTTTTGTCCATTTTTTTCTTCCATTCTATTTCCTCTCCCTCTTGTTCATGATCGCATCATGAATTATGATGATGATGATGATGGGAATTGAAAAAAAATTTCTAAATAGTTTTTCATTCGTTTGGAAAACATACGAAAATGTTTTACACAAAAAGGTGGAATATTTGTCATCGAAGAATTTAGTAAGAATCGGATTTTTTTTTTGTTTGATAAAATCTATTTAACATTGCCTTTTTTTTGTTTTTATTCCACAACAATATATAGATCCTAAAACACGACAAATTATTCAAAGAAAATTTCGTTCACAAATGGCCGATCAAATTTGTTATGCTGTTCTTTGTGTTTTCAGTTATATTGCCGCTGGTCTTGAACAACATAAACGTCAACAACAACAGCAACAACAACAATTGCAACAGCAACATGGAAAAATTAATTCAAAAAATCTTGGTACAACCAACCTTTTACAACATCAACAATCATCAACGACAACAACAACATCATCATCATCAACAGTAATCAGTGCAATTCTTGTACCAACATCTCAACAACAACAACAACAACAACAACAGCAGCATTCACAAAACAATAAACACAAATATCATAATTTAGATTCTTCATAAATCTATAATTTTTTTTTTCGTTTTGTCATAGAATCTAGATGGTTAGATTGACATCCGAGAATGATTCTATCCATGCATAACGGTATTTATCATGTGTTCCCACATTCAATCATCAATGTCTGTGTGTGTCTGTCTCTGGATACAATTGATCAAATTTGTTGTTTCCTATTTTTCTGATTCATTTCTTGGAACTTCTTTATCACTCTTCCATAGCCGTCCATAATTTTCATTTCCATTCCCTCCACCATTTTACCGCCGCCGCTTGACATTGATTCTAGAGCAAAAAATTAAACAAAAAACTTAATGATAATAATTGTACAAAACAAAACAAAAAAATAACTTGTCATCATTATCATCATTATCATTATCAACAACATTGTTATTTTATCATCATCATCACGATTATCATAAATGTTTGTAGTAATGTAACGGAATGTTTTTGGTTGTTTGTTTGTTTGTGTGTGTGTGTAATTTGTGTATTTTGAGAAGAAGAAAAAATAATCGATATATTTCGAGCATTTGTATACTCTTTTTTTTAATTTTTACTCAGTTATTTTGAATTTTATTTAGAATTTATGTATGTTAAATAAATCAATTTAATTTCATTTTTCAAAAGTAAAATTTTCAAAAAAAAAAATTCTCTGCCAACAGATGGCAGCTCTTTAGTATTATAAGTTTTATTCGTAATTAGAATAAAGCAAAAAGAAAAATTCGTTCGTTTTTTTCAAATTTCATTTATTTATTTCTCTAATTATTTTTCTAAAGGAAAATAATCATCCACACATAATGTTGGATCATTTTCGGATACAAAAAATTTAATGTACCATTGATCCATTTGGTATGGAACCACCACCATTCTGTCCATTTACAATCGTTTTACAATCACCATTATCCATAGATGTACCATTATTATCATATGTTTCTTTATGTGATTTTTGTGCACGACCAGATGGATCGGTTGGACAGCCCCAATCAGTACGTGGTATCCATCGTACAATACTTTTAATACAAGCTTTTTGTGGATAATGAATTTCAAATAATTCACGATACAAATAGGCTTCTTTTGTTGTTGGTGTATCCACTGGCCATCGTTCCTGACGTTTATCGTACAATTGATCGGTTATACGATGTTCAGCTTCAGCTTTTAATGAATCGATCCATGAATAGCCAACACCATCAGAAAATTGTTCCTTTTGTCGCCATAGAATACTGTCCGGTAGATATGGTTCTTTATCCGGATCATCGGATGTATCAAATGCTCTTCAAAGAGAGAGAAAGAATTGATGATTAATGTTGCCAATTTTTTTTCTATGAAAAAACTTACTTTCGAAGAATGTATTTTTCAATACGATTTTTCGAACACATTTTCTCTTTCGGAACAATATTCATAATAGTATCAAGAAAATCTTTATCCAAAAATGGTACACGTGCTTCCAAACCCCATGCCATTGTTGATTTATTTGCACGTAAACAATCCGATGTATGAAGATTTTTGACACGTTTAACCGTTTCTTCTTGAAATGCATGATCATTCGGTGCTGAATGAAAATAAAGATAACCACCAAATATTTCATCCGAACCTTCACCACTTAATACCATTTTAACACTATTGGCTTTGATTTTTCTTGATAACAAATACATCGGAGTACTTGCACGTACAGTGGTCACATCATATGTTTCAAGATGATATATAACATCGGAAATAGCATCCAAACCTTCTTGTATGGAAAACGTATATTCATGATGGATAGTCTTCAAGAATGCACCAACTTCTCTTGCTGCAACTAAATCGGGAGATCGTATAATAAAAAAAAAACAAATAAATAAGTTCTGAAATGGTTAAAGATGAAAAATAACTTATCTGGTAATCCAATGGAAAATGAATGTAATCTTGGCCAATAAACATCGGTTTGTTCATCACTGCTACTATTACCACTACTGTTATCACCACCACTATTATCATCACTACTTACAATATTTCCTGATTTTTTCAACAATTGATTGGCAACAAATTCATGTTTCAGCATACGACGTGTTTCACGTGCCGCAATCGAAGCAATGACACTGGAATCCAATCCACCCGATAATAGTACACCATATGGTACTTCAGACATTAAACGTTTTTTCACTGCTTTTGTTAATTTTTTCCTTATCATATCATAATCGACTGGCTGTGTAGGCACCAATGATTCGTTATACCATTTTGGTTGATACCATTGACGAAAACATTTCTGTTTTGAATCATAAATATGTCCCGGTGGAAATGACATGATTGTATCGCATATATCATTCAAACATTTCATTTCAGATGCAAAATAAAATGTTTCTGGTTTATCGACATTATAACCATAATATAGTGTTGTCACACCGATAGCATCTCTTGCCACCACATATGATTCATCCGTAGTATCAAATAGTACAAACGAAAATATTCCATCCAATTGTTGTATAAAATCATCACCAAACATTCGATATAAATGTATGATTACTTCACAATCCGAATAGGTAACAAATTGACAATCTTTTAGTATTTTATTTTTCAATTTTTTATAATTATAAATTTCGCCATTTACAGTCAATATCATTGATTTATCGTGGCTAACTATTGGTTGGGCACCAGAATCAACACCAATAATAGCTAAACGTTCATGGCAAAAGATATTATTTCCCGATATTATACAACCAGACCAATCAGGGCCACGATGACGGATTCTATTTTAGCAACAAAACAAAACAAAACAAAATTAATGATTAATGAATATTCTTTTTTAGTGAAAATTCAATATTTCAAAAATAGATCAAAATAAAGAAAAACAAACAAACCTTTTCGAATGATTCAATGCTTTTTGGCGAAATTTTTTTACATCATCATCATAATTGAGTACGGCAAATATTCCACACATGATTCTGTTGCTGTTGTTGTTGTACACACGAACGAAAACAGTATTTGTTTTTTATATCAATCAAATTTTTTTTCCTGTAACTATATGGATGTCGGAATGAATTTGTATATATGGATGGATGGATGGAATTGGAATTAATTTGGTTGCCTATCGATGTTTAAACAGCCGCCACCACATGCACACATAAAAACAAACTAAAGCCAAAAAGAAACATTTTGTACATTTGAAACGGCTTTTTATTTTCGGGATCATCATCATCATCATGATAGCCATTGAAAATCGTCTGTAAGTCTTATGATCCTCATCAATGAATTAAACCCGCGACATTTGTCAACCACACACACACGAAAAAGCAGCGGCATATCGAAAATTATGTTCGAATTTTTTTTTTTTCGTTCTTCTCATTTTTCACAGTTTGCATACCAAATGTGAAGGAAAAAAAATTCAATGGATGATGATGACAAGAAAAATGTCGGTTTTGGATGTCTGTGTGTGTATGCGCAATGATTTTCATGGCCACAAAATTTTGATCAGAGTTTAATAATTTTTTTTCATGGCTGAGGTTTTTTTTTGTTGCGATTTTTTTTTGATTATTAAGCTGGTTGACTGTTTCATTCGTTCGTTTTTTTTCTACATTATCCGGCTATACTAGCTAGTGCTCCCTTATCCTGTTTCAGTGTGTGTGTGTGTGTCTGTTGTGGTTTTTTTTTAAAAAAAAATATTTGTATAAACTAAATGTCTGTAAAGCAGATAAATTTTGCGCTTAGCAACAAGTTGTTTTTTTTTAAATTTGAAAAAAAAATTTTCAGGAAAAAAAACAAATTCTATTGAATTTCTCTCGTTCTGGTTTTTTTTTCTTTGCACAAATTTTTTCGAACCAGACAAAAAAAAAGAGGCAGAGATTTTTTTTTTTTTTTTTTTTTTTGATTTCGTTTTGGAATGTTGTATATTTACAATTTAAATAAATAACTATATCACAGTATCATGATGATGATCAAGTGGATAAAACTATGTGTGTAGTGTTAATGTCCAATTTTACCACATGATCGATTTGGTATTTGAAAAATTTCAAAAAAAAAAAAAAAAAAAAAACACCAAAAGAAACAGAGAGAGAGAGAGAGAAAGATACAAATATTCGATATCCCGCAAGTTTATCAATCCAATCAATAAGAAATTGTGCATTGAAAGAAAAAAAAATTCCTCAACACTTTTTTTTGCAAAAAAAAAAAAAAAAAAAAAAAATAAAAGATCATCTTCAGATGGATGATGTGATTTTTTTTTTTTTTGATTAGTCAATCACATTTTTTTTCCATTTGTATGATGCTGTTGGTATTTCAAAATAAAACAATCAATCACCATCATCATGGTTTGATGGTAGAAATGTTTCGTTTATCATTCAATAAACATAACAAGTAAATTATTAAATATCAACTAAAAAAAAATCAATGAAACTGGATCGAACCAGTCGATTATATTATATTATTATTATTGTGTTTGATTGATCAATAACAATTTGTTGTTGATGATGATGATTTTAAGCACCAATCTTCGTCATTTTCAAAATTGAAAATATGTTGGTCAAAGAATTGAAATTATTATTGGTTAAAGAATTATTATGATGACGATGATAAAATGTTGAGGAAAATCCCAAATAATTTTTGTGGTCAGCGAACCACAATCAACATCATCTGCATCATCAATAAGTTTTCAAAGACTGGATATGACAAGATTTTCTTTTGAAAAAAAAAATAATTTTTTTTCTTGTATGCACCGAATATCGATTTAAATTTGAAAAAATTCATCACAAATTTTCTCTCCATGTACCTCAATTTAATCAATTTTTTTTTTAAATTCATTTTCATTATTTTCAATGGAAACCAAATAAAATAGAATTTTCTGAACAAAACAAATGATCATCAATGATTTTGGCGGCAAAATAATCGATGGTATCGATTTTTCGTATTTTTATTTTCGCCAAAATAAAAAGTTTCCTTGTGTATATCATTTGTATAGAAACATGAAACCGAAAAAAATGAAATGAAATGGAATGGAAAAAATGTTTTGAATTTTTAATGAAACGACCAACCAACCAACCAACCAACCAGTCAGATGAACAAACACAAAAATGAAAACGATTCATTCTGCAACCCTAGAAACCAGAATTTTTTTTCTCTCATATCTATGGTATGTAATAATGAACTTGAAACTTGTTCATCTCGCTCGAATCATCAATCTATCTAAGTAATGAAATGTGAAATTCTATTGTGTCCTAATGGTTATGGTTAATCCATTTTTTTCCCATAATCCGTAATGAATATATGAAAAATTTAAATGTCCAAAGTCGTCATGATCAATATTTAAAATGAATGAAGAGATTCTCGATAATATTCGTCGCTACAACAACAACAACAACGACGACGACGACTAAGGTGATTTGAAAACCAAAAATTGACGGCCATTATCATAACAATAAAGGTTAAGTGTGGAAATAGACAAAAACGAAAACATTTCCATAACTATCATTGAAGAGTGATCATGACAACAACAACAACAACAACAACGACAACGACAGTGACAATGAAAATGACTGTAAAAAAATAATGATTGCGGCAAAATAGCAAACAAATTTTTCAAACATATTAATGACCGATAAAATTTTATATGTACCATATACTATATATATACAAAGAATACAACTATAGTTAAATTTATAAACAAAACAAAACAAACAAAAAACTTCTGTTACCGTTTCGACCGTTAAAAATAATGTCGGCCAATAGTAATATATCGATCATTAGTTTGGATAAAATCAACCTGAAACGTTTGACACCACCTACAATAGATTCAAATCCTATCGTTGGTAATAATCCATCTACAAAATCAAATTATTCAACTAGATATGATAAATCTCCTACTACCACTACTACTACTGCAATAATAATGAAATTACCATCATCATCATCATCATCAACAACATCGACAAGAAATAATAATCGTTCAATTGTACCATCAACAACAACATCATTAACGAATAGTCCAATACAGGTGAATAATAATAAGAAAAATAATAAGAAATTGAATCGACAATCAACATTCGATATAGAATCATCATCATCATCATTGAAAACATTATCATCAATAAAATCGATAATGGATAGCGGTAATAATAAAGAAAAATCAAACAGACAACAGCAAAAAAAACTGGCAAAAAATCAAATAGATGATATACAAAAATTATCTAATTATGAAAATCAATATCATCTTGAAGATGGTGATCACGATGATGATGATGATCGTCCACCAAGTTATTCAAAAGTTGATTCAATTCATCATCATGAAAGTGATGTCTATGTTGTTGGTGATAATGATGGTTTTGTTAACGATAAAGATAATTTGGTTATAATTTCATCATCAAGAGAATATTATGTACAATCACCACCACAATCATCAACATTACGACCATTAAATCGTAATATTATTATTGTTGATGACGATGATGATGTTGGTGGTGGTGGTGGTGGTGATGGTGATGGTGATGGTGATGGTGATGATGATCATAATGATAATTACTCTTCATCATCACGACAAACAATTGTAAGTAAAATCAATTTTGATTTGAAATAAAAGTGTAAACGTTCCAAAAATTCATTCAATGTTTTTTTCTGCAAAAAAACCTATAGATAACTAGTCAACCAACAAAAAATTTAATGGAAACATCATTTCAAAATTGTAAACAAAAACATCAATCACCTAATAGAAATAGAAATCGATTAGAATCATCATCGATAGATAATATTATTGATGATGATGATGATAGATATTCATTACCTGATCATAATCATCATCATCATCAAAGTCGTCTATCATCAATACAATCAACGGAATTAAGTCTTGAATATCATAAATTGGAAACATCATTAACAACAGAAATGATGCAAACAAAATTACCAGTTAGTAATGCATGGAATGATTCATCAACAACATCAACAATGAATTTAATTGGCAATAATAATCGTTCATCATTTATTCATCATCATAATATAAATACATCAACATCATCGATGATGATTAATAATGAAATTAATCAATTAATATTTACCGAAGATGATATATGGAAAAAAGATCGTATGACTGTATTTTGTTTCTGTGCCACGGCATTAGGTGCTATTGCTACATTGGCAATGTATTGTACAGAATGAATGAGTGAATCGGAAACAAAACGAAAAAAAAAAAAAAATTCTAACACTGAAACAACAACAACAAAAACATTATTAATTAGATTATACAATAAATTTAATTAGAAAATGGAAAAAAAATTACATTTTCACTAATCGAACCAAACCTTTTCGATCGATCGATCGATCAATCAATCAATCAAAAAATTAATCATCCATGGTATCCTTCTGTTATTGTTTCTATTTATGGCCTCAAATAAATTGGAACAAAAGATTTCGATCAAACGACAACAGTAACAGTGTTGTTGTTGTTGTTGTTTTTTTTTTTTTTTTGATCAGAAAAATACAATGATTCGATTCAATCGATCAATGAGGGTAATATCTGTTGGAAAACAATTTGTTTTCGACCATGTTTTCTAATGATGAGTAAAAAATGTTCACATAGAGAAAAAAAACAAGTTGTGTGTGTTGAGAAAGAAAAATTTTCTGCGAAAAAAAAGTGTTAAACATTTGTGTTGATGATGATGATGATGATGATTATGGCTGAAAACAATAGAAAAAAAAATCTGGTGAATTCAAGAAAAAACACATGTCCGAAGAACAATGATGATGATTGTATATATTATGTTTATTTATAGCCATTGGTTAGCCAACTGAATCAATGTTTTTATGTTTCCATATGTTTGTCGTGTCTCTTTTTCTCTTGTTTCGAATGGTTGAACTTTTTTTCTTTCTCTTGTTTTCGAAAATTTTCAATATTAAATCTTCATTTTTCATTGTAATTTTGGTCCATTATCATCAAATCATTTGTTTTTCCGACCGACCATTGATAAAAAGGTTTCGTTCCGTAATTTTCATTCGAAATGTTCGTAATCAATTTCATTCATTCATTCATTCATTCAACATAACTAAATGAAAAATAATCGTGTTAAAAATAAATTTTATTTAATAATAGTTCAATGACAACTTAATTAAGCGACAAATTCATCATCAACAATCATCAATATCCATGCTATTTCATTTCAGTTTGTTTTGACAATAACCAGAAAGAAAGAAAACAATTTCATTGCCATTTTCATTTCAAAAAAAAAAACATTGTGGTCCAATAAAAAAAACGGATGATGGTGATGATGATGATGATGATCGGTATGAGGAAGAAGTATGAACATAAATTTACGATGATTACATGCACTAATAGGAAGTGAATGATCAGTGAAATTTGAAAAAAAAGGAAAAAACGAGGATCAACATATGTTTTTTTGTTGTTGTTGTTGTTGTCATTTTGAACGTATACGTTTTATACGAAAAAAAATTAATTGTAATTTCATATGATGATGTTTCCATTGAATTGTGTATGATGCGTTTGTTTGTGTTCGAATAGATTTTGATTCAGTTGGTTTTTTTTTCTGCAAATAAAAACCCCAAGCAATGAAATTCATCATCAATTCAACAATAATAATCATTTGTTATTATCCGAAGATTCGATAGTAAATAAATAAAATGATGATGATGATGTCGATTATTCATAAAAAATCAAAAATCAATTTGATCATTATCATTTCATTATTATTATGTAAAATATCATTATCGTTACAGGCATCACCATCGATTGTTACATTTTCAATGTTGAATAATAATAAAAATGATTTAAATTATTCAAATTCGAATAATCATGATAAACAATTATTGTATCCATTACGAAGTTTTTCCATTTCATTATCATCATATTCACCACCTGGTTCTATTTCTTCTTCCTCATCATCATCATCATCATCATCATCAACAACAAATCAATCATCATCGAAATTTTTAGCAGCATTAAAATCACCTAAATCATCGGGTAAAAGACCAAAAAATAAGACATCTACCACGAACACCAACGCACATCATCATCATCATGGACAATCGACAATAAAAATGAGCGGAAATAAAGTTAGCATACGTTTTAATAAATATCATAATTATGATGATATGACAAGATTATTGAAACATGTGGCTAAAAAACATTCGAATCTTACACGTTTATATTCGATTGGTCGATCCAAACAAGGCCGTGAATTATGGGTAATGCATTTGACTGAGTGAGTAAATTTAGAATTTTGGTAATCCCATAATCATAATCTTGTCTTATAATTTAGCGATTCTGATGATGGTGAAACCGTAACAATAAAACCGAATGTAAAATATGTTGCAAATATGCATGGCAATGAAGCTGTTGGGCGTGAAATGCTTCTACATTTAATCGCATATCTGGTCAATTTTTCAAATCGTAGTGCAAATGTACGAAAATTATTGCGACATACAAATATTCATATAATGCCATCAATGAATCCGGATGGATTTGAAATCGCACATGAAGGCCGTTGTGAAGGTCCAGGTAGACGTAATGCAAATGGAATCGATTTAAATCGTAATTTTCCTGATCGAATATTCATTAATCGTACTGAAAGTGAACAACCGGAAACGGTGGCAATTAGGCAATGGTTAAATCGAATACAATTCATATTATCAGCAAATATTCATGGTGGTGCATTAGTCGTCAATTATCCATTTGATGGTAGTCCAGTTATGGAATCGGAACATTTGGAAAAAACACCCGATCATGATGTATTTATTCATCTGGCAAAAACATATGCACAACGTCATCGTAAACTTAAATCACAAATTAAATGTCGAAAAGATGATAATTTTATCAATGGAATTACCAACGGTAATGCATGGTATCCAGTACAAGGTATGTATAATAATAATAATATGTTACATTTAATTTCGTTATGTTTGAATAATCCTTAAATTGAAAATTACAGGAAGCATGCAAGATTATAATTACATCTATGCTGGCTGTATGGAGTTGACACTTGAAATTTCTTGTTGTAAATATCCAAATGCAACAAACCTGTTAACACATTGGAATGAAAATAAGATACCAATGTTAGCATTATTAAATGAAGCAAATAAAGGTGTTAAAGGTATAATCAAAGATTATATAACCGAAACACCGATTGCTAAAGCTAATCTAACAATATTGGGCCGTGATGTTCAATTTAACAGTGATCTACGAGGACAATTTTGGCGTCTTCTATTACCCGGTGATTATGTTATCATTGTCAGAGCAGCTGGTTATTCACGATTACAGAAACAATTTACAGTTATGGCAAATAAAATTACCGTTATGGAATTATATTTAACACCAATCAAACGTTTGGCAAAACAATTTGATTCATCATCATCATCAAATTCAAATACAAATTATCATTATAGATGGAAAAAAATTGACCAACAACCATCGATTCATAGTGAATCATCATCAACATTTGGACAAAGATTAATGTTAATCAACAAAAACAACGATAATAATAATCCACCGACAAATCGATTTGTACCAATATCGACAACAAAAATCTATCTGCCAATCATTTTGATTTTAACCATTTTTGGCCATTATCAATGAGCTTATCAATATATTATATAAATTAATCCATTTGATTGATTTTTTTTATCACAAAGAGAAAATTGAATAAAACAAAAAAAAAAAAAAAATACTCAAATTATAAAGAATTCTATTCCTAGATGGTGCTATCGTTTGAATGATGATGTGCATGCACTCGGTTGTTTGTGTTTATATATTATATTGATTGATGAAATTGGATTCGAAAAAAAAACCAAACATATTCTTGAATTACTGAATCCATTCAAACAATTTCAATCGATAATCATCATCATATGTTATATTTAATATTCTGGACCAACAGCAGTAGTTCTATTCCATTCTATTATCACCATCATCATTGGATGGAACAATTCCAAATGTAACATCGCAAATTACATTAACATCATCATCATCTTATATTTGCGCACATTTCGGTCAATATGTGTGTGTGTGAAGAATATATTTTTCTATTTGAAAATGAATTTTTTCTTTATGTTTTTTGTTCATGATTTGAATTTCAGATCCATTCTTAAATGACTGTCCCGTATTATTATTATTATTATTATTGTTATGATGATGATGATAATGTTCATTCGTCGGTGACACAAGTAAGTGGGCAACAAAAACACACAAGTAACTATATATCAATGTCTTTTTTAGATTTTATTGTCGGCTAGATTTTTTTTCTTTGGATTTTCTCGATATATCACACCAGTCAGCAAACCAACCATCACCATCATCATCAACATCAACATTTTAAGTAGTAATTCCATTTCCAAGGTGATTCGGATCTCTAGCTATTATATAGATTATATCACAAGAAACGCCTTTTTTCTAACTATAATTTGATTCAATTATTTGCTTGTATGTTGAACGATTATCGTGGTGGTGGTGGTGTTGGTCGCTGTATTCTTCGCTTCATTTTCGATTGATGGGCGCTCTAGTCAAGCCGTATCCGTATTGTATACACACACACACACAAACATCATCGGTATCGTTATTGAATATATATTGGAACCAACTGTATGTGTGTGTGTGTTTGTATGTTTGTTGGATTGATGATGCGCGTATATACCAAAATGATAGTGATGGTACAGTATTTCATTTGACAGATATATTCGAAAAAAATGAAAGAAAAATTGGAACAGCAGCATTGTAGTTGATGCTTTTGCTTCTCGTTCGATAGTCGGTACCATCATCATCATTATTATCAAATCGAGTCCATCTCAATCCGTTAATAACTAAAAAAAAAATCATCCTTTTTTTGTTCGTTTTTTGGTTCAATTAATCAAAAATGATGATTACTATATTTGTGTAATTGTGTTTGTGTTTGTGTTTGATTTACATTCATCAAGTCTTTCACTTTCAACCATCGATTTACTGCCATTTTGATGATATTTTTTTTGTATCATCTCAACATTATAATTGATTCATTTTTTCAGCGTGTGCGTTCGTGTTTTATTCTGTATGAATTAATGGTCTCATCAGATGCTAGTCAAAAACATACAATCCGGTCATCATTATACTAATCTAAAATAAATGTGAAGAAAATTTTGAAAAATTTCAATCATCATCAATCGATCATCATGGAGCTTCTCATACAGACCTTACAACTTGGTAATGATGAACAAATTTCAACCGAATTGGTCAATTTTTTCACACAGGTAATAATTAGACAATTGTTTTGTTCAAGATGAATTCTGATAAATTTTCTTCTTTTCTTTTCTATTTTTTTCCCCAGTATGGAAACACAACCATTCTACATGATTCATTACCATTAAAACAGAAATTAGTGGATAATCTCTTCCGTGTATTACGTGATCTACAAAAAATACAACTTTATGCAACAACATTACAAGTTTTACGTATATTGACCAGAGATAATTCAACAGTGGATACATTATTTGCAAATGATCGCATTGAAACACTATTACATTTAGCAATGTTAGTTGGTGAAGATGAAGCATTTATGACTGAAAATAGCCAATCATTTGATGCCAAAATTGTTGTTGAAGCACAAAAATGTCTTTCGAATTTGATTGCCCTATCACCAACAATACGTCGTACTTGTAGTAATAATTGCTGTATTGATGGTATAATGCTTAGACTTCGTATGCATCCGGATCCTAATCTACCATATGAGGTTTGTCAATAATGATCAGTTGACGATGAATCAATAATAATTCAATTTTTGTTCAGGTGAAATATTTTGACATGTTAATGTTATTCTTTTTAACTGCTTATTGTGCCGAATTGCGACCAAAAATACGTGATGATTATCATGGTTTAATCTATCTGATGGAAGCCATTGATTTATTATTGAAAAATAATGCCGAATATTTGGCTGAAAATATGCCATATAAAAATAAACGTCGTTCAAAAGGTTCAAGACGTGGGAAACGAAATAATAATAATAATAATGCTCAATCATCGAATACTGGTGGTGGTAATGTTGAAACCAATAAAAATGTAGATGATATTAATGAAACAATGTCCGATTTACGTTTGGATGATACACTTGTCGCTTATTGCCTAGATGATTGGGAGGTTAATCTTTCCATACAAGTCATTAAAGTATTGTTTAATCTGACAATGAATATCGATTCTAATACAATGAATGAGGTTTGTCCATATTATAATTGTTTTTTGCATTCATTGTTTATTTTGGTTTTTTTTCTGTTTAGTTTGAAGAAGCTCACTTTTTTCGTCTAGTATCAATATTACATGATCTTCTACTCTGTGATACAAAAAATGAAGATCGCAAAGAAGATCTACAAAGCCATATTGTTAATCTATTGACCAATATGCCTCCTCAAAGTTATGAAGAGCTTTTATCGAAAATTGCCGAACTTGGTAAACCAGAAAATCCTGAACATGAATATATGGAAATGAATCTTGAAGTAATAGCTGCATTATTGGATTTTCTTCGAATTCGTCTTGATGATGTGAGTATCGAATTTTTTTTTCGTTTGCCTTAAAAATAATTCACGTTTTTTATATTATTATTTTATTTTTAAAAAGGCGGATAAATCCAATGCCCTTGAACGTTTGGCACCAATATTACAATGTTTAATTCGAGCTTGTGATGCTCATCCAATCATTAGAAAATATGTTCGATATCAAATATTGCCACCATTGAAAGATGTACAAAATCGACCGGAACAAGGCAATACAATGCGAAACAAATTGGTTCGATTGATGACATCAACCAATGTTAATCTCAAACATTTATCCGCACATTTCTTGTTCATCCTTTGCAAAGGAAATGTTGGCCGTCTAATCAAATATACTGGCTATGGTAATGCAGCTGGATTATTGGCCAGTCTAGGCCTAATGAAAACCGATTCCAAAATGTTGAATTATTCTTCGGATTCAGAGGAAAGTGAAACAGAAGAATATTCATCCAATGTCGATAAGTAAGTTTTTTTTAGTCAAAAGAATCAATCTAATTTTCTTTTGAAATTAAATTTCAAGAATAAATCCAATTGTCGGCTGTGTTCAAGAGGAAGAAGGACCAAATCCATTATCCAATATGACTGAAGAACAAAAAGAATATGAAGCTAATCGTTTAGTAAATGCTATTGATCAACTTCAAAGGTATTAATCAATCAATCAATTCATCAATTCATTAATCTTATAGCTAATTCTAAATTTCTTTCTATGTCCAACCACAAAAGGAGTGGTATCATACAACCATGTCGTATCGGTGATGATGGTAGGCCACAACCAGTGGAACATGTACTACAATTACAGGAAGAATATCAACGAAATAATCATTCATCAAACAAGAAACAACAACAGCATTCGGATTCTGATTCCGATTAAGTTACAAAAAAGTGACAACTGATTCTTATCATCATCATCATTATTATTCACAAGTCATCATTAATTTTTTTTGTTGTTTTTTTTGTCATTCTTTGATAATTTATTTTTCTTTTTTCATCTCATTTCATCTCATCTCAATCATATTCGAACGAATTATCCACTCAATTCATTATTCATCCACCATCATCCATCGATATTTGATGGAATTTTTTTTCCTTTCTCATGTTGATTGTTTGTTTTTTGTCGTTTCGTTTTTATCATCATCATTTTTTCATTATCCAACACCACATACTAATCATTTATATTTTTTGGCCATTAATTCATTAATCACTAACTTTTGCTGCTACTGCTAATGAATCAGCAATTCAATCAAGATGATTTTGAATATTCATAAATACTTCTCATTCTTTTTTTTTTCTTTTCCTTTTCGCTTTCCAACCTACGGAAATGTTTGTTTTTTCTTTTGATTTTATGTTCTTCGAAAAAAAACTAAATATTTATTTGGTAACTCACATATTTGATTCTTTTTTCTCAATAAAAAAAAATATAAATTGTTTGAAAATTTATCAGAAAAAAAACATTATACGAAAAAAAAGTTTTCAATAGATCTAATGGCAGGTATTATTTGTTTTCGGATGGTGGTGGGTGTACTTTGAATCGACTGAATCAAAGATTTATGATTAGAATCCATGAATCTCACCAATTAATAAAATTGTACCGGTACGTGTATGACGTAGAAAATATAAAAATGGATGATCAAAAGCAAGGGCAGCACTCTTTGAATTAATATTTAATTTAGATTTTTGTTTAGATTTTCGTTTCTTCGTATACATCGAATCAACAGGTCCGATACCATTTTCGCCAAATTCCATTCTTACTTTATGTTTAATATCAGTGACAAAAATATTCTCCTGATCTGTCATTATTGACGATAGATTAGCCATTTTCTGATGGAATATATCACGAATACCCATTCGTTCTAATGTACCACGGAGATCATATTCGGCTTCAATACCGAATGTAGGTAATTCAATCATAATTTTTCCATAGACATCCATACGACGTATACTTGTTTCAATATACCATGGATTAATGGCTCGACGAATTAATGAAAGATCATCATTAATACGAGATGGTAATATCATATACAATGCATATCGTTGATCTTTGAATGGTAATTCAATCATAGCTGCATCAATTTCATCCAATGGAACAACAGCGACCGCTGCTTTTAGTCTCATGAATGGTACATTTTCGTATGAAATAAAATTTGCACCATAAAATGTTGATGGTCTTGTATTGGTAATATCGAATCGATGTAACCAGATACCATGAAAAAATGCAGCATCTAATAACATGACGGCTTCATTCGATTCTGGTATATGTTCAATCAAAGTAGAACCATTGACAATAAAATCCGTAGGATTTTGGTTGATAATAATTTCAGCTTTAAAATAATCCTGTATCATTTGTGCATAATCAAGATTAATTTTCAAGGTTTGATTAGCAACAAATGCACGTGTATTTTTAAGATCATTTGTTTTGAGCAAAATTTTTCGTAATGATTCACGTTCACGATGACGATCAGGACTAATATTGGCCATTGAAAATGCTAATATTGATTCTAATTGTTGATTTGCTGGTGATCCATCATTTGTAGCCAGATGTAGCATTGTTAATGTTGCTGTTAAACTTAATGGTGCGATTAGAATATTTTTTCGTATCTCATCATCCGATTGTTCATTATTCAATTGATTCAATAGATTGAAACCAAAATAATTGGCAACTAATGTAAATTTTCTTGGTATTATAATCGGACGATTTGAATATGATGATATTTGTTTCGGTAATACATTTATAGCCATAATGCATATTAGATAGATTTTTATTAAACAAATAGCCATATTGTTGTTGTTTTTTTTCTATTGATTTTCTAGTTGATTTATTTGTGTATTGGCTTCTTAGGCCAACAAACAGAAAACAAAATCAATTGATGAATAAAATTTCGTTACTTTTAAATTCGTTGCGAATTAGCGAACATTGATTGAATAATAATGACAAATCGATGATGGTCATCCTCAAATCGATGGATCGACAACAACAATAAAGACGATGATGATGATATGTTATGATGTCAGGATGAAATAAAAATGAATTTTAATGATGATGATAGTCGTCGTATTCGTCGTAGCCGTAGCCGTCACATCATGTACAAACGCATACACATGCACGCCACATACATAAATATAACCAATTTGAAGAAAAAAAAAACTGTTGGTTGTGTATAGATGATTATGATTGAAAAAATATAATTTTGTTTTCTTTTTTGTCGTCGTTGTTATTGTTGTTGTTGTTGTAGCTGTTTACGTTATTTTTCAAGATTCCAATGTCAAATATGTATTAGATGCCAATCAATCAATCAATGTTTGAGATCAATGTGTGTGTGTGTGTGTGTGTATATGTGAAATAGCGTGTAATAATGCGTGGCCAATATAGGATTCAAAAAAATAAAAAATTTGAAACGATCCAATGAATAACGATAATGATGACAGTTGATGTTTTCGATTGAATTGAATTTTGAATCAATTTTGAATGGAATGATGATAATAATGATTTTAACTGATGATGGTTATGATGATGATGATGATCAATAAATGATTTTCAACAGGATAAGAATAATAAAATATGAAGGTCTTTTCTGGTTTTAGAAAAATGATAGTTGAACAATGTTGATGTGTCGATTATTTCACCATTGATAGATTGAAACAAAAATAAATTCCTGGTGAAACATTCAAAAAAAATGTGAATTCAAGACACAAAAAATTAATCATGAATGATGATGATGATGATGATAATGAATCAATCAACCAACACAGCCATCTCTCTCATATAAATCCAAAAAGTCTTTAAAATAAAAAATTTTACATGATGAAATCAAAGAGAATGTTCGACTAGCTCACTGGCTGGATAGATGAATGATGATGATGAATGGACAGCACGCGATGACGACTGATCACCATATCAATAAGGGCCGCAAAAAAAAGACAAAAATTCATTCCAAAAGAGTTTATACCAATATATGACAATGAATGAATGAATGAATGAATCTAATGGGAAAGAAAAAAAATTTTTTTTAGAGAGTAAAAAAATTTCGATTCGAATGTGTCAAACAAACACTGAAAAAAGCTCTATATGAGCTGATAATAACTTTGTGAATTTTTGTTTTCTTGTCAAATAGAAAAAAAAATTAATATAATGATGATGATGATGATCCAGTAGGAGAAAATTGCTTTATAAACGTGCACGTGTTGATGGTGATGATTGTCGATGATGATAATAACCACACACACACACGCACACACACAACCATCATCATCATAATAATAATCGGCCATTTAAAAACTGACAATTGAATAAAAAAAAATTTTTTTCTTTTCAAAAAAAAAATGAAATCATTCCATTTCGATGCATTTTCATGTTGACAATCCAAGTTTTTTTTATCAATTGTCAATATTGTTTACACACACACACACACTGACAAAAAATTTCAATCATCATAAATGACAATTTTTGACAATCCGATCGAAAATGTTAAAATTGAACACTTACGGAATTTATATCATCGCATTTAGACTTGTGCGTGTCTGATGATAATAATGATTGTATATACAACCATCCATTTTTAAAACACACACACACACACACAAAAAACAATAACAATAAAAAAAAAATCAAACAATCCAAGGATGTTTCAATCTCATTATAATATCAAGTGATGATGATATTATACACACGAATGAACGAATTTTTAAATTTCGTTCATTACATTCGAATCGATATATCGAACTATCAAAAAAAAGGAGAAGCCAAAAATAATGATTAGAAAAAAAGGACAGATCAAACAAACGAAACAAACGAAACAAACGAAACAAAAACTCAAATTCAATCCGATCATTCTACCATCTATTCATCGTCATTAATCTATTGTTTATTTTCAATCACATAAAACATATACACATTTACAGTAGTAGCCAAAATTTACTCATTCATTTTTGATGATTGAATGAAAACAAAACAACAACAAAAATCCAAATGATGGTGTGGATAAGATAAACCAGTGGACATCATCATCATCATCATCATCGTGATCCAGATCAAGATTCGAAATGATCTAAAACCATTTTTTTTCACTTTACAAACCCGAAAAAAAACCGGAACCGAATTTTTGTTTGTTTTTATTTCCTAACCTCACTATTTAATCTTATCAAATCAAAATTTTTCTTTTCGTTCGTTCGTTCGTTTGTTCGTTTTTTTTTGGTTACAATTGTTGTGAATTGTCAACATAAAAGAAAAAATAGACGATGAAGAAAAAATCGTTTTTATTTTTATTATTTATTCATTGTTGTCAACATTGAATGGAAAAAAATGAAAATTTCAAAATTCAATTGTCAAATGTGAAATGTGAAAAATTTTTGTTTTCAAGATTCGATTTCATCCTCCTTTTTTTCTAAAATGTATGCACTTCACCCATCATATAGATCTGTCCGGTTTGTTTATGACGTATCAAATAATAGAATGGATGATTAAAATTATAGAATAATGGTGCAACACCGGTTGCCGAATCATCATCATCGTTATTTGCCGGCCGTTTACCATCATGTTCATCAATAATCATTCGTGATCGATGCATAACACGGGTAAGATGTGCTGGTTGTGTTGAAATCGAACCGAATTTTGCATCATTACCAAATGCATCGGTAATACCCATTTTCATTAAAATTTCTGATAATTGTTCTTCTTCATGATCAACATTTAATCGTGGTAATTCAACTGTTGAATCCATTTTATATGAAAGTTTATTAATCATTTTTTCAATATAGGAAACATTTAATGATGAACGAATATCGGAAAGATCATCATTTGGATCTCTTGGCAATATACCATAGAATGCAATTTGATCACCTTCGAATGGAAATTCAATCATATCGGCTTCAACATCCGATAAATAAGTGAAACCAAATCGACCAAATTTTCGCATAAATGTAACATTATTATAAGTAACATCATTACGACCGAAAAATGTATCGATATGGCTTTCATCTTCATAGAATGGATACATCCATTTACCATGGAAATATGTACCATCCACCAACATCATACTAATATCCGATGGTTTAGCTTTAATCATTCTTTCTATCATATTATCGGAAAATATTTTATTCAAATCATTCAAATCAACATTTGATTCAAATGATTGTGCTTGAAAATTATCCTGGATCATTTTACTATATGCATCAGTGAAACCAATACCATCTTGACCGATCAATGCATTAGCCATACGATATGTTAGACCGGTTAATGATTTAATTGAATCATAACCATCATGTACAGCTTTTGGTATCGTCGATTTATCCATTTGATCGAATTTCATTACTTTGGCAAATTGATCAGCTGTTTGACCATTAGCACCTTCATACATCATTGCCATTGATGATACTAAACCAAATGGAGAGATGAGAACATTTTTTGGTTCAGGATATTGAGATCTTGCTTCTTCATTGGCATCTTCAGGTGGTGATGGATTCAATTGTTCTAGTACATTGATACCAAATTCATTTGATGCATGAACAAATGATGATGGAACAATTGGTTTTTCCGGTTGTTTTGGTAACATTACATTTTGACAATTGATCAATGAACATAATGATGAACAAAAAATAATACTTAGAATGATTTTTTTCATAATGATGATTATGATGATGATTGAACAAAATAATAATTTCTAATTTTTCACATTAAAACAAAAATGATTATTACCAATACACTGAATACTGAATGGGAAACGAAATTTGCATTGAATTTTTATATCGAAACAAAATTTTTTTTGGGCTTCTCCAAAAAAAAAAAAAAAAAAAATCTTCACCAACAACAACAACTACTGTATATACTTGACCACCTTGAATTATCATCAAATTATTATTACATTGATGATGATTATGATGTGTTAGTATTAAAATCATCATCATCATCATACACCAAAAAAAAAAAATAAAGATCTCGAAAAAAAATCAAAGAAAACGAGTTTACCTTGAAATTCACTTTTATAAAGTATATAAAAATAATGTGATGGTGGTGGTGGTGGTAGTATAGCCATCGTCATGGATATCCAAAATTCATACAATGATCATTTTGAAAATAGACAATGAACACATCTGTTGTTGATTAAAGAATTTTTCTTTTTATTCTTTAACAATATTTAGATTACAATCAAGAAAAAAAATTGGTGGAATTTTTTTTTGTTTTGTTTTGTTTTTTCCAAAGTTGGTGGTAGTTTGTTGTTGTTGTTTTTTTTTAAAAATCATGAATTTCACCAAGGAACAAAATCTGACCGGTTGGTAAATGTCGAATAAAATACATGAATGGATGATCAAAACGGAAAGTGTGTGATGTTTCTAATGCAGATAAAACAGCCATCTGTATATAGGTGCCGGCACCGGCTTCAGTTCCTTGTTCATTGAGAATCAATTTAGCTTTATGAATGGCATCATCAATTTTCATTGGTTTCTTATCGGTGATGCCGGAAAGATCAGCTGATTCAGTGAAAACATCCTGTAGGCCCATTGATTTTAAAATTTCCGGCAATTGATATGATGTACTGAGTTCAATTTTCGGGAAATAAACAGTTGATGACTGACCACCGGTAATTTGTCCAACAATTTCATCAACAAAAGTTGAATTGATTGATTGACGAATTTTGTCAAGATCATAATTACGTTCACGTGGCAATACACCGTAGAAAGCAATATCTTCACCTTTGTATGGCAATTGAATCAAATCAGAATTCCATTGTGGAACTTCAACATATCCATATGGACCTTGTCCATTGATATATTGAACATTTTTATATTCTTGACCATGATGACCATAGAATACACTTTGTTCTGTACGCATTGAATCAAATGGTTTAAGCCATTCACCTTTGAAATAAACGGCATTAATCAATGCAAGACCAGTATCTGCCGATGGTGGTTGTTCAAGCATACGATCAATTAAACCATGTGTTTTGTTCGATACAAATTGATTGATTCGTTCCATGACATTTTTGGATTCTTTTCGAAAATCAACCGACATTACTTGACCATCATAATATTGTTCAATAATTTTTTTATATTGATCTTTAACCGGTATTTGTTGATCAACCATCAACATATTACCCCAATCAAATTGATTACTTTGATCCGATTGTTTAATTTGATTTTGAATTTGTTTCACTGAATTGGCAACAGTTTGATATTCACCGCCATTCAATTGTTGTACACGATCATAATACAATACACGTTTAAATTGTTCGGCAGTTGATCCTTGGGTACCTTGATGTACCATTGATAATGCAACGGCAACACTGTATGGTGAGAAAAGAACATTTTCCGATGATCCACGTGATCCAGATGATGATCGATGTTGAATGACTTCTTTCAATAAATGGAAACCAAATTCATTCGAAGCTTTTGCAAATCCTTCAGCTGGTACTGGTTTGTTGTTATTATTATCACGGCTACCTGAACCAACATGAGCTGCATAAGTGGCAGTAGCGGCAACTACCATCAACACAAATGATAAGAGAAAAAATTTCATTTTCTTTGTAGTTTCGTTTAGGTTTTCTCAGATCATACAATTTTTTTTACGAATGGAAATGAACAAACCAAATCATCGGTTCGGTAGTTTTTATACATTGATTGATATCAACATTGCCATCATCATATCATTGCCATATGTAATGCTGATGGCCATGGTCATACGATCAATTGTATTGATCAATGAGATCGATCGATCGATCGATCGTCCAATCAATCATGGCCTCAATGTTTTCGTATGTGTTTATGTGTTTTGTGTGTGTGTGTGTATGCCATTATGATGACGAAGCGTAATTTATTGGCCATCTTTTTGTTTCAATCATTCAAATAGAAGAAGAAATCCGATTTTATTTGATTGATATTTGATGGATTAATAGTTTGAATGGAAAATAATTTGCATCGTGTTTTTTTTTCGCAAACAAAGCAGAAAAAATTGAATCGAAAAAAAAATAAAATCTGGCTTACTATGCTATATATTTCATCAGCTGTATTCGAATGATTGAATGGTGGTTACCTAAAATCATTATCATCATCATCATAATCATCAATATCATTAGAAAGTGATAGATAAATTGTTTCTGTGTATATGGTAATTGAATTAAATTTCATTGAATTTTTTTTTTTTTGGGTTTCCATCATTTGAACGTAGGTGTGTGTGTGTGTGTGGTGGGGGGGACACGATTATTATTGTACTTATCAATGTCTCTATGCTGCGATCATTCACACTTTTTAAATGCGGAGGCAATTTCCATTGTTTTGTGCATCTTGACAAAATGATGACGACCAAAAAAAAACGAAAAACGAAAATTTTTTTTTTATTATTGTCTAGCAACAGATGTATGAATGTGGCCATAAGGTATAATAATGACGATCATGTTGATCATCATCATCGCAACGATGACGATGATAATGAATTCATTTTCAAACATTCGAACGAATGAAATGAAACAAAACAAAACAAAACAAAATAAAACAAAAAAACAAACGATGAAATATGTCCTTGGCTAGAACGAGTTTCCATAATTTTCCACAAATTTTCAAACAAAACAACATCACAGTATCATCATCATAGATGATCAACAATTGTTGCCTGGCCTGCTACTGCCTCCCCCCATCCTCCCAACTTTTCTACATAATAAATGGCCGGTCGATTGACTGACTGACTGACTGACTTGAATGAATTGAAGGATTTTTTTCCTTTGGCTACACTTGTTGAATCTATTTTATTATATAATAGAATTCTTGCTATTTTATTCATCATATTTATATATTTAGACATAGATATTTGATCCTTGAACAGGTTTTTTTTCAGATTCGTTTGTTTGTTAAGAACAAACAACAACAACAACAACGACAAACAACAAAATATTCGTTGCTATGGACATAATTTGAATTCGAATTCTATTCTATTCAATTTCGGATTTCTGGTTCTATTTCTGGTTGCCATGCAATTTGTTGTATTTTTTTTTTTTTTTACACGACAGTAGAAATAAAAAGTTTTTTTTTTGCATTTTTATTTTTGGCTGATTTCGAACTTAATATTTGGATTGCATCTTGGATGGCTAACAAAACAAAATAATTTCGACATAATTTTATTCAAGGATGCACATTCGAAAGAATAATAATCTTTTACAATCTATGAAAAAAAAATAATAATGATAGATAGAATAAAAAGCTGATTCAGCTTCATTTCTTCATTTTGTTTTTTTTTTCGCTAAAAAATACGTATTTTGCGGATGTATAACAAGAAGAGAAAAAAATGATGATGATGATGATGATGATGATTGATGATGAATAAAAATTTTCAAACTAACACCAAAATCTAATCATTAAATTTTCTGTAGAAATTTATTATTTATATATTATATTGATTATAATCTTTGTACTTCACCAATGAATAGAATTTGTCCAGATTCGATATGATTAATAAAAAATATGAATGGATGATCAAATTTTAATATCGGTAATGATTGTCGTTGTTCAACAATAATATGATTAATTTTTGAATTTAAATCAAATTCTTGATTTCCAACACCATATTCATCCAATATGATTCTTGATTGATGATAAACATGATCAATCCACATAGATGACGCTGTTGATTCATCATTATTAGTTTTGTTGTCAAACAAGCCAATGGTTAGATTCGAACAATATGGATTGAATAAATCTTCAATGCCCATTGTTTGAAGATCTGCGGATAAATTTTCATAAGTTCCTTCGATGTCCATACGTGGTAAGAAAATAGACCAAATTCTGTAGCAGATGTTTTATTCAATTTTGCAATCAAATAATAAAGATATAACGATGATAATGATCGATGTATTCGATTCAAATTCATTTCGATTAATCGTGGTACAATACCAATGAATGCAAGTTTATCATCAAAGAATTTAATCATAATCATATCAGCGTCCATATCTGGTAGATATAGATGTGGAAATGGCCCATCTTTAAACATATATTGTACATTCGAATATTTTTCACCATTTGAACCATGAAAAAATCCAATTCTTGTCTGTCGTTTATCAAATGGATCAAGCCATTTTGCCCGAAACGTAGCTAAATTGATCAAAGCAATAGCTTGTCTACCACCACCACCACCATCATCATCATCATCATTGATAGCCGTAAGATTGAATGTTTGTGGCAATAACTTATCATGGATAAATTGTTCAACAAATTGATTCGTAAAATCTTTCATATCATTAATTTTGACAATTTTTCCTTGAAAGTTTTCTTCAACCAATGTCGTGTAATTCGGATTGAAATCGGTATTAGAATTTATGACCATTAAATTGAGAAAATTCCACAAAACATTTGTTTCATTCATACGGGAACATATGGTTCGAATAGCATCAATAATACCATCAACATCATCAATATATGGTAATTCATATAAATGTAATACATTTTCTAATTGATATTTTGTATTGCCATCAGTTGCAGCATAAATCATTGATAATGATTTTTCCAATATGAATGGTGAAAAATAAATATTCTGTACATCATTTTTCATTGATAATCTTTGTAAAAGATCAAGACCAAATTGATTTGATGCAATTGTAAATGCTAATGCAATTGCTTCATGATTGATGGCAATGGCCGTCCATAATTGTCCGATAAAAATTATCGTCAAGATTATTGTCGTTTTGTATTTCATCATTTCACTAATCAATGGTTGGATATCAAATGAACAATGGAAATAAATAAATTGTTGCATTATTAAAAAACAAAAAGAAAAAAAAATTAACGCGTGATTATTTGAAAATGATACGCATTTTTATGATTATATTTGAAAATGAAAAACAAAATTATTATTCAATCAAACAGCAATTTGTTTGACAATTAATAAAAATATCGATAATCAATTAATCAATGATGATGATGATCAGAATCACAACCAAATGGATCGGATTTATGATCAAGAATTTTTATGGCTGATTCACGTATCAATGCAAGAAAATCGGATAATTGTTCCTGTGTAAATGTCGTATGTAAACGTTGATTTTCATCAGCAACTAAATCTGCTACACGTAAACATTGTTGATGATCACCTGAATCACGGTATACTGAATGTAATAGAAAACAGAATTGTGGTAAATAGATTCGTCGTATACCATCCATTTGTCCTGGTCGACAATTTTGCCATTCATTTCGTTTACGTTCCAATTGTTGTCGAATGACTAATTCATGTTCTTTATCCATACCCATACCAAGATGACTATTGAGTGTCATCAATAAATCTACATCATCGTCATCATGATCGGCATCTGGTTGCATTTGTTGTTGATCATTTTCAGCGATAACAAATTCTGTGGATAAAACTGATGGTGCTTCTTCATCAACAGTTGCTTCAGCAATCGAAATTGGATGACGATCATTTGTACCCATTGCTAAATGATCATGATTCATATCAATCTCTTGCATTAGATTCGAATCAACAACATCCAACCATATACCATTGGGAAAGCAAAGAAAAGCAAGTAATTTTTTCGTTGTATTTGAAGCTTGAACCACAAGTTGATTACGCCATATTTCAATTTCCTGTTCATATTGTTTTTTCCGTTGCTCATAAAGTACACGATCGGCAATACGATTAATTGGTGTTTTCGGTTTAGTTGGTTCACGTGGTTTTGTTGTATAGAGAAAATGATGCCTTTTTTTAGGTGAAAATCAATTTTAGTAAAAAAAAAAAAAAAATATAATGAACAAATCACAAATCAACTTACCATTTTTTAAATGCTTCACTAGCATCAAAATAAGATGAATGACAAAGATATTCACGTATAACATTTTCAATATCAAAACCACAATCAAAATTATTGGATGATTTCCATTCTTGATATGATTCGTTTACAATATTCGATGGTAATTTATTATATGTTTCACATGCTAAATCAATTTTTTGTTCCAATAAAAAATTTCTGATCAATGCATTTGCTTGCCATAATAATTCTAGATATTGTGGACTATCACCATCCAATAATAGCCAATCTAATGCATAAATTTTTCGAATATCATTTTCAGTAACCGTGTTCGATAATAATGTTGCCATTTTTGATTTTGTACCATCCACACTACCATTATTGTTTCTCATATTATTATCAGCTGCAAGATGGCCAAAATTAGCGAATGGTATTAATCTTGCATTCATCAATTGATATCCCGTTCGATTCAATCGAATATTTTCTATAACCAATGTAAGAATAGCCGATATATTCAATTTAGCATTTTTAGCAATTATCAAACATAAACGACGATCAGATTCATCATCAATTGTTTCCAATAATGTTGCAAATGTTCGAACCTGTTTAGTTTCAGGTAAAAAGCTTGTATAGAATGCAATCAATTCTACTAGTTTATATTCGATTAAAAATCCAATATAAATCTCTAGAATTTCTACACATAATGTTGAATGACGTTCAACATTGATAAGGTTCAATTCTTTCAAACAGATGACAATATGTGCAAACAATCGTAATAGATTTGGTTCAATAATTTTAACCATTAATTCTTCTTCCATATCTCGCAGTTTATTCCATGATGATCGTGATATTTGATCGGCAATCATTTTTGTTCGTGATTCTCGATTTGTTTGTATTGTTTTAGACCATTCATACAGATGATCAACAAGTGAATCAATATTGGCCATTATAACATCTTTAACAACGGCACGATAACATTCTTCTTCTAATCTTGTAATAAATGATGATGTTTGTAAACTAAATTGTGTTTCTAATTCACGAAAAATTTCTTCCGGTGTAAGACGATTATCCCAATAAGAATCGGGTAATTCAATATTACTTCTTGGTTGCATATCTGGTTTGGAAATATTTGTATCAATCAATAAATTTTCAAAATGTACATCAAGTGAACATTTAAAATATGCCCATAATTTATCCATCCATTTATTACATAATGGCATCAATACAGAACGATTTCCACTGAATATGGCAAATATTGCTCGTTCATAAAGATTAGTGCCATCCATTTTTGAACATTTCCATGATGAATGTTTCCATAGATCACGATATGGATTACCTTCAATTGGTGACAATTGTTTTACGGTGGATGAAAATTGTGTAGCCATCGATATTCGACTATTCGGTGATAATGATGACATTATCATTGATTGTTCTTGTTGTTCATCTGATTGATCATTTTTTTCATTATAATTTGGATCATTATGAAAAATCCAACCTTCCAATGCAGCTGATAGCCAAAAATAACCAAAACGTTCGGCAATTTCTTTTGCTTCGGGTAGCCGCCCTGATCGAATTAATTTGAAAAGATGATGAAAAAGACGATTTTCATCCTCTTTATCTAGATCATGTAATGGCTGGCCGTTTCGAATCGGTGCATCTGGATCCATTTCTGTGCACAAAATTCGGGCATTTTTTCCAGTTGACATAGACATACTACGCTGTTTAGACATTTTCAATTGATGTAATGTATTCTCCCAATATCCAGGACCATCGGAATAGAAATCCATTTTTTCCAATGATTTTCCATCTTCATCTTCATACATTGATTCAAGCCAATCGATTATGATTTGCATTTCACGTAACATTGAATTCTTTTCCATAGCACGTTCAACTAATTCTGAATCATTTAAACGGAGACGCATATCTTCTTCAATTTCCATATCCATTATTGATTGATTATTCTGTTCACCACCACCACCACCACCAGCAGCAGCAGCCAAAAGATTTCGTTGATGATCACCATTTATTACCATTGTAGCCGTGAAACGATCACCAAGTAATACTTTTAAAAGGCACCAAATATTACGTTCTAATCGTATTAATTGGCAGAATTTATTTAGATAATTTAGTTGATATTCTGAATGTTGATTCTTATTTTCCAACAATCGTTGTGTAACTAATAGATTATCTTCACATGTTTGTTGAAATTGATCCATCATTGAAAATACATTAGTGATCGAAGAATGTTGTGTTGGTGAATGTTGTAAATCTAATGGTGGTAGAAATTTTTGATTCAATTCAAAAAATGATTCAAATATTGCTAAACGAGCCATTTCATCTTCAGTAATATGTTGATCATCTAAATTATTCCTTGAATATTGTATAGTTGCATTTGTTGTCGATATATTCATCAATTTATTTGTAGATATTGGTGATTGTGATGTTATATTCATAGATTGATGATGAAAATCGGTCGATTTATTTGATTGATTTAATGTTGGTGTTTCATTGATAGCAGCCAATGATGATGAAAAATTATCATCATTGAACAAAGTACGAGATCGATCTATAGAATATGAATCGAATAAATAGAATAATGATCATTTTTTAAAATTTAGATTAAATTAAATTTACCGGCAAGCTTTGAAAATTTTGAAAAATTCCGTTGATATGCAACGGGTGAATCCATGGCAAATGATGAATCATAACCGCCCATTAATTGGGAACTATTAAAACTTGATGATTGTGACATTTTTTTTTCCTACTCCGTCACTAATGATTGATTATCGACACAAAGAATTGACAAAATTCAAATAATTGAAAATGAGACCAAAAAAAAAAAAAAAATACCGTCTCTGACGAACACATGTGATCAATCAATTCGGATGATGATCACGATTGAGCGGGATAATGAGCTAACGACGATGATTAACGCCATCTGATAGCGAAATTTTGGAATTTTTTTTCTTCTGAAAAATAATTCGATTCCATTTTCATCAACGAAGAGCAATAATAATGATCATTAACATCAAAGAAAAAAAATGATAAATAATCCTGATTATTTCTCAAGAAATTACAAAAGAAATCTAAATGATGCACGAACTATAAATTCTTCGGAACGAATTAATCAACGTAAAAAAAAACTATTAACTCAATGATGAAGCTAATTGGCGGAATTGTATTGTTGGCCAAAAAAAAAGGATTCCGATGAAAATAATGTTCTTAACAAAAAAAAAGTGGGAAGAAAATTCCATTATTACGCCTCAATTTTTTTTTATATTCATAATTCAAATATATTTCATTTTCATTCATTCGAAACATGAATTATTTGTGTGTGGTTCATCATCATCATCATTATCATTGAATTTTGAAGTTCATCGAATGAATTAATAAAAAAAAAATTTTGCTTTTTTGCAAAGAATCGTTTGCTTATTCCAACAATCAACCAACCAACCAACCAATCAATTCATTTGAATTTGAATTCATTATCATCATCATAAATCAATTATGTGCATCGATTAATTATTGATTCATCGTGGAATAATGATTAAAAAAAAAAAAATCGAAAATAAAAACAATGGATGAATCAAGAAGTTTATCTGATTGAAAAAAAAACAATTTTGAATAATTTTTTTTTCGGTAATAACAATTAGATCCCGATACACATGATATAAGTCAAATGTTTCGAATTTTTTTCTCTTAATACGGGATCGTATGATCATAGTGTTTTTTTTTTGAGCCCAGAACTTTGCATTCTCTTTTTCTTTCAGCAATGAACATTGGAATCAGATTTCAATGTTAAAAAATTTTTTATTCCACTTCATATTTGTTTGTTTGAAATGATTATATTTGACGAAAGAAACATAAAACCACTAACATGTGTGTGTGTGTGTGTGTGTGGTGTCGCCAAACAGGAAAACAGAAAAAATGTAAAAAACCAGAAATGTAATGTTTACCCATATATATTATTTATATTCAGATAAGTGTATTTCAAATGTGAAATTTGAATTTTCTAAACAAACAAACAAAAATACCAAAAGAAGAATTTAAAAGTCAAAATGAACTTTAGTAATCATGTTATATATATGAACTGAGAGATAAGGATGAGCAGCACCAAAAATTGTATCGTTCGAATTTCAAACATGTATATAATACCAAAAATATGTATTTCAAAAGGCAATTTTTTTCATCGTTAACTTTTAGCAGAACAAAAAAAAATTATAATTTGAATTTGAATATATATATTGTTTGTGTATCTTGTTAAATTGTTATTGTTGTTAATGATGAATAATGATCGATTCAGATGAAAACAAAACAAAACAAAAAAATTATACCTTTACATGGAATTTATGGTTTGCCCGAAAGGTATGATGACGATGACAACAGACAATAACAAATCACTGATCCGTTTCATTAATTTGTTTGATCCATAATTGTAATTGAATTTTTTTTTCTATAGTTCGTTCATTCATTCATTTTTTCATTCGAATAAACGATGGACGAATACACAAAGAAAAAATGATGATGATGATGATGAATTTTAAAATTCATAACATTCAAAATAATATAAAAACCTTAAGGAGGTGGTGGTAATGCAACAACCAATGGAGGCAGGTTTTGGAAAATTTTCCCTGATAAAAGAATTTTGTTTTCAATACAAAAAAAAAATATCATTTCATATGAAAAAAAATAATGATAATTTCAAAATCATCCTGTGAAAAATGATCCATTTTTTCATCATCATTTCTTCTAAAGCCCGAAAGGGATAAACGATTGAAAACAGAATATTAAATGAATCAAATAGTGAAGAAAAAAAAAATTAATTTGCAAATGAATTATATGGTTATTATTATTGTATTCTTTTCTTATATATTTTTTTCATTCTCTCTAAACACACACACACACACACACACACACCACTAACACACAAAGAGAAAATTCTAGGTTAAAATATCCAAATGACAATTACACTAGACACACACTATATATATATAATTTGACATTTTTATGATGATAATTTTTTTTTCGTTCATATTTTATGGAATGATAATCATCAATTACTAATATTATGGAAAATAAAATGTCAATAAATCAATGAAAAATAGAGAGAGAGAGAGAGAAAATAAAGAAAGAAACTAGATAATGAATTAAGAGAAAAATAAAATAAAATCAAAGTTGAATAATAATCATCAATTACTAATATTATTATGGAAAATAAAATGTCAATAAATCAAAGAAAAATAGAGAGAGAGAGAGAGAAATAAAGAAAGAAACTAGATAATGAATTAAGAGAAAAATAAAATAAAATCAAAGTTGAATAATAATGATGAAAAACAAACAACGACAGTAACAATAACAAATTTTTCGATTTTTTTTTGTTGTTGTTGTTGTTATCAACAATGATGACGACGACTACGACGGCCATGATGAATGATGGTGATGATTTTGGTTTTTTTTTATTCTTGTATTTCTGATTCTGGTTCTTGTGTGTGTGTGTGTGTGTGTGTGTGTGTGATAATGATTTCAATTTGTTCAGGTTTTTTTTTGTTTCATTGATTAGATTCATGAATCCAATTGATGGATCAACAAAATGATTAATGATAATTATCAACGTCCTGGATTACGTCCACCTGGCCGTAAAAAATCTTGTCCCAAGCTTTCACCGCCAAGAAATGAATTTTCACAATCACCACCGGGTAAACCACTTAAACATTCCATACGTTTAATAAGTAAACGTTGGTAAGCAGCTAATGCCATTGGTTGCTTTGCTCGATTTCCATTATTATCATTTATCGATGATGATGTAATTTGATGCGGAATGCTATTGATGAAATAAAGAAAAAATTGTGATTAATAAATTATCAAAATTTCAATAAACGATAAATTCAAAAAAATAATTCATGCATCATCAAGTAGTGTGTGTGTGTGTGTATGTGCAACAAATATAAAAATCGATTAACGAGCAGAAAAAAAAATCAATTAATCAAATGACAAAATAGGCAGACACATAAACATAAAAAAACACAGGCCTTATGAAAATAAAAAATAAATCAAATTTGAAATTTTTTTTTCTCATGATGATCTGATCACATTGTGAAATTATTGCATACGAAAATTACGATAAAATTTATTAGTGCTTATGGTTGCATTCATCTATAATTTGTGATTGGATTTCGATCATCATCATCATCATCATAAACAACAATAAAAATAAAATCATGCCTATATTTACTCGATATTTTTAATCATCGATTCATCATCGATAATTGATGGCTTCTGCTGTTGTTGTTGTTGTTGTTCCAATAACCATGATTTATATGATGATGAATCATAAGAAGATGGATAAGAAGAAGAATAATAAGACAATCGATTGATTGGTGGTACTTGATATGAATGATACGTTGATAAACTATTACTACTACGTTTTCCTGGGGATGCTTGGGATTCCCAAATACGACGGGCATTTGATGCTGATATAAAATCCCGAAAATCGCAATTATTTGATAGGCCAGCATTGATCAGACATGAACGTTTTCTATCCATCATCATATGTTCATATCGATGATGTATTAATTGTCAACAATTGTTGTCGATAAAACACAAATGACAACAACAAAGGTGGTATACAACACAAAATGTCCATAAAAATGGACCAAAAACAAAAATAGATGAATAAATTTTTCAAATAATAAAAATAATAAAAAAAAGCCTTGTATAAAGGTCATTGAAGAGAAGAAAAAGGATAGAGAGAAAAGAACTTACCGGCTAACATATCCATTGCCATTACTATCATCCATAACACCATTATGGAACAACATAATCGGTTGTAACATAAACAAACGATCTCTGATTTTATAGAAAAATTGATCATCAAATAATGATGATTGTTGCTGTCGATTTGGTATGTTAAATAATGAATTTGTTGTTGATGGTAACAATCTTAAACGATAGCTATATCGAACGAAAAAAAAAACCAAAACGAAATGATAAAAATTTCATTCCCAAACAAAACAAAAAATTCAAATAATAATAACGTACTTGGAATTACGATACAAAGATCGTGGTAATTCATCCATATCTGATGATGGTGATTGTAACGATGATAACGATGGTGATGGTGATGATAATTGTGATGTTGATGACAATGAAGCGGAAATCGTTCCAATCATAATAGCCATAATAATCCCGTTAGATGTCCATATAAATGTCATATGGTAACCAGATTTCCGGCCGTTTGATTTATAAATAGACATTTTTGTTCTAATCGGATTTGCAAACAAAAAAAATAGGTGATGATAATTAAAAAAAGATAATGATAGATGATGACCGGAGAATTAATAATCGTTATATAAAAAAAAACAAAACAAAAAATCCAGGTGCAATATGAGGGATTTTTTTTTGTTTTGTTTTGAATCTTGGATTTGTTTGTGTGTGTGTATGTTTGTATCACTTGAAGAATATTCTTAATGAAAATAATCGGGCAATGAATTTGATGTTTTTATATTGACGACGATTATAGCGATGGAAAGGAGGAGGAATGAAACAAAATTCATATGAAATATTCTTTAACCAATCATTCAACAAGAATTCATCAAAAGATGTAAAATTATCAAGAGTATGCGCAAATTTTCTAGCTTATTTTTTATGATTATATGGTGCTGGTTATATAACCGGACGAACGGTGTGTGTGTGTGTGTGTGCGTTCGTGACAACAATGATAAAAAAAACTTGTGATATATTATATTGATGGAAAATCAATCAATCAAGTTGCTTCAATATATTGATGAACTATTATGATTGTGATAATATAATAATAATAATAATAATGACGAATAACAGTGATGATCGACGACAATCACTAACAATATAAAATATATAATCAATGTCAAGAATCTTGAACGATACACAATGATAATAGTGGATTCAATTAATAATAATCATCATCATCATCATCACCAATAACGTCAATGGTTGGTTCGAGGCGTTGATTATGGCAACCCATTTTCGATATAAACACACAATAACGATATAACAACAAAATTATGAATCAAACTTGAACTAAAAATTGAATCAATAAATGATCTGAATAACAACCATCTGCTCATGTTATGTTGGGAATTGTTGATCATGATGATGATGATGATGATGATGAGATTCAAATCGAAGAATTTCAGAATTGTTAAATAAATACCATGCTGTGCTATTCCATATTTTAGGCTCTGTTATTGACGTTTTTTTTCATTTCGGTAACCGATTTGTGATTGAAATTCTGCAATAGCAATATGCTTCGATGTATATGGAAGAAAAGTTGATCTGTTGAATTGAAAAGAATGGAGAAAATCTTTGAGAAAAAAATTTGTCAATTTGACAAAATTGAAAAATTTTTTTTTCTTACTCTTGATCTGATTCATTTATTGTCGTCATCATAGCCATCATCATCATCGTCATTTGGAAACGTTAAATTAAAACTTTTCAATCATCGATCTATTGGAATAAATTTAGATTTTAAAAAAAATTTCAAATAGAAAAAGAATCATAAAAAAAAGAAAAAAAAGGTGCAATAGTTAGCATAAAAAGGAATTTTTCAAATTCAAATTCTGAAAGAATCTTTTCTAAAAAAAAAATTCCCATTGTAAAAAATTATTAATCTGAAACACCAGTGAATGGTTGAAATAAAGAAAACCTATCAATAATCGTTTGGCCTAAATTCAATCTCTCTGTGTGTGTGTTGTGTGTGTGTGTGTGTGTTTGATTGATTGATTTCAATCGATTCGATTTAAGTTATTCTTGTTATTATTACACTATAATTATCATTATGATATATATTATTTACGGGTGCAGATGAAATTGAACCATTTTTTTGGTGCGAACAAAAATTTTTTTTTTGTTTTATGGCTTCATCTCTCTCTCTCTTTCTTGGTTAGTTTCTTCTGTATATACAACGATATAAATAAAAAAAAATAAGGACAGATTTCAAATTTGATGGCAATTCAATCACGATGGCAATTGATGAATTCTATGATGATGACGACAAACACTGAAAATGAAAATAAAAAGAGGAATTGATTTTTCATAGTAAAGAAAAGAATAGAAAGAATCAGGATGTAATCAAGAGAAACACGTCTCACACACACACAAACACACATACCATTCAAGAATGATGATGATGATGATGATGAAATTGAAGAATTTTTTTCTTCGGTGATGTTTTCATCCCATGGTGGTGTGTTTGTTTATTCGGCAACACACCATATACACAAAGTTTACTTATGGATAAAATTTTTATTACCTATAACAAATTTCATTTCATTATCATCAATCAAGATGATGATGATGATGATGATGATGATGAAATGAAATTGAGCCAAGTGCGATTGATAATCTTGATTATTGCATGAAAATAAAAATTCAGATGTGGAGATAGGAAAAAATTGCTGAAAATTGACCCAATAAATTCAATTATAATATGGATCATCCAACGATATTGATAATGATATTGGTTGTTGTTGTTGTTGTTGTTATTTGGGATCAATAAAAAAAATGTCATTTTTTACCATCATCATCATCATCATCGATATTTGAAGGCGGAGATAAAACATGGTATTATATTATGAAAATGAAAATTGAAATCGCCAACTGGAACGAACCTGAATAATGATGATGATTATAGAATTGAAAAGTTTTTTTCATTTGTTATTTTTTTATTATAAAGCAACGAGTTCGAAAACGTATTATAGCCATTATTATATAATGATGAGAATTGGTAACTTTTATGATGAAATCAAAATGATGAATATTCTGTGGAAATTCTTTTGTTGTAAAAAAACAAAAATTTTAATGAATAATTTTCATTCAATTCAATTTTATTTTACCTTTGGAAATTCATTGGAATTAAAATCGCGAATAAATATTTTCAAATTTCTTGTCTCAATGCTTATGGCTTTCTCTTCTCATTAATTTCAATCTTTTTGACAAATGTAAATTTGTGGTAAAACCAAAAAAAATGAATCACAAAGTTTAAAATAGAAAAAAAATGAATAAATATTGATCACGTGAAACACGTGAATTTCTAAATGATTCGATTCGATTCGAATAAATCTGATTTACCACGTTTTGAAACGTATAGTAGCGCTATCTATGAGTCTGTTTGTTGAATATTCGTCAACATAAAAAAAACGATCATTTGATTTTCATCATTCGAAGGACATCATCATCATAATCGAAATGAAAAGATTAAAGGTCAATCAACTAATCTTTTAAACATGAATGATGATGATTGGCCAGAAGAAAAAAAAATTGTCCTCCAAACGATGATGAAAATAATTAATTTCAATGATGATGATGATTTCTGACCGACTGATTGAATTCTTGGAGACGTGAAAAAAAAATAGTTGATAACCATATGAATCTGTCTGGTAAAAAAAAGGGGAAGATGTACAAATAAATGGCCCATGACGACCAACAATCAACCATTTGCTTATCTTCTCTTGAATTAAGTTTTTTTTTTTTTTTTTTTTTTATTTTGCTTTTTTAGAAATTAGAAACTCACATCAAATCTCCTGTCTTTCTTACCAGTTCTTTTTATCTCTCAATTTATTAATCTTCATATATTACGAAAGAAAGAAACTAAATTAATCTTAATGATGTAAACATGGACAATCAACCAATCTTTTTGATCGAAGAATTTGTTTGATGGAATTTTCTTGTTTTTTTTTTTTGGCTGATTCCCCTTCGTCTGTGTGTGTGTGTGTGTGTGTGTGTATTTAGTACGCGCATCAATTTCACTGGCAGTAAATCACCGTCATTGTCACAATAATGAGAGGGAACATTTCCAAAAAATCAAGATCAAGATCAAATTTCAAAGATAATAATGATGATGATGATAATAATAATAATGTTTAGAGGCGACAACAAACAGACAAAAAAATAAACAAATCCATTCAAATGGAATGTTCGACATTCTTCATGTGTTTATTATTCAGTCATCATTTGTAAACAACATCATTGATCAATCATCCTGGATGGAATGACCATTTCGAAAATTCGATACGAAAAATCAAGAATACCGAAAACAAAAAAAAAACCGAATGTGTTCAACCTGTTGAATGTGAATATTTATGTCAACTGGGTTTTTTTTCTATTGGTTACCTTTGAATTGAATTTCACCATAGAAAAAAAGGTAATTGTTTTTTCATTGTTTATATTTCTTAATTATTCTGGTTTTTTTTCTGATCATCATCATCATCATCATCATCGATTGAAATTATCGTAATCATTATGTACATTATTTTTTTCCGATTTTTCATTCTTTGTCTTTCATTTTATGATGATGATGATAATGATGAACATTTATAATCGAGTACATATGTTTAATTGATTCGAATCCGAATCAATCATTATTATTATTATTATTATCATATGTGGATACGTGTCCATTGAATCAATCAATTTTTTTTTCTCAAAACACATGTACAATATTTACAAAACAAATTTTCATTTGTGTCTGTGTGTGTGTGTGTGTTTGTAGACAATCTTTGTTACCATTGCATCGATAATAATGATGATGATGATGATGACAACTTTTCATAATCCATCCTGTGAAGAGAACAAAAAAAAAATTCAATTTAATTTAAAAAAAAAAAGTTTTCAATCATTAAGATTATGTAAATTGATAACGATGTTATCATCATCCTCATCAATGAAGATATAAACACACAGTACAGACATTCAAGCACTTACAGGTGTATGAAATTCGAGAAAATTCTAATCATCATCAATAACAATCAATCAATCATCATTTGTTCATCTCATCATCATCATCGATTTTTTCCGTTTTTCTTTTTGATTCATTACTTGATTTGATCATCATTTATGGAACAAATTCTTCAATTTTTTTTCTCATTCATCAAATCCACGATGATCAGATGAATGAATAATTTTATCTTGTACAAAGATAATGTATTTTTTTATCAACATAACCCGTTCAACACCTTAATTATTATTCAATCGAAAAAAAGAAGAAAAAATTTTTCTCTATGATTATTGGCTTACTGATTTACCAACAGACACACACCTTCAATATCAAACATCGTTATCGGTTATGGTTATACATTCCAATCATCATTTTTTTTTTATTTGTTGATGACAACCACCACCACCAAGTAAACCATCATCTTCACCATCATCATCACATTATGACCCTGATGATGATGATGAATCATAATCCAGAGAAAAAAGCGATATTAGGATCGATCAGATTGAAATTTTCGAAAAAATTTAAGGAATTTGTGTCATTTAATTTTTTTTTTACCTCAACTCTTTTTTTCCGCAATCATTTTTTGGTCAAATTTTTTTAAAAAATCTATTTTTGTTCAGAAAGAGACTACCTGAAAGTGTATAAAAAAAAAACACACAGAAAAATTCAACGTTTTCAAATGTTGGAATTTCCAAATTGGAAATATTTAGAAAATCACAAAAAAATATTGTGTGTTTGTTTGTTTTGTTTTGTTTTGTTTTTTTGGTGTTGACATTGAAAAAATTTTTAATTGTTTCCCCTCTTTCCACCACCAACAACAACGTAACGGTATGTCAATTGATTAAAACTATTCTTTGTGTGTTTTAAATGATTATAATTATCGTCATCATCGTCATCATCATTGTCATCTATAATAATTGTCATGTTTATCAAGTGAATAATCTTCATTCATTCATTTAATTAGAGATTATTCTCGAATTTTGATAAATTTAGAAAAATTTAATCTCTATGTACGTGATTAAAAATAGATTGAACTTTGGGAGAGAAAACAAAATTTATCCCATCATTTTTTTTTTTTTTGATGATTTAAGTTGATATACCTGTTGATCTTTTGTGTTGTTGTTGTTGTTGTGATGGATTGTCAAGTGTCAAGTGTAGTCAATTTGTTTTTTTTTTCATTCTAATTATAATCACCAAGTTGATCAAGCCATAATTCATTCTCATTCAACGATAACAATGATGATGATGACAACAACCGTATCATTTTTCATGTAAATCGAATCAAATTAATTCATCAAACACGTAATGATCATCTAAATTTGATGGATGCATGTTATTTTTTTTTTTGTTTGTCTAAATCCCATAGGTATTTTTTTTTTTTTGCATATAAAAAACATTGCATAAAATTTTTTTTTCCCCATTCAACAGATGTTTTTACGTATATTGTGAACAATAATAAACTACCAATCAATCAATCAATTAATTGAATGTATACAAAATGCTCGAACATTTTATTAAAAAGAATATTTATATCGTTAACAATCGATTAAATCGTCGAAAATCATTAGTAGTTGAATCAATTAATAATGATGATGAAACGGTGATTATCAAAAATGATTTGGTAAAGACAAAGAAATTATGTAATGATAATGAATTTGATAATCTTGGTGAAGAAGAAGAAGAAGATTGTAATGAAGATGATAATGAAGATTTGAATAATAATGATGAAGAAGATGATGATGATACTTCCGCCGATGAAATAGCAACAACAACTAATGAAGATGGTGAAGAAGAAGAAGAAGAAGAGGAAGGTATGGAATCCCTTCCAAGCATATCGATCAATGATGATGATGATGATGATAATGATGATGAATCAACAAATGTTCAAACATCCTCATCGATGACAAAATTTGATCGAATTGAAACAGAATCAATGATTATGCAAAATTCAACAACATCTGCAACAATCGTAAACATTGGTTCTGATTATCATGAGAAAGAATCAAATAAAACAACTGATGATGATTTAACAAAGAAAACAACAAAAATTGAAATAATAACAACATCAACAAGTGATGATGATGATGATGATCATGTTGATTATGATAATCGACAACAACAACGACATCATCATGAACATCATCACCATCGTCATCATCATTATCATCATCAGGTTAGTTCATGATCAAACACACAGATAAATTTACACACACACAAACAAACAATGAATAAAAAAAAATCAGATCAAGCCAGTCAATGGTCATATGATTCGTATGTCAAATAATGATGATGATGATGATGATGATCACCATCTTGACATATTGTCTATTCGTCAAAGTCAAAGTCAAATTGAAAAAAATATTTGTTTAACAAAATTCAAATTTTTCTATTTATTTTTAGTTGATTTATAATAATTATTATTATCATCATCTCCTTTCCTCCCCTCTTCAAATCTTCGAATGACGTCATCGATTTGATTTGATCAGTCAAATCAAATCCGATATTTTTGTATGTGTGTGTGTATGTGTCTATAACAGCTTTTTTTACGGAATTTTTATTTCATTTTTTCAATGTTTTTGTTTTCTATTTTATGATATAGCAGCAGCAGCAACAACAACAAAAACAACAACGGCGACGAGGACAACCAAATCAAAATCAACATTCAAAACATAAACTATCCAGTAATAATAATCAATTCATTCAGCTTGATTCATTATCATCATCACTAAAACAACCAATAGAAATGGGTAAAAATTCATTGGGTCAATTAAATCGTAAACAACAACAACAACAACCATATAATAGTTCTCCGATCAATGTTTCAAAATTACAAAAACGAAAAAAATTAATAACAAACGACAATGATGAACATGATGATTCAATATGTATTGAAATAAATGATCATCATTCTCATTCACAAACATCACCAATATTTGATTCAAGTTTGAATGAGAATAATATGATTGATACAAAAACGATGCTTTTGACACCTAAAACAACCAAAATGATTTGCAAAAAAATGCCAAAAAATGATAAATCAGTATTTGATATTTTTGATTCACCTAATGATAAAATTGCACCGATTATGGTACCATCCAAAACAAATCAATCACCGATGAATATCAATCATAGTCCAATCGATTTTGATGCAGCTCAATCTGAAATTAATATCAACAAGAATCATCAAGAAAATCAACAATCCAATGCACTTATAACAGCACCATCAACACCAACGTTACATTTGTCGTATAAATTTCAATTGAATAACGACTCATTGAATGTAAAAAATGATTATCAACATTCACAACAACAACAACAACAACCATGGTCGTTTACAGGAACGAATCATCAACGGCAATCATCATTGGAGGATAGTATGACTAAAAAATCACCAATATGTACACGTATCAGTATACTTGGTAAACCGTTACCATCACGAAAAGAAGTATCATATTATCGTCAAAGATTTTTTATTTACAATATTTTACAACGGCCAAAAGGATTCTGGGCTAGCTGTTATCATCAATTTGTCATATCAATCATTGTTATTGGTTTAATATTGTTTGCAATGTCCACAGTGGAACAATATTATGAACAATCTATTCAATTTTTGCGAATATTCGACACATTTATCCTTGCATTATTGGTTCTAGAATTCTTGGCACGTGCTTGGTCATCATCATGTATTAGTCAATATCAAGGATGGTTTGGTTTATTTAGATTCTGTACATCAGCATTTCGTCTTATCGATATATTTATTATAATGTCTACTGCTGCCGTACTTTGGGTACATCAAGTTGATCCTTCCATTGCTAATCGTATTAATTGGTTACGTTTTGCTCAAGCATTTCAAATTCTTCGTATTAGTCATCGTTTTAAGCCATGGCGTATAATGGCATCGGTTATATGGAATCAACGTGATCATCTTGCTGTTGCTATCTATATGTGTACATTATCATTAATATTCATTACATTTACTGTATATTTCATTGAACATAATCAACCAGATACTGATTTTACATCTATACCTAGAACACTTTGGTGGGGTATTGTTTCATTATTAACCATTGGTTATGGTGATATGGTACCCAGTACGACAGCAGGTAAAATTGTTGCCAGTACACTATTGTTGATTTGTTTCTCATCATTCGCATTACCGGCCGGTATTCTTGGAACTGGTCTAGCATTAAAGGTATGAATGAAATAATTTAATTAATAAATTGAATTGATAATTTTCTCACTAAATTATTCACTAGGTACAAGAACAACAACGGCAAAAACATTTCAATAAACGACGTGATCCAGCCGCACGCTTAATACAATGTGCATGGCGTTGTTATGCATCATCGAAAAATTCACGATCCATTGCCACATGGAAAGCGTGTATGAAACAACGTAATAAATTAAAAAACATATCAGCATCCAATTCAAATGATAAACTATCGGAACATCAAATCGAAACCAGTAGTACGTTGGGCAGTGTTGTTGATTTAAAATGTTTACGAAATAAAATTCATAAACGATTTGGTAGTGAATCACAGGCATCATTGGTTGATTATGCAAGATCCAATACAATTGATAATAGTTCATCGAATCGATCATCACAATCACTTAGTTTAATGGTGCCAAGAAATCATTGTAAACATCGACTATTAGAACGAACAACAATACCCATCATATTGAATGATGATGATGAATATTATGATTATTATTGTGAATATTTTAATCCAGCCGAAAAAGCAATGATACGTTTCATACGATTGGTTAAATTTGAAGTGGCAAAGAAAAATTTCAAAAATGCATTCCGTCCATATGATATTAATGATGTTATTGAACAATATGCGGCTGGACATGCTGATGTTGTGGCACGTGTTAAGAATATGCATTCACGAATTAATAACATACAGAATACGTTGGGAAATGTAACGAAAATTTGTCAAGATTTATCCTATATTCAATATCATCAAATGGATCGATTAGAACGAATTATACAGGAATTGAATCAGAAATTATTGTTGGTTGATAATCACTCGGATATGAAAACACCAACAACAACAGCAGCATCACAAACAAATAAATTTCTATCTGTAAACGATAGTTTATCGTCCGATGACTCATCATTATTATCGATGAGATCCTTATCACCATCCACATCATCGTCATCATCATCACCGGAAGCAATACAATCTTCATCAACAACAATCAAAAGTCAATGTCAATCAAATGATGATGATCAAACAACAAGAGAAGCCAAAAAACAATAGTCGTTTTACCGAATAAGATAAAAAAAAAAGAGATTATGATGTTTTTCAACAGAAAACCAATCAATGTGATCAAAAAAAAATGTCGATATTTATTCTTGTGATTTTTTTCTATTTATTCCTTGAAAAAAAAATTGGAACTGAACATATGTGAAAAAAAACATTTTCACCATATTCAACGTTTGTATAAATAGACCAACAACAGAAAAAAAATGAAAGAAAAAAAATTATTTTTTTTTCACCATAAATTATTATTGAAAATTTTTAATTTTTAATCATTTATTTAATTTATAATTATAATTAAAATTAAATTATTTATCAATGAAATCAATTAATCGTTTCTGGCCAACAACAATGACCACCACCATTGGAATACGAAACAACATATTTTTCAATGCGTAAATGATTTTGGATTTGATTGATTAAAAAAAATCAGGAATATTTTTTTTTGTACTTTATAGCCGTGTTGTATTGTTGGAACAAACAAAAAACTCGTGCACGTGCTTAATATTTGAAACAGACAAATATACTATTTGGGAAAAAGGAAACGCATTTGAATATTATATAGGTGTATATTGATGATGATTGATATAAAGTTCTTCTTTTTTTTTGTTCCATTATCGCGATAGTATCGATTATTCAATTTGATTCGTATGGTAGAAATCTAACCTTGAATATCATCATCATCATTTTTCACCATATTCAACGTTTGTATAAATAGACCAACAACAGAAAAAATGAAAGAAAAAAAAATATTTGTTTTTTTTCACCATAAATTATTATTGAAAATTTTTAATTTTTAATCATTTATTCAATTTATAATTATAATTAAAATTAAATTATTTATCAATGAAATCAATTAATCGTTTCTGGCCAACAACAATGACCACCACCATTGGAATACGAAACAACATGTTTTTCAATGCGTAAATGATTTTGGATTTGATTGATTAAAAAAAATCAGGATTTTTTCACTTTATAGCCGTGTTGCGTTGTTGGAACAAACGAAAAACTCGTGCACGTGCTTAATATTTGAAACAGACAAATATACTATTTGGGAAAAAGGAAACGCATTTGAATATTAAATTATATATAGGTGTATTTGATATTGATATAAAGTTCTTTTTTTTGTTCCATTATCGCGATAGTATCGATTATTCAATTTGATTCGTATGGTAGAAATCTAACCTTGAACATCATCATCATCATCATCACTAATTTTTTTGTTCTTTTGGTTTTCATCAATTTCTATTCATCGTCAAGAAAAAGAAAACGAGATTCAACATGTAATGATAATGGCAAGTAAACAGTGAAAAAAAAATTGTGTCCTGATATTGTTCCATGAAGGATATCATTGTTTTGATCATTATCGTTTTTATTTTGTTTGTTTGTTTGTTTTTTTATGAAAACAAAACAAAACAAAAAAAAACAATGCAACGATCTTAATAGTAAGTAAATTTACTTGTCAAACAAACGAATAATCAAATCATCATCATTTTTTTTTTTCTGTTTCTCATTCCTGAAAAAGTAGTATATGTAATGATAATGGCAAGTAAACAGTGAAAAAAAAAATTGATATTCCATGAAACTTATCGAATTTCATCATCAAACAAAACACAATGCAACAATCATGGATTGTGTCAAACAAACGAATAAAAAAAATTCATTTTCTGTTCTCATTCCTGTGTAGTATATTAGTAAGAATTGATATTCCATGAAAAGATCAACAAATCATGACATTGAAATCTGAAAGACAACAAAAAAATAATGAAATATGAAACAAATTCAAACATCTGCATTCTTTTTTTCGAACGTTATGATTTCAAAATTTCGCCTACAACATGGCTTATTTTTCATTCATTTTTCAAATGTGGTCAAATTATGATATAACTTTGAAATCAAAAATAGCAACTGATGACATAGTCATCATCATCATCGTCATAATAATTAAAATCATCCATCAATTAATCCTAAAGGTTCCGTGAATTCATTTTTGTTGAAACATTTCATAAAAATTGGATGTTCAACAATAATTAATGAAGAAAAACTACGTCTGGCCATAATTAATTCGTTGAATGATAATCATAGTATTCGAATCGAAAACATTTTGTTTTCATTGTCATTCGATTATGATTATGACTGGTTTACGATGATGAATGATGATAGCCATCTCGGTTGTTTCAATGTTTAATTTGATTTTGTTTTTGGTAAAACAGAAACAAAAATTGTGTATTCCCATATTTGGTTCAAAACATAACACCCTCCATTATATGTGATGAATTTTAAATTCAACCCAAAATGGTTAATGAATAATTAAAAATGAAGAAATCATTTGAAGCCTTCATTGTGAGAAAAGAAAATCTTTGAAATTTTTTTTTTCTTTAAAAGATTCATTGATAAGCAACAATTATTCCGACCAAATTTAGTCAACAACAAGAAAAACAGAACAAAAATCCGATTCAATTGTCACGTGATCAAAAGGGTTATTGAAACCATAGATTTGTTGTTTTTCAATTCAATTATATCAAACGAATGCTGATCATCATCATCCTTTTAAGAAGCCACGATAACTCAATAAATCTACTTTACTGATTCGATTTGAATTCATAATTTACAAACATGGATCGCGTTGTCGTTTGTCGTCAGACATTTTTGGCAAATATGTACACACGTACACACACACACACACATAAATACATGGATAATGGTCGAAACACAAAAAATTAACCCTTCAAGGTTTTCAAAAAAAAAATATGAATTTTCATTTACATGATGAATAAACGGGAAAAAAGGCGCGGGTGTTGCTGCTGTTGTTTGTTTTGTTTTGTTTTCGATTCTAATGATAAAAATAAAAATGAAACTGATTGCTGAAAAAATATATCTCGAATTGGAAATTTTCATTAACGAAGAACAAAAAAAAATTATTCATGATATATGAAAAAGTAAGTGAAGGATTCGAAAAATTTGAACAAAATCGACCATCATCGAATTATATCATTCATTCATTTATGATGAACAATTTGAATTTTTTTCCCTCAATATATTATTTGCATTTATTCTTCAAAATACACACGTACACACACGAACACACACACACCTTATCATATATTCTCAAATTTCAATCATAATTTATTTTTTCCCAAATCGTAAATCACCTGTATCAGCTATTTCTGTTTTTCAAATACACACAAACATAACACCCACATTCTTATTATCAATTTTTAACACTACCATCTCACTGCCATCATCAACGACGACGACAACTATATAGGCGTCCCATTACAATGTCACATATATATAGAAATATAGCTGATCTTGGAACATGGCTATCATCATCATCATCATCATCATTATCATCACCTGTTGAATTGGATTCAATTGGGATGGACACTCGTACACAAACAATTCGTCTAGTTTTAATCATATTTATCCATGACCACCTCCATTCTTTTTTTCATGATCATCGAAGAATCGCGCTAAAGTTATAAATGTTTTCATTTTTTTTTTTTTTGTTATTTGGTGATTGAATATTCAATCGAATACACACACGGATCTCTCTGTTGCAAATACACAAAAACTTTGTATGTTTAATGATGATGATGATTAATTCTGTTTTTTAATATTTTTATTTTTATTTTTAGTGATTTTTTTTATTTTTTTTTTTAGAAAAAAAGTTTGATCAAATCAAAAGTATTCGCATCAATTGTGTGTTTGTCGATTTGATCATCAAATGAAAATGGTAAGCTTTTTTTTGTTCAATCAAGTCACTCTGAATTTATTTTCATTTTCATTTTTTTTCCATTCAATTTCAAGCATCGATCAACCATCATTTGTATATTAATATGGACATTATTGGCTATTGAATTTTGTTCTGCATATTATTACACTGAACCACAACAACAATACGGTAATGGTGCCTATCAATTTTCTTATCAAACCGGTACACATAATGAACCTGATTTGGCACAATCATTTCGTGAAGAAAGTCGTGATGAATATGGTAATGTTCATGGTAAATATGGTTACGTTGATCCATATGGACAATTAAGGTTGGTTTAGTAAGATATCTATGATGATCTATAGATGAATAATTCATTTGTAAAAAAAATGATAATAGAATCGTTAAATATCGTGCCGGATCCGATGGTTATTATGCTGAAGGTGATGTAGGTGTTGATCAAGAAGCACTTCGACAACAACGGTTATTATATGGAAATGATCCAGCCACACGAACACAACAACAAACATGGCAACAAGCTGGCCAAGGTTCATCATCTTCAGCAGCAGCAGCCGTAGCCGCTTCAGCTGCTGCTTCTGCTTCTTCATCAGCAGCCGGTGGTGGTTATTATGGTGGCACAAAACCAGATTGGACAACAGTTACCGATAATTCCATTAGTCAACAATACAATATTAAAGGTGGTAATTCTAAAAGCCGAAATATCTACAGTGAACGTATTGTAGCGGCACCGATTCCTTCACCGGTTAAAACATTGAATTATCTATCCAATCAATATAATCAACGACAAGTGTTAACTAATAATCAATATCAATTACCAGTAGTTCGACAATATACACACACGACAGTACATCAAGTACCTGGTGCTATACAGCCAACACCATTCATACCAACAGCAGCAGCTAGATATTATCAAACTAAATCATATAACCAACAACAATATTCTGGTGCATTGAAAAGTCCAGCAGCTCGTTATACGGAAATTCAACATCAGCAACAACAACCAGCAATAACACCATTCAAATCATTAACATCTGCATATAAATCAGCATCATCATCAGCCTCTTCTGCTTCTGCATCATCATCATCGTCCGCAGCATATACATCAGATGGATCATCCATTAAAGGTGGATATCGACAACAACAACAACAACAACAACAACGTTCATCACGTTATAGTATTCCTGGTACAGGTCAAGCACATGCACAGGTTAATTTCAAACAATATGGACCAGCTGCATTTCAATATTCATATGCATTCTAATATTCTTATGATTGAATCTAAATGCTAATTTAATTTGGTTCGATTCACTTTTTTTATAATAAAAAAACCCTGTTTTAACACTTTATTCACAAGTTACGATATTATATAAATTATTTTTGCAATGATGAAAATCAAATATCATATATATTCATATATCCAACAGTAGGGAATGTAGTTTTTTTTAATTGTTTAACTTCGCGCGTTGATACAGCTTTTGCATCAAATAGATGACGGTCAATTATTCAGCCCCGCAGGGCCAGTCTGGACAGGCGCGAAGCGTCTCTACCAGGCTGGTGATATGATATGATGATGATGAGAAAAATAAATGCAATTTTGTTGAAGATTGAAATAACAAAACTCTCTAGATTATATGGTTATTATAGTTCGAACGGATGTTGAAGTATCGAGCTTTATTTAGATAATAATGATGTTTCATGGAAACCCATCTCCATTTACAGTATGTAGGTTCGATTCTCTTCGAATCCTTTGTTTAAATTGGGTTTTAATGACCATTAGTTACAATCGAAGTCATTGCTGCAGTAAATGAATTCGATTTTATGAAGATCTTTGTATGTAATTATTTGTATATTCTTAACATATAGAATATCAAATTATATACGATCTTAAAGAGTAGAGATGATTAACATTCGGTTGAAAAAACGTATCAACCCATTGTTTCAAATCCTCACTCTTTAACTCTTAAATAAACGCCGACACATTCATTCCCCCTTTATACTATAATAACCTGGAATTTTTTTTATTTCAATTTTTAACAAAATTGCATTTCTTTTTCTCATCATCATCATCATATTATTAGGAAATTTTGTCTGTATGTATACATCCAACATTTAAATTGTTTAGCTTCGCGCGTTGATGCAGCTTTTACATCAAATAGATGACCGTCAATTAGTCAGCCACGAAGGAAGCGTCTGTAAATAAATAAATAAAAAAAAATTCAAGGGCGAAAAATGGAGTTCAAGGATTATTTATAAACTCACCCACAACCCTTTTTTTTCAGTGAAATTTATTAACCCCATATCTTATTATCCACCACATTATAAACAAGCAAATAAACAAAACAAAAAAATCCCTGAAAGAAACCGCCCACACACACCGCATATACCCTGAGAGTGAGAAAAAGACGAATGGCAATAATAATATAACCACAATGATGATATATGTGAAACGTCGGAAGTCAAAAATGCCTTGTATATAGATTTAGTTTGAAAAAAAAATTTCATTCGATATATGGAATGAGAGAGAGAAAAAAAGAAATTTCGGGTACAAAAAAAAAACGTCACATCACATGATGAGTTTTTGTCGTTTGTTTTTTAAAAACAAATTATCAGCCAATAAATATGAGAATAGAATAATGGGATAATTATTTTCAATTAAACAATGGCCATGAAATCATGGAATAAATTTAAATCAAATTTTTTTTTTTTTTTTTTTTTTTGGCAAAATCATTTGTCAATCAATGGGTGTTTATTTTCGTTCCAAAAAAAAAAAAAAAATTACCACAAATAATTGACACACACACACACGATGATGACACATGACTTGGATAATCAGATGAATACTATTTAAATGGCAAAAAAAATCGTCACTGATCAATCAAAAGCTATTGGCGTTTTTTTTCACTCTCTCTCTCTCTCTCTCGCTCACATCAATTTAAAATTTTGTTTAATTTTGTTTAATTTGAATTAAAAAAAATCAAATTTTCAACAAGTGATTCAACTACACAAAAAAATGGATCAACATCAACGAATCATCATTCGATTCGTTTATTTATTATCCATTCAATTGTTGTTGTTGTTGTTATTGCATGCAACACAAATCAATTGTGATTATTATTATTCTGATCTAAGTGAATGTAATTTTAAAACACGTGATTGTAATTGGACATTATCAAATGGTTGGCAATGGCAACTTGTTCAACATGATTATCGATCATTACAATTAAATTCAACACCATATTCACAAGGTAAAATTGTATGAAATTTTTAAATCACTGTAAATTGATTTATGATTTTTTTTTAAATTAAAGATAGTGGTTATGAAATAGAAAATCATCTAACCAAAAATGAATTTATACGTTCACCGGACTTTAGTTATAAATCATCATCGACAAATCAATTTTGTTTTGATTTTGATTATTATTTTATGGACGATGGTCGTAATGTTGATAAAAATAGTTTTGTTTTACATCTTAGTGAAGATATGGGTAGTTTGGCTACAAGTTATCCAATATGGACAACATCGATGCTTTATGGTGATTTTTGGCATCATTCTTATGTTAATTTCCAACTATCATCATCATCATCATCATCATTTCGATTGAAATTTATTGCATACAGTGATGGTGGTTTAGTTGCCCTAAAAAATTTTCATCTTACACATGAACAATGTCCACAAAGTGGTAATATTTGTGATTTTGAAACCAATAATTGTGATTGGCAATTATCAAGTGGTGGCGGTATTACACTCAAACGAACAATGGCCAAGAATACTGAATCACCAAAAAATATTGATCATACAACATTATCACCTAATGGCTATGTTTTATTTGCAAATTCGAATCCTAGATCCGATCCAATAGCCAATATAACTAGTCCAACTTTAGATAAATCATTGGGACGACAATGTTTTCAATTTTGGCTTTTGATATATGGTGCTGTTGATCATGTATCAGATTTATCATTATATCAACAATCTAAATACAATAATCAAGCAAAACAAGTTTGGAAATTACATGCTACACAACAAATGGCTAATGAATGGAATCGTTTTCAAGTTGAATTAGATTTAACACAAGCAATATCTTCAACTATTGAATTTCGTTTAAAATATAGTGGTCATGGTTCATTGAAATTTGATGATTTCCGTTGGACACCATATCGGTGTTTGCCTGAAATTTCCTGTAATTTCATAATGGATACATGTGGTTGGAAAAATTATTTAAATGATGATGATCGATTCATGTGGAGTAACGGAATGGGACGTGTACATGATGTAACAAAATTAACATTTTTGAATTCAACGAAAAATTTCTTCTATCATTATTTGCCATTATTATATACAGATTTTACAACATTATCAAATGGTAAAGTTGGCCGAATGCAATTAATCAGTGAAATTGTTGAAAATGGTGTACCAAAATCTGGTGCTTGTATACGAATGAATTATGAAGTATGGTCATTTGATAGTGATACAGATATATTTGCCATTTATTATCAAACATTCTGGGGAAGATCTGCAACTAGCACAAAACAAATTTGGAAATTTAATTCAAAAAATCGTGGCAATGATTATGTAGAAATTTATATACCATACAGCAATGGTGAAATATTTCGTTTGATTTTAGAAGCAAAATCGTCACATTCATCAACATATATTACCGTTGATGATATTCATTACGAAACAAAATTTTTCCAATGTGGTACAAAAACTGAACCTACATCATCTAGTACATCGTCGACGACAACACCGATTCCAACTCTACCACCAAAAGAATCATTAAATTGTAATTTTGAAAATGGAAATTTTTGCTTATGGCATCAAGTATCAACATATTTTCGTATATCGATAGCTAATGATACTAAATACGCAATTTTTGCTGATCACACAACAAAAAATTCTGATGGACATTTTGCTGCTTTGAACATGATCCAACAATATCAATCAAAACCGATACCATTGATGAAAGTAAAAAATCCATTTGAAAAAGGTGAAACATTTTGTTTTCAATTTTATCTATATGCCGATGCAAGTGCTCAGTCACAATTAGAATTAATATTGCAAAATGATTCGAAAAATCACACATTATTTCGTGGATATGATACAAATGCATTGAAATGGCGTCGTATTATGATTGAATATCAACTAGATGACGATTATGATTCATTCATATTTAGTGGCAAAGTTCGATATGGCATTATTGCAATCGATGATATTACCGTCATTGAATCAAGCTGTGATTATCTTACACATAATCATGATTTTTGTGATTTTGAAATGGATAGCATGTGTATGTTTGAAACGGTTTATAATGAATTTGGTGAATATTGGCGAATAATTAAAGCATCATCAATACGACGAACAATGATTGATCATACGACACATACATTGAATGGACATTTTTTTGGTTTTATTACCTATAATAATCATACTGATGATAAATCATTGCCATCACATTCTATATCTGTTCGAACGAAAAATTTAAATCATCATTATCCATATTGTATACGTTTTTCATATTATCTTACCGATAATATGACATTATATTATCAAACATCATCATTTTTTGATGTTGCCATTTGGCATGTATCCGGTACAACCAATGGTAATTGGTTTACACATCAACATAATTTGGATCCTGAATCAGTGTTTAATGCTGATTATTATCTAAAATTTAGAATCAAAAATAACGATAATGGAATAAACAAAACAGGTATGGCATTCATAGATGATGTTACCATTTATCCGGGTAAATGTATTCCATCAATTCGTTGTGATTTTGAAAATGGTGATACTTGTACATTAGAAGCAATATTACCTACTGATGATAAAATTAATCCAGATCAATCATTAGAATTAGCAACAAGAGCCAATTATTCATTGCTTGATGCCAATTATTTGAATGGATTTGTCGATCGATTGTGGCATGTATATTCACCATTACAAAGAAAATCAAATTTAGTATCATTTGATCATACTAAAGGTGATCGTTATGGAAAATATCTAGTCATCTTTTTAGAACGTGGTTGGCGTGGTATTATTGTCACTGAACGTTATTCATTATCCAGCAGACAACGATCATTATGTTTAACAATGGCTATTTATTCAATCGATTCGGCAATTCTTGAAATCTATCAAGGTGATTCATCTATTCCAGATAAAGGAATGAAACTATGGGATATCGCTTATAATACTGATGGATGGGAAGAATTCGAAATTGTTGTCAACGCTTTGAATGAAACAACCGAAGACATATTCTTTTATTTTGTAAGTTTTTGAAAATTAATTTTTTTTCAATCATTAATTTCATCTTCATCTATAATTCAAACTACAGGTTGCAACTGGAACAATTATTGCTGAAACTTATATTGCAATCGATGATTTTGAAATTAAAAATCATTGTACAAATCCATCGAATATTGTCACAAGTACAACCAATTCAAATCCATCATCATTATCGACACCTATACCAGATGGTTATTTTGATTGTCAAACCGATGGAGAGCAATCATTGATACCAATGAAAAAAGTTTGTGATTATCATCAAGATTGTCCGAATAATATGGATGAAAAATATTGTGGTGCATGTACGTTTGAAATGCATGATCAATGTCGATATTCGATTATACCGAAAAATGATGATAATCGTTTGTTTCGATTTCGTTTCACTGATCAAGCACCTTATGGTCCAAATGATGATTATTTCAGATCATCGATAACAGCAAGTGGTATTGCTCAGAATAACTATCAAGAAACAAAAATCATTTCACCACTTATTCATCAAGCATATACTGCTTGTGAATTACAATTCTATTATCGATTTTTTTCGAATCTTACAAATTTCAACCGAGGTCATCATCAACCATCCGTGTTCAATATTTACATCTATCTAGATGAAACAGGTATACGTACTAAAATATGGCAAAGTTCAGCCATAGAATCATTGTCGGAAAATGAATGGAATGGAATCGTTATACAATTGAATCGAATTAGACACCCATTTTATTTGGAATTTCAAGCACATCCAATGGCAACATATGGTTATCATTCATTAAGTGATATTCGCAATGATTATTGTGGACCACCAAGACCAGCTGAAGATGACGAAGAATGTGAAGATCGATTTCGTTGTCAAAATGGTGTCTGTATATACAAACAATTTATTTGTGATTTTGAAGATGATTGTGGTGATAATTCGGATGAAAATATGTGTGATCCAAATTTACGTTTCAGTTTTGAAAATGGTTATCAAAATTGGGCCGAATTATATCTACCACATACAAATAATTGGACATTACAAAAAGCAGATAATTTGGGTGATTTACGTAATGGTCCTACATTCGATCATACTACCGGTTTTGTTGGTGGTTCTTATCTGTTCACACAATCTACAAAATATATACCAGTTTCTCATGCAATAATCGATAGTCCAGCATTTCAAGTGACTCATGGTTATGGTGGTTGTGTGTTACGAATTTTTATTATGAAAAATTCACGTAATTCTACCATTTGGTTTAAATCATGGAATATGCAAACTGGTCAGATAAAAACATTGAGTGAATATGTTAATTATCGAGATCTTGCATTTTGGTCACAATGGGTTATCTTACGTTCTGAATCTTCAAATTCAACATATAAATTATTGATTGAAGCATCATTAAATCGTACTGATGATAATTTTGTTGATCCATACATCGCTATTGATGATATTATATTCCATGAAGGCTGTACATTAATAGACCATTCATTCAACAATGTAACAACGGAAAAACCGTGCATTGGATTGCTTTGTATCGATAAACATGGCCAAAAAATATGTTTACCTGAACATAATATTTGTGATTATATTGAACAATGTAAAAATGGTGAAGATGAACAACAATGTGGTGATTGTGATTTTAATAATCAAACAATGTGTGGATGGAAAGTTGGTAATATGGCTGGTGATAATTTTCCATATAAATTATTTATGGCCAAAAATGCACCTGGAAATATGCCAAAAAAAGATGCCAACAATACTGCCGATGGTGGATATGTGGGCGCAATGAGACGTGCAGTAATGACATCAAGATTTTCAATTCAATCAAGCATAACAAGTCCACAAATTAATGGCCAAACATCGGCCAGATGTTCTATAGAATTTTCATATCGATCCAATATGTGTACAACGATAGTTATTTCTGCTAATAATCGTTTATTACGTTCAATAACAGGTACACACAACGATTGGGTGACATTCCATACAGACATTGGACAATTACCACCACCAATTAATATTTTTATCAATACGAAAACATTCTATTCATCAGAAAACATTCTGTCCAATCATTTATTTACTATTGGTGATTATTATATGCTCATCGATAATATACGAATGATTGATTGTCATCATGATAATAATAACGATACCAAACCTATACACGTTGAAGATTTAGATTGTGATTTTGAAAATGATTGGTGTGGTTGGATTGTTCCTGGATCGAATGCTCATGATACATGGATACGAACCAATTCTCCATTAAATGAACCTGGTAATGATCATACAGAATTGATTGTACCACGACCACATAATTATGGTAATTGGCTTAGTACACATTCAACAAGTGAAAAAATATCTAAAAATCAAATACGTAGTTCAGGACCAATTAAAACGAATGGTAAAGAAAAATTTTGTCTGATATTTTGGTATTATTTTTTTGGCATACAACAATCAACATTTCGTATATTTATTCACAATATTCAAGAACGTTGGAATCTAACAATTTGGAAGCGAACATTACCGAAAATTCGATACTGGCAACAGGCAAATGTTGAATTTGAAATAGATTCAGAATTTTTAATATTTTTAGAAGCCGATGTATCATTGACAACAATTGTCGGTATTGATGATATACAATTGTTGGATAAAGAATGTCCAATTTTAAATTATGAATATTGTGATTTTGAAACAAATGATTGTGATTGGGATGTAAGCCCAAAAGATCAACTAAAACGTACTGGTGGCAGCATAATACGTGATCATACCACCGAAACATTGTATGGACATTATCTTACGGATAAAACACAAAATGTTGGATCAAAAGTTTCACTTTATAAACGAATGGCAAATGTTCCATTTTTCATTACCAACAATCAAGATGTGAGAGAATTTTGTTTCAATCTTTATTATTATTTCCATGTCTCTCCACCACCAATTGATCAAAAAAGTACAATTTCAGTAGAAGTTTTTCGTGGAAATTTTATTCAAAAATTAAAGAATATAACAATCACTGAAGCTTGGAATCAAAAATCATTAAATATATGGTCATTGATGAGCATAGATTTTCTGGCCACTAAAACAGATTCATTAATTGTTCGTGTTGAACGTGGTGATCAACAAACGGAAATTCTTTTGGATGATTTCATTCTAAGACCAGATCGATGCACGGAACAAGGTTCATGTGATTTTGAATACAACATGTGTGGATGGCATAATCAATTGGCATTATATGATACAAGTTCAATTTTCTGGGTTCGAATTCAACCAACGAATCGTTTTGCACGAAAAGATGGAATGTCTTTTGATCATACATTACAATCTCGTCTTGGTAATTATCTTGCATTACCTGTTCAAATGCATTCCCGAATAAACAAAACCGTCACATTGATTAGTCCATATATGCAAAGAAAACAATCATCAACAATTTGTTTACAATTGTATTATTTTGCAACAAGTTTATCGGCAAAATTCGGTATCATTGCTATGAAAATTCAAATGTGGAATCTTGAAAATGGTGAAGTAATTGCAGAATATCCATTGAATGCAACATATACTTTGGAATGGACTTTATTTGAACAAACATTCAATAATGTACCAAATGTTTATTCATTCCATATTGTCGTATCGAATGTTCTACGTATTTATAGTGATATTGGTATCGATGATATTAGCATTCAACAAGGATCATGTCCAAATCCAACATCATCAACAATAACAACGGTTTCACATCCAACAACACAGATTCCTGATAGTGACAAAATTGCCGATTGTAATTTCGAACGTAATTGTAGTTGGACCTATTCATCCGATGCTTGGAATATAACATCATTCCGTTATGAAATGATGCGTAATGTTTACGCCCCACAAAAAGATCATACCTATACATCAAGCTATGGTCATTATCTTTTTTTCATCGATCCATCGGCCACTAATGATAAGGAATATGTATTACGTTCGCCTTCATTCCCAAATGACAAATATCGTTGTCTATTACTATGGTATTACAATGACGGTGAAGATCCATTTTATCTTGATTTTTATCAAGTGGTAAATTTAGGTCAAATTACACATTTTAAACTTGCCGGCAGATATGGTTCGACAATGGAAACACGTCGTTGGCAATTGGTTAAAATTGATTTACCATATATTCCGAAAAATCATGTATTGAATATGAATATTCAAATTACTTATCGACCATCATCAAAGAAATTTTTCTCAATATTTGCTATCGATGATATTACAGTACAACCAAAATATTGTGGCCATTATCATGATTATGTCTATACATTCACCAAAGGAATTGAAGATTTAGAAATTGAACAATTACAACCATTGAATTCAACTAAAATGGCTTGCCGTATTTATCCAAATAAAAAGGACCATTTTACCGATGTACCTGCTATCGATCATACGACATACACATCGAATGGTTATTATTTTCTTTTCAAAAATTCTCCATCAAATAATGATATCAATACAGCTGAATATTATGTTGATACATTACAAATGCGTCAATTACCACAACAATATGGTGGCTACAAATTTTGTGTTCGTTTTGCTTACCAATCTCGTGGTGAACCATATTTTCTAATCTATCTTTTACCAAATAATATGCCATTACGTGGTGATTGGCGATTTTCACCACCAATTTGGCAACAACAATATCCAAAATCATTCTGGACTATTGAAGAATTTAATGTTGGTGTTGATTTTGTTTCGAAATTGATATTCTATATGTCCAAAGAATCTCATCAGGATGGTTTCATTGCATTGGATGATATTACCATACTATCGAATCCATGTACTGCACCTATTGATTGTGATTTTAATTCGGGCCGTTATTGTACATATACAACGTATCCTGATTCAGATGTCAATTATCATTTTGAAGTATTTCAAACACCTGCAATCGATCTTGAATGGCCAGGACCAACATATGATCATACTATTCAAGGTAATGGTGGTGGTTATCTATTTCTGACTGATTATCGTGCCGGTAAACATAGTGACCAATTACATGCAAAAATTGTTTCTGGTGCAAGAAAAATTCTACATGAAAATGTTCCATGGTGTTTGCAAATATGGACAGTAATCAATAGTTATGATGCTCGACTTGCTATATCAATCATACGTTATGGACCAAAATGGATGGATTCAAATCGAACAATTTTGGCATTTGAAATGAAAAATGTTCAACAACTTGATTGGACACGAATATTATATACACTGAATGAATCGATTCTTGTCGGCACACATGAAATTCAGATATTGATCGAAGGAACATTAGGTTCAAATCAAATGTCATCTGTTGCTATCGATGACATTATGATTAGTGAAGGTCAATGCGATAACAAAGGATTACTTTGTGAAAATGGTATAACAATCGATGCTGATCGAATCTGTAATTTCATCAATGATTGTCCAAGCGGTTTGGATGAATTGAATTGTGGTGATTGTAATTTCGAATTCGATATGTGTGGATGGATGAATACGGCAAAAATCGAAGGAATAAATCTACCATGGCAACGTGTAAAAGTGAATGAATTACAATTGATTAATTCTCAGGCGCCAAAAATGGATGGTTCAGCTAAAACGGATGGCCATTTTGTTATAATGCGACCACATGGACCGTTAGAATCACCGGAAGGTCATTCCGAAATGGCCAGCAATTATCAAACACCACGATTATATATGAGAGAATCATTTAAAACATGTGAACTTCATTTTGATTTTTATCTACATACGCTGGCAGATTATTATCTGAAAATAAGTTTTAGCCATGAACCATCCGAATTGGCTACATTCTATACATTGACAAATGAAGCTCAAGGTGGTTGGCGTCGAGCAATAGCGATGGTTGGTCAAGTTTTAACGCCATTTTTCATTGAATTTGATGCCTATCAACAACGAATCAATCCATCGACCACTGTGTTTGCTTTGGATAATATAAAATTTGTAAATTGTTCAAGGCCAAAACCATTACCAGCAAATCATATATGTCCTAATCAAGGAATACTTTGTAATCGAACACGAATATGTATTACAATGGATGATATCTGTGATAATGTTAATGATTGTGGCGATATGGATGATGAACGAAATTGTTATCGTTATCATTTATGTTCATTTGATTCATTTATCGATTGTGATCTCACTACAACTAACAATAATCAAACACGTGTTTTTGGAAATTATCAAATGGAATCGAATATCGATCTGATCGACAAATTGGCTATGAACCATTGATTGATAATACTGTGTAAGTATAAATAAATTGAATTAATGTTAATGATGATGATGATGTTCTGATTAATTATTTTTGGTTTACTTATGTGTAGACGAACTGCATATGGAAATTATTTTCTATTAGTACCGAAACCTGCTTGGGATCAACCATTGATTCATGCCGATTTTTATACACCCATATTTCGAACCAAAAATTTGAATTCCAATTGTCATTTTCGTTTCTTTTGGTATATGCACTCTGATATTGATAACATTTCTATGGAACGTTTAGAAGTATATGTACAGGAATTAGATGATAATATGAAAAATGTTACCTCTCCATTAATATCGAAATTATTCATACGTGGTCGTTATGATCGGCAACAACGTTGGAACAAACAAGTTGTATTGCATAAATCTAAACGGCCATTTCAATTTATCATACGTGGTATATTGAATTATGTAAAAACACGTACAGCAATTGATGACCTAAGCTATGGTATTGAATGTATTCATCAGAGAATGCCGACAAGACCACCACCAACAATGGGTCCAATTACAACAGAAAATCCACCATATATTCATAATTCTCATCATCATGGTGGTAAGTAATAAAACATGAAACATTCATCATCATTAGAATTTTTTTTTCATAATCTTTTTATTTAATAGTTGGTTCAATAGTGGCAGGCATTATGATACCGATATTTTTATTGATTGGAATAATGTTTGGATATTATAGATATCGAAGTTCATATCGACATGATCAATCAAATCGAACGTTTGTCACAATGTTTATAAGCTCAAAAGATTCGGTTCAATTGGTCGAATAATTTTTTTTTTTGATTTGCCTCTTTATTATATTATTATAATCATCATCATTATTAAAAATTAAATATTTTTCAAGTTTTTATTTCAAATTTATTGAATGATCATTTTATTCAAAATGTATCGAAGTAATTGAATATGAATGAATGAATTTTTTTTTCGTATTTATGATAAAGTTTTTTTATCGTTCGGAAAATCTTGTACATGGTTTGATCATATTATCTGTGGCTAAAATGTGTTGATAATTTTCTGACGATAAAACGCAAACAGAATTGTAATGAATATATTACACATGTATTATTTCTTTTATAAATCTTATATCGTCTGTTAGGAAAGTATGTGTGTGTGTGTGTGTGTGTGTGTGTATCGCGGCAATATTATATTTCGAAGTTAAACACGATTGTAGCCATCCAGATTTCACTATGTAGCAACTAAATGATTGTTACTATGGATTGCAATTTGTTTTATCCCACTTATCTTCGTAATTTTTTCTCACTTTACGATCAACTACTACAAGATATCCGATAATTTGCTATTTTTCCGATGATTCAGAAGTGGATTTCGGTTTATCACTAAAATACATCTGTTCGTATGGATGTCGATATCGTAGTACATCAAAGGATAAAGTTAACAAACATGAACAAATTGTACATAATGGTAAACAACATAAATGTTTGCAGAAAAATTGTACTGAACAATTTCAATTCATCTTTGATTTGCAAAAACATTTGAAACAATTTCATAAAATTTTCCAATGTTCAAATGAAAAATGTGCATTATTATTCCAAGACGAGTATGTGTATTATGACTGTTTTTACATTTTTTTCATTTTTTTTTTCATTTTTATTCATTTTTATTCATCCATTCATTCACACACACACAGGAATAAACTGAATCGACATATGAGGATGGAACATGTAGATGAATATCTGACATGCAAATCATGCAATAAAAAATTTCGAAACGCTGAAGCCATAAGGAAACACAACTATCTATTACATGATACTGGTGATTATCGTTGCGATCATGAAGGATGTGATTTTTCCACTACATATCGCCATGAATTATTCACACATAGACAATCGAAACATAAGCGTAAAAAATGTCAATTCACTGGCTGTGATCGTTATGTATCGTTCACTTATTACCCAATACATTTGCGTTTACATCAAAACATTCGTTCCTATCAATGTTCGTGGCCAGATTGCGGAAAAACATTTGTCGATAATAGTTCCTTGAAGAATCATGTTCGTGTACATTTAAATTTTAAACGTTTCCGATTGTAGTTATGCTTGCGAACAGAAATCCAATCTGATCACACACATACGTATTCGACATTTTAAGCTGCCGCATACGAAAAAACGTCAATTGGAATTGAATATTTCGATGGATTCATTTCCCAATCCAAATGAATATGTTGAAACGATTAATGAAGATATCTCTGTCAATACACCAACAATTTAAACAATTGATTTCTTTTTTCAAATTTAATTGATTAATAAAATTGATTTTTTGAAAACTCGAATTTGATTCTCATATGATTCAATGAGAACATATGAAATATAATTGCATACAATCGTTTTTAGATGGCGCTATCATTGATTCGAAATAATTGATGAAATGTTGAAATGCTACACATTGCCATCACGATACATGTCAATAAATGGCAAACAATCTAATTCATTATGACGCTTGTTTCATTTTATTAATAAAAATTGAGCTAAGAAATTGTGAATTTGGTCATCATTGTTTTGAATTTCTAAATTAAATTTGTCAACCAAGTAGCAAATGGTCCTGGTTTTCAATCTTTGATTTTTGTACTTTGAATTAATTCACTTTGAATTGGTAGTGTTGACGTGAATAATAATTTAATAAAGTTTCGTAAATGGTGGTTAAATCATGAACAACTTGGTTTGGAAAACTAAAAAATTTCAAAGCTAATTCAATATGCAGAAAAGTGTTTGAGAATACCATTGAATACAATAAAATGAAATGATAAAATGATTACTATGGATTACTATGGATGGATTTCGAAAAATGGCAAAGTTCTTCAAGCGTCCGAAAAGTTTTGCTGCAATTTATTCATGTTAAAAGAACGTAAAACTGTACAAGAATTTTCCTGACTTGAAAACGAACGCGCATGTCTACAATGTAATAATACTCATGCATCCTTACGCGAATGGCACTGTAACCTGCCTTTTTTTACTTTTATATGTGTGTATCTTTCTCGTATCATTGGATTTTGCTACTTCTCTCAACTTTTTTACGAATAAATATATACTGCTACTAAATATCCCGTGTTTCGTAGTTGATGCAATGCTCATTTTACTTATACTATGAATCGTGGTCAAGGTTTGATATATTTGTGGCGAGACGATCGTTCGAAAGAAATCGACGATTTGACAAAGTTGATACAAGCGAGGATTGTAACTTGTTAGCGCTGTGTCAGTGCTGCAGTTGTAATTTGAGTTTTCGGCTTGGCGAAGCGCTTTCTCCATTTTGACGCTTGCCTTATCACAGTAGTACCCTTAACCGGAGAAATCGTGGTGTCTCTCACATTCAAATGGTTAACGCGCTTCAATGCGTAGGGCTTGAGCGAGAAGCTTCGGTTTTTCGCTTGAGTCTTGGCGTTTGAGGTTCTGATCCCATATTCTAATGGCATTAATATGGTATTAGATCTCAAATCAGCGCCGTGCATTTCTGGGTCTCCCCTTAATTTTTAAGGTATGGACTGAAATGCTCAACTGCTGAAGATACCCGTCAACTTGGAGCTGCTCGATGGTCGCATATTGGATTCGTGGTTACGTGGTCGTTTTGGATGGATCCAGAACTTGGCTTGTTTTCGCTTTTCGTGCTTAAATGTACGGATTAAATAGTGGAACAGCCAGTCGTTCATTGCAACAAGCTGAAGAAGATTGATGAAAATGCCTGAAATCGAAAGATTACGGGTTTTGATCGTACTTTGTACGATTTGTGGCATGATCGATGTATGCTAAGCTTTCCACCTAAACAGTGATGTGCGAAGCAATCGTCATGTCGTGTTGTTATTGCAACAACACAAGCAATGTTTGACAGCTGAATATTCTGGTTAATTGTCACCAACAATTACATGAGTATGAAGCAAGTCTATAACATTTGCTGCTACCTGGTTGATCCTGCCAGTAGTCATATGCTTGTCTCAAAGATTAAGCCATGCATGTCTAAGTACATACCGTATTAAGGTGAAACCGCGAATGGCTCATTAAATCAGTTATGATTCATTGGATGTTGACCAATTACATGGATAACTGTGGTAATTCTAGAGCTAATACATGCCGAAAAGCTTCATCCTCGTGGTGGAGTGCATTTATTAGACCAAGACCAAAGGTGGCAACACCTTACGGTGGTGACTCTGGATAACTGCAGCTGACCGCATGGCCTCGTGCCGGCGGCATATCCTTCGAGTGTCTGCCTTATCAACTTTCGATGGTAGGTTATGTGCCTACCATGGTTGTAACGGGTAACGGGGAATCAGGGTTCGATTCCGGAGAGGGAGCCTGAGAGACGGCTACCACATCCAAGGAAGGCAGCAGGCGCGCAAATTACCCACTCTCAGAACGAGGAGGTAGTGACGAAAAATAACAATACGGGCTTCGCTTATGCGTTCTCGTAATTGGAATGAGTACAGTTTAAATCCTTTAACGAGGATCAATTGGAGGGCAAGTCTGGTGCCAGCAGCCGCGGTAATTCCAGCTCCAATAGCGTATATTAAAGTTGTTGTGGTTAAAAGCTCGTAGTTGGATCTCAGCTCATGCATGGTGGTCCACTTGACGGTGGTTACTGTCATGCTGAGCAGAATATCGCATTGTCCCACGGTATTCTTCATTGAGTGTCGTGGGCGATCGATACGTTTACTTTGAAAAATTAGAGTGCTCAAAGCAGGCATCAATCGCCTGAATACTGTTGCATGGAATAATGGAATAGGACCTTGGTTCTGTTCTGTTGGTCTTCGGAATCGAGGTAATGATTAAGAGGGACGGACGGGGACATTAGTACTGCGGCGATAGAGGTGAAATTCTTGGACCGCCGCATGACTAACTAAAGCGAAAGCATTTGTCAAGAACGTTTTCATTAATCAAGAACGAAAGTTAGAGGTTCGAAGGCGATCAGATACCGCCCTAGTTCTAACCATAAACGATGCCAACCAGCAATCAGCCAGAGTTTATTGTATGACTCGGCTGGCGGCTTCCGGGAAACCAAAGTTTTTCGGTTCCAGGGGAAGTATGGTTGCAAAGCTGAAACTTAAAGGAATTGACGGAAGGGCACCACCAGGAGTGGAGCCTGCGGCTTAATTTGACTCAACACGGGAAAACTCACCCGGTCCGGACACTGGAAGGATTGACAGATTAAGAGCTCTTTCTTGATTCAGTGGGTGGTGGTGCATGGCCGTTCTTAGTTGGTGGAGCGATTTGTCTGGTTAATTCCGATAACGAACGAGACTCTAGCCTACTAAATAGTGTTGAACACCCGTTGTGTTGTTCGAACGCTTCTTAGAGGGACAAACGGCGTTTCAGCCGTATGAAAAGAGCAATAACAGGTCTGTGATGCCCTTAGATGTCCGGGGCCGCACGCGCGCTACACTGAAAAAATCAGCGTGCATGTGTCTACCTACTTCGAAAGAAGCGGGAAACCGAGTGAAACTTTTTCGTGATTGGGATTGGGGATTGTAATTGTTGTCCATGAACGAGGAATTCCCAGTAAGCACAAGTCATCAGCTTGTGTTGATTACGTCCCTGCCCTTTGTACACACCGCCCGTCGCTACTACCGATTGGATGTTTTAGTGAGGTCTTCGGACAGGCCAACGTAGCCATCCTCGTGGTGGCCATGTTCGGCCGGAAAGATGACCAAACTTGAACATCTAGAGGAAGTAAAAGTCGTAACAAGGTTTCCGTAGGTGAACCTGCGGAAGGATCATTATCGGTGTTTTTTTGAACAATGAAACACTTGATTCTCAATTCGAACGATGTGTTGCCCGTTATCACAAACGGATCGACTGACTTGTGTTGCGATCGGTGGTGTCATTGAAAGTTCTGAAGTTGAAACTTGGCTTTTATTATATCTGGGTGACATGGAAAAAGCATTAGTTAGACTTCTATAAAGCAATGGAACTTGACACTTACCGATGTACAACTTTGTTGGCGATTCTCCTTGCTATCTGTTGGTGCCTATTCTACGGTTCCTGTTTGTCCTCGGGATAAACGTGGATGTAGTGTGTCGCTTGTAATGAGTGCCGCTAGGTTTAAATACCAGATTCGAGCATAATTCGATTGCTGGAGCCACAGGTACAAGGCATTTTCTTTTCATTTCAAAACAACATTGAGCCAGTATCATTGAAACAATTGAATTGTGATTCTGCAAATGAATCGCAAGAAAGCAAAAATTACTACTGCCAGTGGTGGATCACTCGGCTCGCTGGTCGAGGAAGAACGTAGCTAGCTACGTTAATCGGTGTGAAATGCAGGACACTCTGATCACTCGACATTCGAACGCACATTGCAGCCATTGGATATCCGATGGCTTCGTTTGTCTGAGCGTCGTTATCGAAATTTGACAAACCAAAATGAAATAGATCTTTATCGTCGCGATTCATTTCGGTGTCGTGAGATTATTTCTAAACATTTCGAATGCTGACTCCTTTGGTGATTATTTGATGGCTTTGTAGCACATTCATCACTAGAAGGGTATTTAGCGTTTCCAGCTAAACAACCCAGAATGTGCCATGTATGATTACCATGATGGATTAACATTCAAATTTAGAATTGTCTATATTCGACCTCAGATCAAGCGAGACTACCCGCTGAATTTAAGCATATAACTAAGCGGAGGAAAAGAAACCAAATGGGATTCCCTGAGTAACGGCGAGCGAAAGGGGAAAAGTCCAGCGCCAAGTCTTGACGTTTAGGCGTTCAAGAGATGCGGCGTTAATGTGTTGGTGCATCATGAATTGTCGTATGTTTCAAGTTCCTTTGACAGGGACATCCAGAGCGGGTGCTAGGCCCATAGAGACGAACGACTGATTCATGCAAACCGATGCATTCTAGAGTCAGGTTGCTTGAGAGTGCAGCTTAAAGTCGGTGGTAGACTCCATCCAAGACTAAATATGACAGCGAGACCGATAGCAAACAAGTACCGTGAGGGAAAGTTGCAAAGCACTTTGAAGAGAGAGTTAAACAGTACGTGAAACCACTGGAAGGCAAACAGATGGAACCACGAAGTTTGCGCTTCGGTCGATTCAATCAACGCTTGCAGCCAACGACGACGGAAATGGATCTTTTCGGAGATTGTTCCTTTGTTTTTTCGGCCGCAAGCTTTGGTGCATTTCGTGCCGAGGATGCTAAGCCACGTTCGATCAGATGATTGGGACGGCCGTAAGATTGGGCTGGAGAAAGGTGCCCGTCAAGTCTTTGATTTGACGGCGTTATAGTCTCTGGCCGGAACCGTCGCCTAATGAACTGATTGATAAAAGTTCTCCTTCGGGAGTATATAAACTGCGTTTTCCTGTGATTGCTAATTGATGTTTCGAGGCTGGTCTTTACGTGTCTTTGGATGCGAAAAGCCGTTTCAACAATGTCAATTAGTTGTTGCTTGCATTGCGTGGTGTGGAACTGTGGCGCGAGTAGGTCGGTTTCCATTTGACCCGTCTTGAAACACGGACCAAGGAGCCTATCATATACGCAAGTCGCTCGGTCTTGTACAGGCCAGAGAGGCGAAATGAAAGTAAAGCTACGAGATTTCGGTCGCAGTAGCGGCTCGCCTACTTTGTTTATTGGCAATCAGGCGAAGCTGGAGCGTATACGATGGTACCCGAAAGATGGTGAACTATGCCTGGGCAAGACGAAGCCAGAGGAAACTCTGGTGGAGGTCTGTAGCGATTCTGACGTGCAAATCGATCGTCAGACCTGGGTATAGGGGCGAAAGACTAATCGAACCATCTAGTAGCTGGTTCCCTCCGAAGTTTCCCTCAGGATAGCAGGCGCTTTTGACTCAGTCTCATCCGGTAAAGCTAATGATTAGAGGTCTTGGGGTTGAAACGACCTCAACCTATTCTCAAACTTTAAATGGGTGAGATGGTTGACTTTCTTGATTGAAGCCGACCATTTGGATGTATGAGTGCCTAGTGGGCCATTTTGGTAAGCAGAACTGGCGCTGTGGGATGAACCAAACGTCGAGATAAGGCATCAAATGTGTACGCTCATCAGACCCCATAAAAGGTGTTGGTTGCTATAGACAGCAGGACGGTGGCCATGGAAGTCGGAATCCGCTAAGGAGTGTGTAACAACTCACCTGCCGAAGCAACTAGCCCTGAAAATGGACGATGCTGTAGCGTGAAGCCGATACTCGACCGTAGTGGCGATATTTTTGAAAATACGATGTCATTACGAGTAGGAGGGCCGCAATGATAGCGTTGAAGGTGTCAGACGTAGGTCTGCCTGGAGCTGTCATTGGTGCAGATCTTGGTGGTAGTAGCAAATACTCAAGTGAGAATCTTGAGGACTAACGTGGAGAAGGGTTTCATGTGAACAGCAGTTGGACATGATTCAGTCGGTCCTAAGGAAGCGGTGAAAACCGTTACAACGGCCCGGTTTTAATTGAATGATTCCGTGGCC